CTTTTTTAAAATTCTTATCTGATAGTAATTTAGTCTATTTAAACCTCTTATAATCCCAATCGGACGTTCCGAAACTGCATGTACGAAAGCCCGAAAAAGCAAAACGAAACGAAACAATCGGAACAAGCGAAAAAAATCCACTAAAACTATCGAGACCAGCGGAAGATGAAATGTAGCTGTACTTCACTGCGATAATTTCACGCATCTTGGGCTTTTAAACATTATGGCTGTCCCAAGTAACTAATTTTCTTGTTTTCGCCAAGTGAGAAACGTCTAGCGTCTAGCGGTTGAAATTCTAAACTGACACTTGAATGTCAGTTTGGAGAACGGAATGCCGTATCAAATATAATGTGAACATAAGGAAGAGAAAGAAGAATTATAACAGTATTCATTGACCAAGTCTATGTCCGTGATTTTTTCCTAATTTTTTTTAAGTCAATTTTTTTCCTGACGCTTTATGTTAGCTACGATTATTTCAAGTGAAGCACTCCTTTTCAGTTTTTACCTTCTTTTTCACGCTTCACACAATGTTCTTTCACTTCTCAAAGCCGAAGACAACTCAAGCCAGTTTTTTCAACAAAATTTTTTCATATTACCACCCTGTTTCAGAAAGGAAGCCTTAATATTATGTAACGTTGTTTAAGAGGCTAACCTAAGCCCACGGCCATCGAGCCAGAGACAATTTCTCCTATAGACCATAATCGAAACGAGACGAATATTAAGGCTGACCCCCAGGCATTCATTTTATTATTTATGACTGTTTTTTTCTTATTTCAAGTATATTTTTAGTCGTTTCGATGGTTTTGTTTAAGTAGTTTCGTTTTTTGTTTCGAGTTTAAGTGCATGCCTTCCGAAACATTTCCGAAACAGCCTATATAGTAATCATCTTTTTGTGACCAATATACCGGATACTTATAACGGAATTCATAATTCATAAGCGGTCTGTCCTTCTTAAGTGTAATTTAATATACCAAAACTTAATTTACACTCACTTCTGATACAGTTAATTAAGTTACAGTTCAACTGTTACAGGAAGAAGTGTTTTTTTTGTTTTTTTTTTTTAATCTCGAGCCAAATGAATTATGAATGAAATGACCTGTATGACCCGTGGTGAACTTAGATGTAAAATGAATTGACGTACAGAGAAGGCTTCGAACATGCGATCAAGCCGATTAAGGTGGTCGGCAGAATTCGCCTTAAATTGAAGAAGGATGGCGAGAGATTAGGCAGTCTATTCGTAATTTTCAGTCTTGCATAATTCGCCGCAAACAAGAGAAGGGATCAAAAGAGAATTTGCATGACTAAAACAAAAACTGACGAAAGCTTCTCACTCAACACGGACAAACGACGGTAACCAAGTACAGAGATCATTGATATTACGTAACTTCGAAAATTTAAAGTCAGTAGAGTAAAGAGTATGCATCTTTCTTGATTTTTTTTTTCAGCTGAGTTTTGCGCTTCCCTCGCTAAAACTCAATAAAGTTATTCTACTTTTAAGCGTGTTTTCAATTGACCAAGTTTCCATTTAAAAACCATAACATTCTTCTAGATGATACGAACTCATTATCAGCGCGCGAATATCACGACAGCTTGCGTTGAATCGACCTTGAGACCGATATTTAACAATCTCGTTTCGCAATGTTTTTTTCTTTGCTTTTTTTTTGTAACTCTATTACTTCAGGATATCCTTTAGACCACTTACTTTAAAAACAAAAGATTGTTCAACTGTCTGATGTCTCGAATAGCTTTTGATTAAATAAATCGGGTTCCTGAATTATAAGTTCGCTTCATTTTCGAACACCAACCGTGTCCTCTAAAAAGTTATCCACTCTTCTATGCCACATTCACAGCCTGTTCGCCTCACTGATCTCTTCCATAAACAGTAAGTATTTAAAAAGCGGTAGGGTTAACAAAACAGTGATATAATCAATGAACAGCGAAATTTCTGCAAATGAAATACCTGACCAAAAATAGAAGTCAACTGCCGATAAAACGATCATGGAGGGGAATTCTCAATCGTAGCTAAGCGGAAATAGGCGTGAGTGAACGCAAAACATAAACATGCTCCACTAAACAAAGGGTTACGAAGAATCAGAGACAGTGGTAGGGTCGATATCAAGACTTATCGCTCTTGTTTTGGTGATAAATCAAAAACAAAAATACGCGCCAGTATTGTAAGGTTCTTATCCGAAAATACACTGACAGGATTGTAAATGATTTATTATCGCAAAATGAATTCAAGAGTGGGCGAAACCTTTCCACTTAATCACAAGGCTTCAAATTCTGATAATTCAGTTTCAATTTGTAGTTGGTTTTTGATGATTAACGAGCCTTTGTTAAAGTTTTATCTGAAATTTGGTAGACTGAATGTAACGTTTTCCTCTCAGAGTCTGTTTCACTGAATCGCACGGAACATCGTGAGCAAACCGTAAAATCTATCCTCTTAACTACGAAATTGGAATGGCGGAAATCCAAAAGAGAAAGTGTCCTTCAGTTATCTTTTTAAATAATTTGCATATGTTATTTTTGGAAGGCAAGAGTTACCAATTACAATTCTTGGAACAATATGCACTGAAAACCTGTTGAATGTCAAGTTTAATTGAAGCTCCAAAGGTCAATAACAATCATATTGCATGCCTGCGTCCTCTCTCCCTCTGTGGTATCAAAGAGATTTCTGGAAATCCTGAAGAGTCATAAGTTTTTTCAATCTAGACAAAAAATATCACCAACTTTGAGATCATGGACACATGCCTGTTGGCATTTTGACTTCACTATCCAAAATTCAGAAAGGTTTACACAGGTTAACCTAAAACTTCGACGACAGCAAGGAATTGCAAAAAGTCGAACAAGCGGTTGAAGTAATGACCTTTCTTCCACACGTTCATCGACACCCGGTCATTTTCATGCTTATCAACGTTTTCCGTCTCATGTTTGTAGCTAAACGGCTGTAATGCGCGGTTTTGGCCGATATCTCGAGGTTTTAGCCTTTAGGCAAGGTGCCTATAAATACATGCTTTATAATGTTTAGTTAATGATCTTTCTACTCTTAAACTGTTGTTTACCGTAACGACCGATAAGCAAGCGTTTGATCCACAATAATGTTGGCCTTGGCTTGCATTCTATGAGTCAGCTTAGGTATCAATAACCCAAAGCAAATCGGTACATACCAGGGGTCTACGATAGAGGGCTTATCATTCATTTGAAGTCATTCATTAATGCAAAGCGGATTTTCGACTTCCAATCATCTAGTTCTATTTGCTTTATCGAAAGTGTGAGTTTTTGGTTAAAAAAACAAAACAAAATAAAACAAAACAAAAAACACCGAATCCTCTTATTTTCGTTCAGTTTGATCTACAAACCTGAACAGTGTGAGCACGTATTACGAACACAGCGACAAGAAAAAAGCTTGCAACATTCCTCGCGGGTGGCGTGTTATGACCTCACAGCACCTAAGCCTGGCAGAGATCATCTTCGGAAATTACGCAGCAAATCTTCGTTTAGTTGTCTCTTCTGTAATCGACTGTAAGATATAGAGGTAAGAGCTTAAATATCACTTTCACAAGACTGTAAAACCTCTGGGTGATTCACGGCGATTTGTGTGTGGGATAAATTAAGATTTCCTCCAGCATATGGCTAAGAATCTTCAAGACAGAGTAAAGTAAGTAGTAAATCAAGTAAATCTGCCGTAATAATGACTTCATCTAAACAGCGCTATACGTCATAACTGCAATCATTTAACACACAGATCAGTTCGTTACGTTTACGTTTCCAGCTCACTGATTTAAAATATTCATGTTTTGCCTTTACGGGTAAGTGAAGTGGTCATGCTAGCCTGCGCAATCCTTGGGAGATTTTGAAACATAATAAGCGCAATGATCGACGTGAGTTTTTGAACGTCACGTCCTAGCTTCCGGTGCTCAGTATCTGCTAAATATCCTTATATCCCGAGTTTTAAAGTACACACAACACGCTCAAGCCGGGAACAATGCCATAACGCCGTGATTTGTTGATTGAACGCATTTAATTGGATAAAAAGCTGTAGTTCTCTTCTTGGGTTTTTTAAGTGATTACAGGGATATTTCTGTTTGCTATTAGCATACTATATTTATTTTTTTGTCGAGCTGTGTGGCGTCCATTATCATTGGTAACTAACCTAAATAAAGCGTCCTAACACAAGGGCTCCAAAGTAGCGATCGTTGAATGATGATGATGTTTGATTCAAAAGTGGCCTCTAAAGGTCACAAACGAGAGATTTACATACGATAAAAATGCTCTTTTATGTGCGAACAAGATGATGGCGTCACGTTGACCTTGGATGCTTCAATGAAACATTTAAAATGTCAGAGTAGCGCCTCTTTGTCCTCTGTTTCTGTGCCAGAGGTGTCAAAGTTCTTGCTTAAAATTTGCATAGCTATGGACAGCGTTTGTAGTCATTCGTAAAAAATTATCCATTTCAATCGTCGAATATAACAACAGGAAACCGCAGGATTGTTCAGAGCGGAAGCGATCGTGAAATGGGATCGCTTTCCGCCAAACATTTGAAGATGCAACAGCGCTGTGCATTTGATCTCCTTCCCCTGGCTAATTGGCGAGTGTAATGGAGGTTTGTTTTTGTGTGACATGACATGGTTGACGAATCATGAATGTCAGATCTAATTAATTTCCTCTTTTCAAATTCAACCTTCTGCCCCCACAACGGGTTAAAGCGAAATTTACGAAAAAAAGATTGTTTTGAGAAGGTTCGGGGTGAATAACTACGTGCCAACTCCTACACGCGAAACCAAGTGGATCGCGATACCTGTCACGTACAATCCTGCAGTTTACTAGCTCACTCTTGTCTCTGCCTATTGTTTGATATTACATAAAATTGGATGTAACACGCTTGTGTTCTCGGTAATTTACAGCCGGCAGGCATCGTTAATACGCACCTCTGATTGGTCAGTGTTCATGTTAACTGGGTTTTTGATTGACAGGTACGTAGTGTCAAAATGAAATGGCCATGTGAGTTCTTTTCCCGCCACGCCTTCTCATCAGTTGAAACGAATTGTGATTGGCTCTTTTCAAAACGGAACAAAGCCGCTGGTGACTCAAAGGAAACCGTGTGCATGAAAGTGACGCAGCGAATGAACACACTGTAGTGAACCAGAAAGAGTCGATCACATGTGCTCAAGGAGCGAAAATCATTCCATTGCATAGATCGCCAAGGACACAGTGGTAACTGTGACTTGCGCCCAGTTTATTCAGATTCAATGCGATTATTTTGCGACGGTGAAATGGCCGAGGGCTTGGATAAGTTAGCTGGACAGAGCAAAATACCGTGTCCTCTATGTCATAACGGCTTCGACGATCCAAAAGTTTTGCCGTGTTTACATACTTTTTGTAAGAACTGCCTGACGGAAGCGGTCGAAAATGGTCGGTTAAAATGCCCAACGTGTCGTTTAAACGTTCCTCTGTCTGAGGCCGGAGTAGACGGTTTACCTACAAACATCTTCAGTCATAATATTTTGGATGTGCTTGTTCCGAGCCAAGGAAGCATCGAAACCAGCAGCTTGATACGAGCTGTGATCCGTGATTGCAGTAATTGTAGTGAAGGATCAATGGTTACGGCGCACTGTAAAGACTGCAGTGAGTATCTATGTGACAGTTGTGTTCGAGCTCATCAGAGAGTTCGGATGACCAAAGATCATAGAATCGTTTCATTTATCGAAGAAGCTGCTATGATGCAGAATAAAACAACCCTTGCCACATCAACGTTAGCGTCTTCGCCAACCATTTCAATTTCGCCCTTGCCGACGATGGCCGATAAAACTCCTTCTGAAGGGTTGGTACGCTGTGGGAAACATGAAACTGAATTTTTGCGGCTTTATTGCGAGACATGTTTTACTCCGGTCTGTAGTGATTGTACTTTCCAAGATCATCGAGGCCATAGTTTCCAGTACCTTCGCGAGGCGGTTGAATCAACCAAAGCGATCGTGGGAAAGTTGATCGCTGATGCCAAAAGCGAGATTTGTAAATTGGAAGAATCGGTGAGTTCATCGCAAGCGATCGCAGAGCAAGTGGAATACAGGGCACAAACTGTCTCCAACGAGATCAGGCAAACTGTACGAAGGCACATGGCTGCATTGGAAGAGCGGGAGAGAGAGCTTTTACGACGCGTGGAGAAAGTGCGCCAAATTAAAGGTAAATCCCTTCATTTACAGATTGATGAACTCAAGGCTAGCTTAGGTAAAGTCTTAAGCGTTTGCAAATCGTCTGAGGGAGCGTTAGAACTGAACTCAGACCCAGAATTGCTCGCAGCCAAGGGTCGTTTATCTAAACACTTAAATGAACTTAGAGCGAAACGTGGCCTATTACAGCCCCACGAAGATGACGCCATATTATTCACACCTCCTGACCAGGCTTTGCAAACAGCCATTAGTTCTCTGGGTATTGTTAGTAGTAACGCTTTTGCTCCGTATTCTTGTGCGACTGGTGACGGGCTAAGACGAGGTATTCGCGGCAAAGTGGCTATGTTTATAGTGCAAGCTAAAGATCATCAAGGCGAAAACCGCTGTATCGGTGGGGACCCCTTGCGCGTTCAAGTACAAGGCCCTGATGGGATCTTCTATCGAGCAGAGGTTAGCGATCGGCAAAATGGAACTTACACAGTTTCTTATCGTCCTCAAGTGACTGGAGAACATATTGTTTCAGTGACTATACGTGGTCGACACATAAACGATTCTCCGTTCAGAGTTACAGTTATCAAGGGTCGAAATTACGTTGGCATAGGGCCAGTCGTTCGTTTTTTCGGCTCTGAGGGTGAAGCTGATGGTGAACTTTGTCGCCCATGGGGCGTTTGCTGCGATAAAGATGGTAATATTATTGTTGCTGATCGAAGCAACAACCGTATTCAAGTCTTCGATTGCTACGGGAATTTTCGTCTCAAGTTCGGATCTGCAGGCTCTAGAAATGGACAATTTGATCGGCCCGCAGGGGTAACTTGTGACAGCGATGGACGCATTATCGTTGCTGATAAAGACAACCATCGTATCCAAGTTTTTAACGCCGATGGAACATTCATTCTTAAATTTGGCGAGAAAGGTTGCAAGAATGGCCAGTTTAGCTACCCCTGGGATGTGGCATGCAACAACGAGGGTAACATTCTAGTTTCGGACACGCGTAATCACCGTGTCCAACTCTTCGACAGAGAGGGAAAGTTCCTCGGCAAGTTTGGCTTTGAAGGCATCCACTGGAAAGAGTTTGATTCTCCCCGCGGTGTAGCGTTTAATCATGAAGGCCATATGATCGTCACCGACTTCAACAACCACCGATTGCTCGTGATCAGGGTGGACTTCCAACATGCCTGGTTCTTGGGAGTGGAGGGAAGCAAGAACACAGAGTTCCTACGCCCTCAAGGAGTCGCCGTGGACCAAGAGGGAAACATCATCGTTGCTGACTCAAAGAATCACCGAATTCAGATCTTCCAACCCAATGGAAACTTCCTCTGCAAGTTTGGAATACACGGCAATGCCCCCGGTCAGCTTGATCGTCCTTCAGGTATATGTGTAAGCAACGAAGGAGCAATCATTGTTGTAGATTTTGGTAACAATCGCATACAAGTGTTCTAAAACCATTAACAAACGCTGGGCGACGTGTTGTTGCATTTACATGATCGTGTGAAGTAGATTACTATTAGAAACGTTTATGGCGACAAGGTTTTTTTTTTTTGCCCGGCTAGCTGTTCTTCAATTGAGCGCTGTGAGATAATGTAAACAAAATGTTTGCATGACTGCAGAAATCAAGGAACTCTCTAACATCGATCGATTGTTTTTTCATTGTCAGGAGATGTTATTTTTAAGCTTTATTTTTGAGTTCTTGCGGTGTTTCAAGCGCTCGAATTGGCCTATGGCTCGGAGAGATTTTCAAAGTAGAGTTGAACAGTTTAAGCCAAACCCACAAATAGCTCAGAATTTGCGTTTCACACCATTTTGTGCTGACAACATACACGCCGTCTTTCGTTTCAGTACAAATTCATCATTCACGTAGAGAGCTCGTATACTATTCGGTAAATTTAGAACACAGCTTGCCAGACAGAAATGAAAGGCGAAATTTATAGCTTATCTTTTGCAATGTCTTTATTTGATTCCTTTGTCAAAATGTTGCACGAGTTATGTACGCACCTCGAGTTCGTAACAGCACTTTTAACATGTAAGCTTATAATCTATTTAAATGCTGAGTTTTGTCTGATTATTTAAAGCGTTTGTCTTGGAAGAAATAGTGAGAAGAGTCAACTATTTGTGCAAGGATCTCGTTTTGGCAGCGTACCCTTGAGAAATAGTTAATAATTTAATTTGGACGCCGAGCTCAAACGAGCCGACGTTATGGCCTGAAAAAAGGGAAGGTGTGAATCATCTCAATAGAGGTTCGTTTACTATTCAACTTGCTTTTGCATCGAGAAGCGGAAAAGGTTTCGGAATTTTCATAGCTTTGTTTTTGTTCTAAGCTATGCCATTGTTAACGCCACTTCGGAGAATTCTTTAGGCTAATTCTTGAAATCGATGTGTTATGTCCATATTCCATACGTTAAAAAGAAACCATCTAAGGCGTCTTTTTCTATTTGTCAAGACATTTTTTAACTTTGGCTTGGAAGATACAGTCACATCCCGTGGGAATCCCAATTTTTCTTCTGTTTGAAAACTAAATCAAGTCGTTTGTACTACAACGTTCCATGGAATATAACGGCTATCCCATGGGAGGATTCGTTCTTTGAATTGAACAAAAACAAGTTATGTTTACAACATCATTTCGGTTGAAAAGTACGTTGTTGCCTTAAGCAACGCGTGATAGTCGCCCGAAAATGTTAACCAAAGTTTATTCGGTTAAACGCGAGAAAGACGCAGTTGTTAGATCATTTTAGAGAATTTGCGCGCGCTGGGAATTAAAATCGAGGTAGAAAACAGTAGTCAGTTTTAAGTGTAGAAGTAGTCATCGCTGTTAAAACAGAACTAGAGAACACCTTCAAACGATTTGATTTTCCCAGCCTAATAAATTTCTAAAGATGTGTTATTTTTTATCAAGAACATGAATATTTTGCGCGCATATATGCAGTAGAGTAATCATTGACTTAAATTATCGACTAAAGATGTATTATGAATGAGATAGATATTCCTAATGTTAGCTTTATTTTTTTTGTTTAGAAAAAATGAGGAATTGAACATTATGTTCAAGTTACGTCGTCGTATTTCAGTCTGAAGATAGAGAAAAAGCGACAAATCGCGAAAGTTATATTAATTGTGCCTCGAAACGGCATTGCTTATTAGAGTGAAACAAATTCAAGATTGTAGTGAAATCTTTCGAAAATGAAGTGTAATGAATATTTACTGTTTTCATTGGTATATTGTATTGTCGTAGTGTGTCAAGGTAATTCTTAGCTTACTATTCTAAATTTGTTCACGTTTGAATCTTTAATTTGAAGATCGATGGACTTCAAAAAGTTGGTAAGCTGTTTTGTTCTTTTCACTCATTGAACACGCATTGATACTAGTTTAAATGAGGTTAACAAATTTTGATCCAATTTTGTCTTGGAATTACAAGTTTACAATCTGATTAAACAGATCCGAGTTAGCTTTTTTTCTCGATTTTTCAAGAATCAGCAAATGGAGTGATGGCAACAAAGTTGATTACAACGAAATCGCGGCATCAGGAGAAAATTCATTGATGTGCTCGTTATTGAAGTAAAAAATTCCTAGTAAAAAATTCTGAAATTGAGAATGTCCATCCCTATTTTAGAATATTGTAGATCATGCGTTCGAGGTTTTGATTACTAAATTAATTCTTAGAGATTGTTTGAGTGTACTCCTAGCAAATGCTAAGCTTTTCCTTTGCAATTCTTGAAATACAACTTTGTGGCACATTATTTATTGAACTAGCTCTCAAGCTTAATATATTGTTCTGCTATTATCTTCATAGAATATTTCGTAAATATCAAGGTGTAGAAATCTCTCTTATCAGATTTGAACACTTATTTTGACGCTCTCCTGTACAGTTTATCTTCAAAGTTGTATTTGAGGAATTGCAAGGGTTATATGTAATAATTTTGTGCCATAATATTACTGTTCAAAACAAGGACAGCTAGATGTTATAATATAATAACCAGGACTGTTTCGTACTAATTTATTGAATTAAATTTAAACAATTTGAATTTATTACATTATTGTGAAGGTTATTGTCTGCCACTTGAAAAAGAGCGTTGCTATTTATAGAGACACTGGCTTACAAGCAAAAAAATGAACTTGCTGTGGCAAAATGGCCCACATTGTGCCTAAAGGATGTTTTCTGCTTTGACCAGGAACAGTGTCACACTCCATGCACGGAATGATAGTCCACTGAAGGTGTTTTTCCAGGCTAAAGTCAAAGTTTCCTTAACAATTCTTTGGTATTCAATTATTCTCCTAATGGAAGAGATGTACTATCAGTTATAATGTGCTTTCCTATGACCTTGTTGACCAATTACGAATACCAGAACACAAAACATGCATCTTCTTTCTTTTTTTTTGATGAATTTAACCAACCTTGTAGGATGCTTATGGCAGCGTCAAGAAGTTCGAGTGAATTTGCGCAAGGGAAACAGTGATGGTGCAAGAGTTCTCACCTCCCATGACTGTGGTGTCCCATTCCTGGACCTTGTGTTACATGTGGATTTACTTTGTTTTTGGTTCATTTTCTTGCTCCCATGATTTTTTTTCTCCAATTTAATTCTTTGCCCTTCCACCACAGAACCCGACACTTCAAAATTTTACCTCAGAGAAGTAACACAGCTAAGATCCAAGTTAGCTACTGGTTACAGTTACTTCACATCACTAACTATCAATTCAGATAGAAGTGGTCAAGGTTCTAACAAGGAACCTTTTAACCTCAGCAGCTAATTTCAAACCAGAATTTGATCGCAAAGAACATTGAGAACAATATTTATATAAAAATGTTCCTCTTGTTTCATTTTGAAATGACTTAACATTAGTAGGTAAGAAGTGAAACTGCGACTTAGACTTGAAAAAACTGCCATCAACCAGGACCCTTAGGCAGCCTTTTCTACGACTGCTGCCACAGTATTCAACAAGACGAACCTTGCTGCTGCTAAGGGATACATACTGAGAGCATTGTCCTACTAAATAAATATATCTTAAAACATGAAAGAAAGCTAAAACAGTAAGGTCAAACCACAGAGAACTTTTATTGTATTTACTAGGAAGTTTTAAGAGTAAGCCAACTTGACATAATCAGCCAAGATTTCCTGGTCTGTGCAATTAAATTAAATTTAATGTAATTAAAAAAACATCTAGAAACAGAGGAATTTTACAGCTTAATTATTTTATCCCCAGAGCTATTTTTAAATTCAGATAAGACAGAAAAAGAATGTACTTTTACTTCAGTCTATTCTCCCATAATTACATTTGCTTGATGGAACCCTCTGAGTATGTGTCTTACACTGTGATATGTCAGTTACATCACTAGGTTCAGTATCAAGACATTTATGTCTAGATGCTTGTACAGAAACTTTAAGTTCAGTCTGCACACCAAGGTTTTAAAGACATTGTTCGTCACCTGCACTGGTGATTAAAAGATAAAATGAATTGGTAAGGTTAACAAGCCTAGGGATAAATCTTACACAATCGCTGTGTAACCTGTTTTCATGCTTAAATTACAAACCAAATGGGTCTCATTTCAGCCAAAGCTCTAATTGCAAATTATATGGAATAGGAAGTTTTAATAATTTTTTCTTTGACTCACACTCCATTGTTTGTTTGTTGTATTTTATATCAGGTATGTTCCCTTGATCTGTATTTAGTGTATCAAGAACTTTGTACAGGGACATATGTTCCCAATTCAAGATAGCTAAAGTTTCTTCTTGGAGCTAATTTTTGCAATTTCAATGCAAGAAGCTGAACATTTGCAAGGAAACAATGTAACTCACTCAGATTTTCTACTAAATACATTGATAATTTGGAGATGGATATTTTGCAAAGTGCAAACATACAGAGTAAGAATTGAAACTTGATTTGTATACAGAGTTATTTCATTTCACTGGATGCGGTGAATTTTTCCTGCAGTCTATTTTGCTGCTGTTGCAGTTTTCCCTTAGTTTGAATTTATTGAGGACCATCTGCAAAATCCCCAGAAAATTAACCATGCAAAATTTTCATGCAACACTTAAAGCCATGTTTGAATGTTGCACTTTAAATAAAATTTCTGTCACCATTAGAAATATCTGAAACGTTTGCCATCATTATTTAGTCTTTTAATCCTTGGTAGTTTCAACCAATATTTGAAGGAGGGATGCCCGTAGTGTCTTTTATCCAGTTAAGTACAAACTCGGGTAGAGGTTCCATTCTTGTTATGTCACAAAGGGATCCAAGTGCAATGTTTTCACTGTCAAGATCATTCAAGGCCAGACTTGCACAATAAATTTCCTGAATTTCAAAACATCCTTTTGTCACTTGTGTTATGGTTTATGTCTCCAGGTTGGTAAAATTATCCAACAGTGTTCTGTCAATACGAGAAATCATAGCCTTTAACTGTTTTCCTGGGCCTACTTCAAATATTTTTTCTGGGTTTGTCCTTTGTTTGATAACATTTTGGATTGTTTTCATCCAGTGAACTGGCTCCACGAGTTGCTGTACAAGTAAACTGCAAAATAACAAAGAGAGCAATATGAGGCATTCCACCCTGAAAACAGAAAGCTATTTTCTTTCAAGAGTAACATCAAAGATTTATTTTAAATTCAGGGTTTAGTCATCGAGCATTTTGTTAGTAAGCTGGTTCCCCAGAAGTTGACACAAGAAATGCAGAATGCAGGGGGTGAGCAGTTATAGTAATGGAAAGGATTTACTGAGTTGTTGGTGACAGCTGAGGAACTAAAACTTCCCATGCAGGACAGAAGCAGATGGAGTCAATGTAAAGCAATGGTATGAGCAAGACTCAGTTTGATTGAAATCAAGAAAAGCTTATCATCATTCACCTACTGGTGGTAATGTTTTACTATTAATAACTATATTAAAAGAGTACAAAGTGGATGAATTTGTATTTTGCTTTCTACTTTGTTGCTCAATAATTCATAATTAAGATTGCAAGTTATCCACCCTTATGTTCTATAGGTCACACCATATAAAAGTTATTTTTAATTTGTTACTCACTCCTGATCCTAGATTGCTTGTTAACTTAGTATGTAATGATAAAATATTCACAAAGAAAATTTAAGAGACAAACAAAACAGTTCCCCATGGATCTCTTCAAGCTGTGAAACCACAAGCACAGTATTGGGATTAAATACATGTAGGTACTGGTGGAAACCAGAGATATTGTCTTTCTAAGTTCCATAAGAAATGTGAATTCCATATTACAGAGAAAACTTGATATTACCTCAGAAAAAGGAGCAGAACTTACAGGAAGGTAAACGTATATCACATTTGAAATAAGTGGCAAGTATTTGACCCTTCCCAATAGATTGAGGTTCAATTGCTTTCACAATGTCATGCTTGATGCATGTAAAAACACAATCAAACCACTTCTGAGAAATGCAAATTTGAAAGCCAAACCTGATAAGGGAACAATGGTAGTTGATTGTGGTATAGTTCTGCTATTTATAAAATACTTACTACTGCCAACAATTGTATGAGTGAACAGAACTTATTTGCATCATTGTAGGTGAGTGAAGGTAATTTAAGGAGCAACAGCACTACCTGATAAAACTTCACATAAAAGCCATTGAATCTAACTAATGTCAGGCTTTGTTCATCTACTTTTGAAATCACCTTATATTACGAACAACTTGCTTCTGTCAGATCTAGACAGAAGCACTCAAAATAGGAGCAAAGACCTTTCTGGAATGCCATTGCCAATTGCTTTTGACTTAATTTGAATAGAAATGTAAAATTGGACCAAGTCCAGATGAACTGATTGTGGTTGACAAATCTTTGAAACTTAATATGCTGGTGTAATTTCAAAAATCACACACACACACACATAAAACCAAATCAAAAAAAAGAGCTGAAAGACAAGATCTCCATCGTGTAAATCACATACCCCATGCATGAAATGTATTCAATTATTTGGTGCATAAGTTCTGCTCATAGTTATAGTGTGACAAGCTTATTAAAAGTTATGCTCTGAATATTTTCCCTAAGGTTTGCCTAATAAAATTGATTAACATTATACACTAAATTAGTTCTTATTCTTTATGAAAAAATGTGGATGTTCTTAATGCTTTTAGCACTACAGCCTCTTATTTAATAACAGACTTGCTTTCATTCATAACAGTTCCTTAAAAGGGTGCAAATATTTGCCATGTGTTAAGCAGCCATTGCAGAATGGAAGAGGAAAACAGCTTGATTTATAACACAAACTGTAGGATTCTTCCAAACAGTTAGGAAATAAGCAGGAAAAAAATAGTTCTTATGAGTTAAATTCAGTTTGCAAAACATGTTTCAACTTTACTACCTTCAGTTGCAAAGGATCATGTTACAATTTGAATTTAAACTTTACAAATACGTTATTGAATTATGAGTTATAAGATTATGCAATTCACAGTTGTTAACTATTCACTGAAGAATGAAATTTAACTTGTCATAGTTAAGGAAACATTTCACCCTAAGGCTAGTTCCTTGATTGGAGTGCAGTGAACCTCATTCAAACACAAAAAGGATTAGAGATGGTGAAGGCTTTGACTCTGTTCAGCATTGCTACCATTAATAACAGCATGAGATGCTAGTGAATGGTTGATTAAACCAAGTTACATTTTTCAAGCAGCTTCAGGCTGAAAAAGGTAACTGCATCCAATTATTTCTACACCCACTTGTGAAAAGGCCTAATTTCTGCCACCCTCTTAAGCCTAATCTTTAAGAAATTTCCCAGCGTCTCTCAAATCCTGAATAGTGACTAGTTATTGAGTATATTGGGTAGAGATAAGCTGAGTTGCTGACAGTGGTTTAACCACAACATCAGCATGCACATTCTCCATGTTGTTCTTTACACATTTCCTAAAGTGCGAACAAGGAGAATTTGTGTGACTATCACAAGCTTCTTAAGTTTGCAATCATTTCTCTTATTCTCATGATCTAAATGTTTGATTCACCAGTAACACCATAAGAAGGAATTAGATCAAAGTCACTCTTTGGTTTAACCAGCAACCAAATAATTTTGGACAAGCAGTAAATCTGTAAGACATCGATGTAATTTTAACAGCGACGCCACCCTTGACCTAAACTCTTGTAAATAACTGGTTATTCCCAGACTTACTATCATTGACTTAGAAATAATTTTCACAACCAAAAGGTCATTGAAAGATCTGCACACTGAAGACATAAAATCATGGCCCCCTGCGATATAGTACTTGATTTTACTAACCCTGCAATTTTTGGAACTTTTTGTCTTTGTCCTGTTTTGGCTAAGGGTGACATCTCACAACAATCAATGCTCTGGGAGCTGTAATCTAAGCTATAATTTAGTGGTATCTACAATTATGTGCCAGGCAAATGAAAAATTTTAACGTGCTATTTTTCACTTGAGACACTTGTCAGCATTTTCAGTTACCACCTCCACACCTGTTGGTGTCATTTATAACTCACCCCCGGAAATCCCTTTAAAATGATATATTATGCATCGTCTAATGGTTCATCGTTCTCATTTTAGAAATTTAGCATTTCCCTCGGGCAGTAAAGGGTTAAGGCTTAATGATAATGAACCCAGTAAATACCCCTTGTAACTAGCCTAACAAGCCTAATACATGACTGAACAGAAAGACTGCAAAATCTCATAACAATTTCTGTGGCAAGAAAAGATTACATCCATGAAAACCAATACCCACTGACAGTTACTCCCACTTGATGCTGATGATACTGGTAGCTTCTTCCTCTTAGCATAATCAGCTTCTCCTGAAAATTTACCAGTACCTGGGTAGGGTTTTGATAACTCTCTCTATTAAGTTAAGGAGCCATAAGGCAAAACCCAAAGAGAACCTGCTTGCAAGCTAAACAGATGGCAATAAGAGGTCATTTAGGTGACAGTACACTGCTGATAAGCAGTTTTAATGAATCCTGCCATGTACGCCCCTTGGATGGATAGCGGCAAAATGTGAGAACAACTTGTCCCAGAACAGAACACAGAACAAAACACAGAAATTCCAGTCAAGCCTCAAAAGATTTATTGTACTTAGCTGAGATCTGATTTCCATTAATGATATCAATTGTTGTTATTTAAGTATACCTTTTTATCTGCTCCACATCAGTAAAGGGTCCACAGCTTGTTCCCGAATACACTGTGCATCTGGGCATTTGAACAGTGATAGAATCCAACACATGCCTTAGAGGTTCCTGGGCAGGCTTCATCAGTATGGTATGAAATGCACCACTTACAGGAATGAGCTGAGCTCTTTTGATGCCATGCTAAGAGATGAAAATAAAGTTAATTTTCATTTAGAACTAGATTAAGGCAAAAGTTATGTAACAATCATAGCGGAGCCTGCGTAACCCCATAATTATACAAAATAGTAGTAACCCATCAAGCCGAAAAAATTTGGATGTATGACCGTATGACCGTACAAACCTACAAGGTGCTACTTTTAACATGTGTGGTCAACTGTTTCACAGGCATGCCAATGCCATGGATTTGTCCAGTTGTCCAGTGGTCAGTGCACTGGGCTCTGAATCAGACAACCCTGGTTCTAGTCCTGGCCGGGGCAAGGTCAGGGCGTGAAATTGTGCCTAATACAGGCACCAATGCGACTAAATTTTTCACTTTGGCGACCAAATCCTGAAAATTAGTCACCAAATTAACACCTAGAATGCTTCATCAATCATAAAAAGATTTGCAAAGATAAATCCGCAGTAAACTTCCTCGTTAAGTTTGTTTCCAAAACACAGCACATGCATCTCAGTCAATAACGAGACACCATCTTGGATTTAGGTGAGCTTGAGAGTTGAATATCATCAGTCCTAGTGTCCACTTTGTAGCATGAAAGATCTTTTTCCTAACTTAATTTTAGAGGGTCTATCTAGCACGCTGACAGCATAAAAAAAAAAGTTTTGTTTGTCTTTAAAAATGGCAACCAACTTTTTTGAATTGGCTACCACTTTGAAAATTTAGGAGCCAAGTGGCTATCAGAAAAAAAAAATTAATTTCACACCCTGAAGGTGTTGTGCCCTTGAGACATGCGGGGAAAAAAAGGGAAGCTCTGCTTTTAGGATTGGCTAAATCTATATGTTACAGAGACAGGAAAATCTAATAATTCCCTCAGATTGAAAATTGACTTTGCAACTTTTTTTATGGTTAGCATGCTGGATTTCAAGAGCAGAGGTCAGGATTCAAGCCCTCACAGGGCATTGTGTTTTAGTCTTGGGCAAGACATTTATTATCATATTCTGGCTGCACCCATGGGGCAAGAGGTAGCAAATCCTGTGCTATGATTGGCTACCCAAGTGGGCAAGATGGACCCATCCTGCTCGCTTTTTTAATGGAAAAAACAGTGTGGAGCTGACTTTTCTAGTCAGTAAAGGCCTATTGTGTTTATACAATAAACAAAATAATATGTAGTTGATATTAGAAATCAAATTTCTCTTCTCATTTTCAAACAATATCCTACTCATTGCACTGCACTGCACTGCACTCACTTGTAAGATATTGAGTTGAACACTTGAAGACACACACTCATGTATCATTCTCTATTTATCACACCTTAGCCTTTCCAAATTCCAGAATATACTTCACAGATGACTTGTCACCTCCTATTACCCAGCCACCAGGGAAAAGATAATTTGCCACACAAGCCACTGGTTCCTCTGTGCCACTTTTGCGAGACCACTCTTTTGCATGATCACAAAGAAGATGAAGATCCAGGTTTGCTGGTGCCAAAATGGACACCAAACCACTGGGGTGTTTATCAGAAGCTTCCTGCATGGCTTGAGCACGCACTTGGACTACTTTTAGGCCTAAAGAGTTTAAAAAATTGTAAATTATTTTGAAAGGATTTCATTAACTTTTTCCATAAGGGGCTGCTGATAGTAACCCAAAACTCAAACTTGAGAACAACTTGCAGGCTAAACAAAGGGTGTTACAAGGTCTATCAGGCAGCAGTAGACTGTTGGTAACATGGTCAGTTTGGCAGTCCCCAAACGGGGAAGAGGAAGAGAGAACTCATAAGTGGGAGTAAATCATCTTGATAAAACCACAAATCAACCCAATTTACATGTACAAATAAAGAAATGGGTAGAGCTATGAATCAGATCCTAAGGTTTATAGAAAACTAACAGATGTAAACACTTGCTTGCAAAAACAAGACAAGACCCTATGCCTTTATGGGCCACAAATACATGATAACTGCCATTAGTTGTAGGTAGTGAATGATGGATGTTATCCAAGCTTTCCTGAAAGAAAAGGAGTATCATAAAAGAAATAATTGAATGATGTGAAAAATGAGAAAAATGAATCACTAATTATGTATCTTTGCCAACATTTCCCATGAAGCCATTTGGTCTAATTGTTCATGGATCGTGCTTTTTAGGTATCAAAGTTTTGGTAATAAAGTGGATCTTCCTTCATACTTCATCAGCCAGAGCCTGAAGTTACAGACAATCTGGGTAAGCTTCCAGTGACTGGATTGTTAAAAGACTGAAACAAATGTTTACTCATAAATACCTACCATCTTCAAAGGAAAGTGCTCCAGAGAATATCAAGGCAGATACCTCACCAACACTAAATCCAGCAGTGACCACGTTAGAATTAGGTTCATCTGATCCATTAAGGCAAACCTGTAAAAATTCAGAGCAATTAATTTTGCTTGATAAAGGGTGACAAGTCATAGCAGTCTTGAGCTTACACATTGACTTTAGATCAAACTCCATTTGACCATGGTCCCGTAGCCCCAGTAACTTTTCAAGCTAAATGTCATATTTCTGGATCTACTACTACTTCTTTCAAACATCAACCCGTCCTGTTTCTTCTCTTTAGCTACTAACGGTGAAATCTTTTGGCGGGAGATGTTAAATTTATACCTTTGCGCCTGTGACCTTCGCATGCTGTAAAGCAGCTAGAGAAGCCACCACAATTGCAGGCTGGCAGTGCACTGTCTTATTCAAGTCTTCCTCAGGACCGTGCAAACATATGTTCAATAAGTCATACCCCAAACTTTTCTCAGCAACCTCAAAAAGCTGCGACACCGTACTCTCTGTTACCAAGCGCTGGCACATTCCGACATATTGAGCTCCTTGCCCGGGAAAGAGAATACACGATGAAGAAATAAATCTACGACGTCCATGGAATCTCATGAAAAATATTCGCAAATGACACAATGCGCTAGCGATCATAGTATGGCTCAAGTGAGCACAAATGTTGCTGTAAAGTTATGCTCTGTTACAGGCTCACTCAATCCGCCATATTCTTCCTGAGCCGGCGAAATACTTTCGTTTTCAGCGGTCAAAGTAGTGGGATTTGGCAGGTCAGCATTAGATTCCATCCACCAAAACCACCTTGGTCGAGAGGGACTGAGATGGAATGATGGACAACTCATGACTTGTTATACTAAATTAAAATTACGAAGCTACGACAACATGCCGACTTATCCCGATGACCTAAGTGTATTATTTGTTTGGGAAATTGCGTCAAAACTTTTTACTCAAGAAATGGTAAGTATTAATTTATTGTTCGATTGTAGTATCATAAAACATTTTACGCAATTTTATGCAGATATTTTACGTATTTAAAAGGTGCCCAGATGTTACGTAGTTTTGGTGGATGTCATTAGGGAACATCCACCAAAACTTTGACCAAAACCATCAACAATATATTTTTTTAATTTTATCTATAGCCACTGTTAGATGTTCAGGGAGACAAAAGATTTATACCACTAATTAGCAGTTAGTGCTCTGGCTAATTATTTTTTATGGTGCACAATTGCTGACCGACCAAACGTTCATAATGATTATCATAACTCTTAACACATAGAATAAAGTGGTTTTGGTGGATGTTTCTTTCCATCCACCAAAACCACCATAGCAATTTCTGCTACTTCCTTACAGAAGACTGGTGTGACCTGCTATTTGGAGTACATAACCACAATCTATTTCTTTGTATGTAGAGATATTTTGCAAAGTTCTTGAGTCAGCACCTTTTATTATTGAAACCATAATCATAACATGGTGCACAATATAGAATACAAAAGGTTCTGGTGTGGCAATCATGTAATCTTGAAACAGGAGAGTTTATAACTGACTTAAACTGACTTAAACTGACTTAAACAGACATTTGCAACAAAATTCCAGGTCCAGAAATTTCTTCCACTATTTCCGCTAAAATCATAACCTTTAAGTACAACAAATCAGCACATCAGTAATTGTTATCAGGGGTCTGATAATCCTATCAATCTTTCACATTTATTTAAAGTAACCTTTAATTTTGCATGGATGAATAAGTATACACTCAAGATGCAGAATGTCTTACATTTTACAAACTATTTCCCTTTTTATAGATAGACAGTGAAAGGCCTTTGCCACATTGGTGAATCAAACCATTGTATATCATGCATTTTGTGATAATTGTTTGTTTTTGCTCACAATATCCAGAAAAATGGAGGGGATAAATCTAAATAGCAAATTCTATTAATGGTTAAAATTAAATAACATTGGAAGATCAAATTAACTTTGTACTGTTTAAAATTCAGTTTTGGTTTCTTGCTTATTCCAGCCTCTTAATATTCAAAAGCATTCCTTGTCATTTTTGTGTTCTTCTGTGTATATAACTTGAAAAATAAACACAGAGAAAGGAAACCACAAAGGATTAAACTTGAAGCTAAAGCAAAGTTTAAGTTGAGCCATAGCTGATCCAAATACTGAGCACTTTGTATTGTAACCCATTTAGCAGTAAAGTTTATCTATATGTCTGCCAGCTTGTCACAAGTCTTACCCCTCTCCTTCAAAAGTCTCTATAAATAAATTTTTCTTTGTGGTCCCTAATTGATGATAAGTATATTACAGCTCCTCAATTTCCTTCTCTCAAGACAAGGTTACTCTAAATTTAACAAAGTAATGGACTTGATAAAACTCAAACTATAACTCAGCTGGCTGCTACTTGCAACCTTAATTTCTTGATACCAGTATACAATAATCAATATGTTATAAATAAGAACCCTAATGCTTAATTTAGTAGTGATCACCTTCCTCCTTTTCATTTGCAGACCAGACTGGAACCTATATAGGTGTGTTTGCTTGTTTTGAGTGGGGATGGAAGAAAAGGAGTCATGCCTTATATCTGATTTATTAAACTGGATTTGTTCTGTTTATACATGAGTATAACTACCTTGTTCTCTGAAAAAAAATAAAATTTATTGCATTTTTATCTGTGCTTTGCAGTCAAACTTCCTTGTGTCTTGGAAAAGAAATCTTATTTTCTTGAAAACAAAATCTTTGTTTTCGGCCTTCTGTAATAGGTAAATATAACAGTGTAAGATGAGTGACAGTGTATTTCTCAAGTTATTTTTTGGAATGTGACAAAACGGAAGTGTCATAGCATGATAAGGAGCCAACATATGATTGCTTGATAGAAAGCAAAAAATGCAGAATTGCATATATTTTCTCCTTTGTCAGCAGCATATGTTAGTGAAAAGTTCTTATAATTGTTAACTTCTAAACCATCTTCAATTTAGCCAAGATTGAAGTGTTATCACGTTTGTCCTAAAAGTATTCTGAGATCGATGTCATATGACCCATTCATGTATTTGACCTTTCAAATTAGCAAGCCATAGTTGACAGTAACACAAAGGTTGAGGATAAAAAGAAATTATTATACACAGTACTTCTTCTGCATCTTTTCGTTTCCTTTTCTCTCCAGTTGTTTTATCTATGCCGTGTTGGCAATAGTCCATTTTACAGTTGTATGCTTGGTTGCCAAGCCTTTGAACAGGAGTGAGGCTAAGGGTGACCTTGTTATGATACAAACCTTGCTGCTTTTGAAATGCAAATTAATTTGTTATCATGCTAACTAGATTCTGGTCCCTAACACAACAAGGTCACCTTCAGCCTCACTCCAAATCAAAGGCTTGGCAACTAAGTACACAACTGTAAAATGGCCTATTGAACACTTTCCTTCCCAAAATTAGGAAAGGCACACCAGTGAAAAACGAATTTATGCTCCTTAAATATCTCATGCATCTTCCCCCAGTATTTTGTGACTTCTGTCCGAGGAAGGAGATGTAAGCATTAAGTTAACCCGAATGATTCCACAATTGTGGTATCATCCAAGCCATGCCAGAGGACTTGAACTAGATAAACTAGTGAGAATGCACAATAGCGATAGCAAAGCTTTGTAATGCCAAAGAGCTATATCAATATATATGTATATATATATACACCGGTGTTCCCGAAACCTTTGACAGCTTTAAAGAAAGAAAACTTCGTCGTCAATCCTGTTTCAAATTCCGCAATAAGTTTATGCGCCTCATCAACAGAATATACGTATCCTAAATTATCTGCATGTCTACCATTAAGCAATGGTTCGCGACTTAAAATTCTCGCTATGCTGTTTCTGTTTGTTCCTCAAGAATCATGGGATTTACAGCTTCGGATGTTCGGCTACATCACTTGCGGATTTCCGAGAATCTTCGGTTATGTTTTGCAAGTCATTAAATATTCCGTCTCAGTCCCTCTCGACCGAGGTGGTTTTGGTGGATGGAATCTAATGCTGACCGATTTGGCATGAGTCTCATTTTGAGAGAATCAAAGATGGCGGAAGATGTGAATCTCCAAGCTTCAGGATATGACGAAGATTTGTGCGAAAATCCGTTCTTTAAGTACATGCAAACAAAGCAAAAACAAATATACGAGGAAGCAGCTAGCAAAAGATGGACGGTAGGTCTGATTACTCAGATATTTGGGATCGAATTTTTGCAGAAAACTGATGCAAAGGTGACATCACTGCTGCTATTTACGGAACTTATTAACCTTTCCCCATTGCATTTCTCAGTGATTATCAACGTCACTTCTCGTGTCAATTTGGGAAAGTGCCTCATAAAAATTTTTTTAGAGGGCAATTCGAGTAATTCCCACGGCCAGACAGAGAGGTAGACTTTCAACCTTCCAGGTGTTGAAGCCAGTACTTGTTTGCTAATGCATGACTTAACTTGATCTTCACTCAACTTTCGTACGGAATAGACGTACTTGAAATTGTATTCAGGTGAATCTGAGAAGCAAGTCTCAATCTCTGAGTGACAAAGATTATGCAGTGTCACGATCAGGCGCCATCAGCAAGATTCACCTGTTTTTTTTTTTTTTTAAACAACATAATTTTTCTGTTTTTCAATATAGATTTGTGTTCCAAGACAAGGAACTCTACCAAGAGGAAACTTTACCCAGAGCCATATTGAAAATCACATACTACAACCTGTAAAGGACAAATCATCTGTATTTAAAACTGTGAACAACAAGGTGAGATAATTGCTTTGAAAAAAGAGTGTGTACTGTATTTCCTTGAATAAGTGCCTGTGCACTTATTTAAATTTTTGGCTACAAAGAGAGGTGCTTATTGGAAGGAGGGCTCTTATTAAGAAATTATTAACCTTTGCTGGTTCTGTTTTAGTCAAAGCTTAGAAAGTTATTAATAAAGTGGCAATGGAAATAGAGAATAATATATGGGCATGCATAGATATGGAATTTCTCTTCAAGTGTTCAACTCGATAGCTCACGAATGGGCGCAGCGAATGAGTGAGATGTCAAGGTGAACATGTGAAGAGAAATTTTATATCTAGAAGCAACCATATATCATTTTGTTTATCATATAAACACAATAGCCCTTTACTGATAAGAAAAGCCAACTTCATCAATGAATGAAAATAAATGAATCTACAATCCAATTAACAATCATAAAGTGTGTTGGCACTAACTCTTAAGATCGAAAAATGCATTGAATCATGATTATCAGAATAACAATGAATGTAATTCTTAATTTACAAAATTCTCATTTTATTGACTTTGAAGAAGTCTTTCAGGTAAATGGCCAAAATTGGCCAGTGGCAAATCTTCCAAGTGTCGATTTTTCATTCTCAGCTGCAAGAAATGCCATCACCAAAACCACTGAATACATAACTTACAGTTTTCTTTTCATATATTGGTTTTCTTCCTCTTCTAGGAAAGTTTAATTATAAAATAATTCAAATAGTACACGCGCTCTGATTGGCCATAAAACCATTTTACATGAGCATATTTAAACACAGTTTTTCGTTCCTCTTTCATTAGTTATTTTATCAAAGAAATGTAAAATGGTTTCCGTGTTTACATAGCCTGATGTAAACACTTGGGAGGTTGGGAGAACATGAGATAAGCTGGAAACCACTCCGCTTCACGTTGTGGTTTTCCACGCTTATCTCGTGTTCTCCCAACCTCTTGCGTGTTTACATCAGGCTATGTAAACATGGAAACCATTTTACATTTCTTCAATCTCACTGTTTGTGAGTGATACGGATTTTTTAGTGTTTTAACTGCCATAATCCAAGAAAGTTCCAACAAACTACCATGTATTGAGAATCATGAAGGCTTTGCTGTTCATTCATCAACCTGACTGAGGGGTGTGAAATGCAAGTGACATGTCAGCAGCTGATTGGCGATATCAAATGCATGTGGAAAAAAGCAATATTTTTTCATGCATGTTGTTACAGCTTTTCTCAGGGCTGGAAATCCTTGTGTAACATTGTAGTTTATATGAGAAAAATATTTTCCTTATATCTGAAATGTTAATAAGGAAGGAGGGAGAGGTGCTTATTCGAAAGGGATGCTTGTTGACATTAAGGTCTAGGAGAATTTCCACCAATGAGCCACATGACATTCATCTGGCAGATGCACTGTATGATATCCTACCAACAATCTGTTTAAGAGAACTCTGTTATCCAAGGTGGCACAGGAGTGAATATGATCATCATTAATAAGCATGTGAAGTTTACATGATAACCCAATATCTGCAGCAGATATTAAGTTACCATGTCAAGTTCAAAGTCTGTCAAGTTTCCAAGCTCCTTGCTTGTGGAGAGTCCTCAAACTTTAAACTCGAGAGAGGTGTTTTTTTCAGATTGTTTAGTAAATGTATGATAAAACATTTATTGAATTTGGTTTTAGCACGATATCATGAATTATCAAACCTCATGTCTATTATCTGCCTCAGCCTTCAGCAGATAACCAAGACCTCAGTAATGATAACTCGTTATCGTGCTCAACCTCCTCCAATAACTGCTTATAATAAGTCAGGATAGTTTAATTGTATAGTGCAAGTACTAGAATACCCATTTTCCAATTGAGATCATTGTACAGTCAGACCTTGCACTGTACTTGTTTCTTTTGCAGGAAGTCCAAGTAAGTGGAGATTTTATAGTGACAACTGAAGGCTTTCAGGATGTGAAATCAGTAAGTGCTCTCAACATTGCTGATGCTTGCCGTCTTCAGGACTCTCGCCCCTTATGAACCTAGAAATGACTTGCAGAGTATACTTTACTGTTGAGATCTTTGTAACTGAGAAATAGGGCATTTAGCATTACTCTTTAACCCCTAAGAGTAATTAGCATCTAATTTCTCCCCACAATATCACCCTTGACTTAAATCAGGAGAATGAAGGAAATAATCGCCAAGTAAACAAGTTCTTGATTGTTACACAAATTCTCCTTGCCAGCACCACAGGAAATTTATAGAGATCTGTATGGAGAATATGCATACTGATGTTAAGTCCCATTCCAACAGTCATGATAGTTGATGATAGTCAATGTTAGTTTCAACATCCATTTGCTATCATGTTTGCATTCAAATGGTTCATGATAGTTGATGATAGCTGATGAAATCACACATTGAGATTGCATAATTCTAAACAAGTATTTTGCTCACTGAGGTCAGCAATTTTGGTGGCATTTGAAATTTTAATCAAGAAGTTGCAAGTTGAAGATACTGGAGCCTACCAGGAGATGATTAGAATGAATTACAAGACATTCTGTGAAATTTTGGTGGCTACTTTAGTCATTTTACCATTTGCCATTTTGGTTTGAGCTCTTTTTCAACAAAACTGCTGACAGAAAAACTATCGTTCACCATCATCCACATGTTCAAACAGCAAAAAACTATCATTAACTATCATGTTGAATTTGAACATGTTCAAACTACACAATAGTCAATGATAGTGCATGAAGTTGGGGTTCAAACTTGCAATTAAGATAAAACTATCATTGAGTATCATGACCATTTGAATAGGGCTTTAGGCTGTATACAGTTAAAATCCAAAGGTTTGGGTTTTGATTTCTGCTCAGGTACTCAGATCGTTTGTCCAAACCCAATTTGTGACTAGTTGAAGAACATCATTTTTGATTTGATGCCAATATTGAAATTCTTCCTATCCTGTTGACCCATGAAAGTACTGCCGGTATTTGAAATGCATGATAATAACCAACCATGGGCATTGATTCACTACACTTCAGTTCAATTATTTATTTTCATTTTGTATGATATACACTGTAGTTAATGAAGTCTAGTCATTGTAATAGATATTAATTTTGTGCTGTTTGCTGCATGTATGTACACTATAAGCATCATGGTTTTAATATAACTTTCTTGCCACCACTAAACATTCATTGATGGTGAATTTTCTTTCTTGTTTTATCTTAATAGGTGCGGGTGCTGTTTGAAGAAACGTTTTTCAATGGTAACAATCAGAGCTTTCCAGTGCTGTGTATCGACCAGCCACTAGAAGGAGGAATAGGTAAAAACTTCATATAAATTGATAAAAACTACGCAGAAAACTTATTTTCACCTCAGGAATCTCTCAAGAGGGTATTATCTTTTATATTATGTATGCTCAAGAGCTCCTGTACCTGTTGATCATTTCCTTTATTCTCATGACCTTAATGTTTGATTCAGGGGTGATATTGTAAGGAGAAATTAGCTGCTAGTCACTCTTAGGGGTTAAAGGGTTAAGTAACTGCTATTACTGTACTTGATTTTCATCCAGGTCAGGAGAATTTATTCCATTTGAAATGGGATCAGATTCATTTACAGGAAAGATTAACTTCTCAAATTTAATTATATTGTGTAGCTTTGTACATATCCCTCAGTTTTTAGTTGTGCCCAACTATTATCTGGAAGGTGCAGGTTCAAATCCTGTCAAAGCCTGAATTTTTTTAGGTTTTTCTATTGCAATTGCTTAAATTACAGAACACCTGGGAGGATCCTTGCTTCGCTTGATTTGGAGGTCAATGAAATTTATATCATTGAAAAGTTCCTTTTAACAGGTTAAAGGAATATTACACATGTACCATTTATGCTTTCTTGATTCATCCATGGTTAACTTATGATCCTTACAGGGAGGAATGCATGTATGGTGCATTGCATCTTGCCAATTTGGACTTGGAGTTGTTTTAAGTACAATGTGTATGATTTTATAAAATTTCCTATCACAGGAGGCAGTCTGGAACCAAAAGTAACATCTCTTGAATCTTTACAAGCATGTTGTGAATTCTTGTGGAGTAGTGCAGGTTTGCTGTTTTGTTTTGTTTTGCTTTTTAGTTTGTAATTTTTTTTGTTTTTTTGTTTTTTTTTCAGTTACACTGTAAGTGTAGGGTGTGCAATAAATTCCAGATGGAAGAGATTCGACTAGGCTGACTTGTTAACATTGCCTCCAATTTGAATAATTTATCTCATTAATAACCACAGTAAACAGGACATTTTATGTTTGTGTGTGGACATGCCTTATGTGATGGTATCTATTTATCTACATGTATGAACAAGAATGTTTTCTGGCATTCTATTTCAGGACGCAAACAATCTCAGAAACAGATTGATGATATTTTGTTGTTGTTCAACTCAACTTATGAACAGCTTGAGGTAGAATCACTAAGGCATTTGATGGTAAGCATATACATGTATAATGCCATACATTATCCAGGAAGAAATTAATTGAACACCAAATTCTTGTAACTAATTTACAAGAGAATATGTAGCAGCTTGAGGGGAGAATGAACAGATCTTGGGAGTTAAAGGATAAGTGATGTATGACAGCTTGTTTAAAAGCTTGTATAGGCAATGAAACCCACTACAACTTTTTTAAGAGTATGGCTTGACATATTGTGATGATTTTAACACCAACAGGATGCAGCTCACGCAATATACACACGCGCCATGCAAGCAGCCCTCAAGAACTCACAGCTTGTAAGTATTGACTATAAGATGATGAGGTGGCGCTTTATATAAAATAATGATATGTATATGTCTGTTTATATGGACCGGTTAGCATCAGATACTGGTAATAAAAACACTTTTGGTTGTTTCGTGCCTCAAAAACTTGATTTCAATTTGAAGTTTTGAATCACTTGGCTACAGTGCTGACTCGCACCTTGTACTAAACAGAAGTTATAACATTTAAACTGGTGTATGTCACTGATTTGTGGTACCTTTGTTAATCTTTAGAGGAGACTAACTCTGCATAATGGCAACTACATGGACAACATCAAACTTGCCATTGAGGTTTGTGAGGAAATGTTTTAATAATCTGTTGTGGTGTTGACATGTAAAATAATCTAATGAAGGAAGTTTTTTTTTTTCATCTTTAAAAAGCATAAGCAAAATGAAAAATTTTGAGTCCCCATGAGGGTAACAACAATCAGTCAGGGCTTAGGGGCCATATTTATGTCAGAATATGAGAGGAATCATTTGTGGGCACATGTTTGTTTGTTTGTTTGTTTTTCCACTAGAATCAATCAGGGTTTTCTTTAGGTTTAAAGCTCATGCAAGTGAGTGATACTGAATATTAGAAAATGCTGACATCAAGAAGAGTCATTCTTAATGCCTGTATCTTAGTTAATGAAGTTAATCAATGACTGACATTGCTAAAAAACATGCAAGTAGCTTCTGAGGTTTTTCAGTTGTTGGCACTTTTTACTAACAATACAAAACCTTAGTCCTTTACACCTTAACATCAGCATACATATTCTCCATACTGTTCTTTATACATTTCCTATGGCAGTGACAAGGAGAATTAAGGTATAAATCAAGAGCTTTTCACGTTTACGATCATTTGCTCAATTCTCGTGAACCTAGTGTTTGATTCAGCAGTGATACCTTAGTGAGAAGATAGATGCTAGTCACCCTCAGGAGTTAAGGGGTTAACAATTTATGCTAACAAATTTTCTCTTTGCTTTTTGTTAGACATATGTGATGAATGAACTTCATGACCAGCTTTTAAGAGGCATCAGCTCTATTTTTGGAAAAGAAGTGAGTGTTTATCTTTGCTTGTCTCAACTGTTATCTTGCACGAACTCGTTTTGTTAGTTGGGCACATTACATGTGAAGTTCTACCGTCATTAAAGTATCGACCTCTGATTTTTTCTTTTCTTAGGACGCATTATTAAATAAAACCACCAGAAACTTGGCCGAAATTCAGATCAAAGATCTGGGAATAAAGGAACAGCTACGGTGAGATACATTATGGAGGCCTAACTGGGGTCATCAGATCCAATAAAGTACGGTTAACCTTTTCATCTCACCAGGAAATCGTTCTTTCTTAAAGTGATTAAAACAACTTCAAGCAAAAAAACGAGGAAAAAAGATAGCCTGGTAATAGATTTAAGTGAATTGATTAGGAAATGACACTGTTTTAATTTGACAGCCAAGTGAGGCGAGTCAATGAAAAAGAAGAAATGAGTAAAACGTTCATGGAATTCTTTTAGTAGTTTGATGAGCTTACATATGCCTTCATATATTGATTTGTTCACAGTACCAATCTGCCAAGAGGAAAAAGAGCTCTTTCGTTCTTGAATAGGGTAGGTGGGGTTTAGTTTAAAATACTTCTTGTGTGCTGCATTCTGTTTCCGTTTTAGTTCTTCACAATTCTTCCTTTCTTGTTTTTTTTTTTCGGTCTGCTTACGTATCCTTTCGATCGTTCCATTGTTTGGTCGGCGTTCGTCCTTCGTGTGTTTGTCGTTCGTCGTTTTTCTTTCGTTATTCTTCTTCTCCTTGTTCGTCGTTCGTCGTTCGTCGTTCGTTGTTTGTCGTTCGTCTTTCGTTCATTTTTATTTGTTCGTCCGTTAGTTCTTTAATTTTTTTAACTCTTACATTTTATTCATGCACAATAATATTTTTGTATTTTTTCTTTTAGTACAAAACGCCCCTGGAAAAGTTTCATTGTCTGAAGAAAACTGTTACCCTAGTGACTGATAGGAAGATGAAGACTCCAGATGGTAGGCATTTTTCTGTAAAAGCATGCTAATGTGCTTGAATACTTTCAATGGTCAAAAATGATACGTAAACTGTAGCAGAAAAAACAGCATTAATGAGGCATTTAACTTCCTTCAAAGTGAAGATCAAAACAATAAATTGTCCTTGTGTTGTGTTTTTTCTACATTACCAAATGACATTTTACCGTCGTGTTTCGAGATAATCATCGATGACACTGATAACTGATGACTCAAGGCACATTCCTGGAAAATTTCAACCTGAAACGTTATGGAAAATGATATTTTTCACTCTTGCAGATGCTGCTGAGGCCATTACAGTGGATGATCTCCTTCCAGCCCTAATCTTTTTAATCATCAAATCTGACATTCCAAATTGGTTTGTATTTATTAGAAACGATTATTTGGTTTTCTAGTGTGTAGATACGATGTAAATAAACTTGCAAGCAAGCTGTCATTGGTGCTGCCATATAAGGGGCGAGGCCTGCGCGTTTCGGGTCGTGAGTGTGAGCTTGCGCGCGAGCGTGGGTGCGAGTGTGGGATTTGCGATGGGTTTGGCACGTTCTCGACAGACGGCTTGCTTCGTTCGCGTGCTCGAATTTGGCGGACTTCGCCGCTCGTGTTACAGCGTGTAAAAGAGGCTGCTCGCACATTAGATGTATATTTGTTATGTTTGCAGTACGGCCTAAACAGCCAGCGTTATCAGGCAAATCTGAAGTTGTGAGAATTTATGATGTTTGATTACCAAAAGACTGATGGTAACTGAATATGGAATTACAAACATGAAATCGTTCCTAAAGGATGCCGTCTATCAACTTTGCGTTTAAAATTTATGAATGAATTAACTGTGATACTTCCAGCGCTCTCACTGGTCGATAGGTGACAGCAATTGAGACGTTTTGGATTCGCACGTACTTTTGATAATTTTTTGCACAGCTTCATCTGAATACTCGAGGAGTTTGGGAAATTGTTGAAATGTGTCTACTTCTAGTTCGTCCTCCTCCCCCTCCCCTCCCCTCCCCTCCCCTCCCCTCCCCCCACCTTTGTTAAGATGAGACCATGTAAACCCGATGAAACGTTTATGACTAGACAAGAAATGTCAACACAGCAGATGTAAGACATTTCACATTTCTCCGGTTTAGTTGAATTTTAGTCTGTTAATTGCCTAGTAGTCCATTCCTTGTTTGTTCCTGTTCTTCTTTTTTTTATTTACGTATTTATTTACTTATTTATTTAGTTTGTTCCGTTCACAGGCTTGCCAACATAACCTATATGCACAATTTCCATTTCTCTAAACGAGGGCACAGTGAGTTCCAGTGAGTATTAACTTTGAAACAATTGCCTTCTTTGTCAATGGCCTTTACATAACCATCAATTGCGCCGAGTTCGTACAAAATCGGGATGGCAAATCTTTTTAGTGGAGTTTCTTTAATGTCGAAACTTCTCTTTCCATTTGTAGATTCTTTCTGTCTTCAATCGAAGCAGCTGTGGAACACATTAGAAGAGGATCTGTTGATGATATTTTAAAGGGTCTTCCGCCCACTAAGGTCAGTTAATAAAGTGTTTTGAAGATCGCGCACTGACAAAGGAGGCGGCGTGGCCAAGTGGTCAGGGCGATGACTTGATAAATTGGATTTTTTTCTCCGTCGTGCCGAGTTCAACTCCTCGGCTGCGCTGTGTAAATAGCCAACTGGTCTGCCTCCGGCCAGTTGGGATTTCAAGCATTTTTTGTCTGTTGGAAATATTTGTTTCTCTCTCTTGCATACTGTTAAGCGCTCAGAGGCTTGTAATTAGCGCTATCTAAATTATAAATTTATTTATTTATGTTATACTCATACAATCAATTTTTAACGTGAATGTAACCACTTTTTTCGCTAAGAGTAATATCGTTCTTCTTTTTCACCGAAATTACAGGAAAAATCGCTGTCCCTCTTTCATAATGATTCATGGTGAAATATGCGGTTTTATCCAGCCATGTTTGCTGTCACAAATTGTAGGCTCTCGGCATAGGACAAAGTCTACTTTTTGCACTGAAGAGGAACTCACTTTTGCCTTTCCACTATGCTTGAAAAAAAACCTGATCGTACTGTTCCATGTATTATTAGTGATTTGAAAGATCTCTGTGAGCGTATTACTTATGTTTTAGTCTGAATTCTCCGTTCCTATTTTCCGTACAGAAGATAACATCTCCCCGGCTTGTCATGGAAACCGATGTAGCAGGCAAGATGACAGCTCTTGAGAAACTGTTTGAGGTAAGTGTCAAGGGTTGTCAATCAGGTTTCAAATGGGTAGAATAATCTTAAAGTGAAAAAGTGTCATCAAGAACATGTCATGGACACGGGAAAAATAGCCTGGCTGGGGAGTGGTTTGGCAACTGTCAGCTGGAAGTTTTCCCATCTTGGACAATTTACAGAGTGTCTTTAGGCACTTCTTTCGTACATATAGATGTACATATATGAAGAAATATATAAATGACGTAAAAATCTACTTGTTAGTTAGAAAACCTTTTGACTTCTATCAGAAACCATTTCGAGTCAGAGTAGATTTCCAAATGAGCGACACCCTCAACATACACAGGTAAAGCTACAGTGTCTCATGAAAATAATCGATTAACAATCATTGACCGTTTCTTGTCATTCCCCGTGTCTTTTAGTTTGCATCAAGTGGAAACGAAGAAGAAGTAGAAAAGCTGTTATTGAGTGGGAGAGAATCTGCGGATGGAAAATTCTGTCACCCTCTGTGTGCTTGTGTTAAATGCGAAAAGCTACACAGCAGGTAAACGTTTTGCTTTAAAATTCCGCGGGTAACTTTAAAAAGTTTGGCATTGGATAAATTCCCAAAATAGTGCCTTCCTCCTCTTTCCCCCCCCCCCCCCAAAGTGGCTTGATGTTCTCCCTGCATCTCCCCTTTCGACTTCAAATAGCAATTTGTGCAATGGAAAAGTTATTGATTCAATCAGTAGTCAAGCGATTTAAGTGACATCGTGGTGTCGCTACAGAATATCGTAAAATGTTCAGCCCTGTTTAATCAGTCTATTTTGCGTCGTGTTCAAACATTAGCTGTTAAAATTTCAGGAACGTACTATTCGCCAAATTTGAGCTGCTACCCTATCATTTTCAAAATTAACGTATTGCGCTGGAATGGTTTTGCAAACTCTACCAGCGCACCGAGATTTTAATGCAGTAGACAAACTTGCAATCGAATTTTCGTCTTTCATGTCAGACGAAGAGCTTAGTTGTAAGAAAGTTCAATAGGGTTTTTGCACCCCAAAGATAGTGAGACCTAAATGAGGCTATTCACGAGAGGGAAGTGGTTAGTTACTTTCGGAATTTTATGGTACTAAGTTGAAAACAAATAGAATGGTGGTGATTTGGTTGAATGGGGGTGAAGGATTAGGAATTGTACATGGTTTCCTAACAAAACACTGTGAAAAGAAGAGACTATAATCATCGAATTTGCAGGAAACGCCACGACCCGTTTGCAGTGACAGTCTTCTCCAGAGATGATCTGGGACGAACTGTGCTGCATGTGGCATCTGAGTACGGTATGTAGAGAATACGGTGAGCTTATTTGTTTAGAATGGTGAATAGTTTGTATAGTCTTTTTTTTTTCATGCTCTTGCATCGACCCAAGGTTACTTCTCTCTTCAAGTGCCAAATTCCGGTAAAAATTATCTTACAGTACGTGATTTTCTAGCCGATTTCACACCATATTACTAATGGCGTGCGAATTCGCCCGTCACATTCCGAGTCACGAGGTGTAGATGACGTCATCAAAAACAAAGTAACTTGGTCAGAGAGGGATCTGATTCGAACAATTTGTGATGATGTTCTTTGTTGATAATCAACAGGACACTGTAACGTGATGTACAAACTGATCAAAAGAGGTGCTGTGGTAAATGCTATGGACTATAACGGAACAACAGCCCTGCATTTGGCTTGTCAGCGGGGACACGGTAGCGCTGCGGTAAGTAGGAAATATTTATTTGGACTTTTCCGGTAGTAGCGCTCTAGTGCTCTCAGTTTTTAACACTTCTATTTTTACCTTGACCTATCTTCTATGCACCAAGTGACTTGACGAATCAAACGAATGTTTCTCTTTTGCAATTCCTGTTTCAGTTGGTACTGATGCATTATAAAGCTGATGTAAACGCTCCCGATAACGATGGTAATACGCCTCTACACTTATGCACAGCGAATGGACATGAGAAGGTAAGAGCTTTTTCTTAACTTTATGGGTGATCGACAAATTCTTCATAATCATTTTTCGCTAGTTTACGATTTATAATGGTAATTGAACTGAATGGAGGGCTCTTTACTCTAGCATCATACGCGTGATTTCAAAATCGAACGAGCACGCAGTGCGGATTTGATTTGAAACTACCAGTATGATTTCCGAACAAAATTGCACCACACGAAGTTCAATCACCACTTTATTATATCCATTTAGAAATTGCATAATGCAGTTCTTCAAATACAGAAATTTGTCTGAACAAATATTTTAGTGATCCAGTACTGAGCTGATTTGTAAAAAGTTGCAAAAGCTTTCTTTCATTTTCTTGCAATTTGATTAGTTACTTTAGGCAAGCCTTGAAATCTGTTTGGTTGTTGTGTTTTTGATAAACTCTCTCATTGGCTGGGGAGAAGATGCTATTTAAAGCAAAAAATTGTGCGATTCGTGAATAAATAGCACAGATAAGAGCCAGTCGGATTGCAAGAATCACCAGTGATTACAATGTGGATGTCAATAACAAATTTTTTTTCACTTAGTAGAATGAAGTCTCGTTAAATGACATAGAATTCTTGTGATTTTTCCCCGTAGTGCACAAAGGCGCTGATATTTTTTGACACGCAATTAAACGTGCTCAAAGTGAATGCTGCCAATGAACACGGAGACACGCCTTTGCATTTGGCATCTCGTTGGGGATATGGTAGGGTCTTGCTTCACTGAACTTAGATCATAAGTAACTCTTGCATGAAGAAAATGAAAGCTCTTATGAACTCAGGGCAGCTTCCATTTGTTATCTAGTTGGCTATTAAATCACTCGACTATGTGGAGTACAGTACATCTGACAGTGAAAGAAATTTTCTTTACGGTTCTTCTTACTGTAATTGAGCAAGAGAATATGCGTTCATTCCAGGTATTTCAATAAAAGCCAGTTAATGGCAGTGTACCGCATTGAGACCTCTTACCGCCAACTGTTTAGCTTGCAATTAGCTATCCTGTTTCGCGCTTACGGCGTTTTTCCGGGAACAGCCGCCTACTGCACCATCGGCAGCCGCTTATGGAAAAATCTATTAAAACCGTGCCAATCCCCCAACCATCAAATGCTAGACTAAAACCAATCGCGAGTTTGAGCCCGTTTGTATGTGATATACTTTTAGCGGGTTTATCGGTTCCTTGTATATTTCTGGCTTTGTTCTGCTTGATTATTATCTTCTCTTAGCACTCTTATGTGTCCTCAATTGACGAAGCAGTATTCTACTTTCAAATTCTTTCATCGTTCACTCATTTTTGTGTGTTTGTTGTCAGCTGAACTTGTCCCGCTTTTGCTTGAGAGTGGCGCTTCACTGGAAGCTCGAAACAAAGACAAGGCCACTCCATTGGACAGCTCCCATAATAAACAGGTAATTTTCTATTCAGCCTACATACAGTGGCCTTTTTCTAATTCCGCGAAAGGAGTGGTACTGGAGGAGTGACATGGCCGCTTCTTATCATCTGGTGGCTTAAATTCGTATGCGCTTTTGAATTTATAACTTTTCAAAACAGTCACTATATAATTCCGTTGCGTTTCAATTTTTGTAATCGGCAGGTCACCGAGATACTCCTTGAAGCACAAACTTCAGCCAGCGAAGAACAAGAACACGCAGCGATATCTTATCCGGAGGAAAGAGTAAGTTTGCACCTGTCCTTGTTTAATAGTGTCCAAATCGTGTAAGAGCTTTGCCTGGAGGAACTCTGGTAGAATGGAGCATCTTATTCCACAAACCTTTGAACTTAATCGACCCCCTTAACCGATAATCATAGAGTACTACGTAGTGTCAGTCTGCTGACCGATGACCCTGAAATCAGTAGGCTCGTGGTACAATATTGCAGTAACAGCATGCTGCATAGAAAAACCAAAGTTCTTGCAAATCGTTTTGTCGTTACATTTGTATGTTGGCCATTGGTAATTCAAATAGAACAGCTTTCTTAGAAGATCTTAATTATTTTAGTGCGTCTCCGACCGTTGACGTTGTTGTTTTTAGTCCAACACAGTTGTGGAAAGGCCGCTTATTCATTCCGAGGAGTTTCCAAACGCTGTCTCAAAGGATCAGGAAAAGGCCAAGGAGGTAAACCCGAAGTCATAGATGTTTAGAAAAGGCCATTTGAACGTTAAGCCGTCATAAAGAAAGAACGCTTACAACCAGTCTATAATTACTTTTTTCACACGAAAACCCTCCCACAATCTGACTCGAATATCTTACGGTTCGGCTGTAGTGAAAGCAAGAGTAATCAGTGGTACATACATACATAATAACTGTAGAGGAATTCCAATGAAAGGTGAAGAAGATACAATTCCTAAGCACACGTATACAACCAATCAGATCACAAGAAAACCCATGTATCTTCCACATAAGTGGCAGTATGTTCGATTAGTTTACCAGCTTCGTTAGCTTATTGCTGCATCTTGTATTCTATCTTCAAAGATTGACCGATTTATACGTTCAATTGCCGATGGCGATGTAGAACTGGTAAGAAATCACTCATATTGTGGCATGTAAAGGGTAGCCGAAGTAGGAATGAATGAACAAAGAGACTGAACCTTTCAGAAGAAACGCACATCTAAAAATTGTATGTTTATTGAGGCTCCTTTTAGCCTGAGAGAAGGCCCCCTATGGTCAGCGCTTCAGCACCAGCGTTTCTCCGCTCGCCGGAAGGTATGAGGCTTGGTGGCATGCGAGACGGCAAGAAATCTGCGCGTGCGTAAGGGATCTAGCCCTGAAAACGAGGGTGTCAGAAACTGGCAAACCTCTCCCCGACTCGTCCCAAATATTCCTACGTACGGAGAGACGCGCGTCCTGCAGCACCAATGAGGGCCTGGTCGCAGGCGAGGACGCTTTTCGAAGCTGTGGTGGGGTTTTTGGTATCTTAACTGACTCAAAGTGAGGTTTTTTTTTTTTTTCGGTATTGACCTCTACGGTAATTATCCTTTCAAAGTTTCATATTCGAATTTAAACCCGAGTTTTCAAACTGTTTTAGAGAAGAGCTTGAATGCTTCTATATCATTTTTTCGATAATCTTCATTTTTAGTCATCTTTGTTCCTTGTTGGTTTATCTAATGTAGCTCTTTCAACACTAAGAAATTTCTATGTAAATGATTTTCTCTTTCAGGTTCGCTATAAACTTGGTCTGAGTGACGATGAAGAAGACGAGGTGGACGCGGGCGAGCAGCCTCGTTCTGACCAAGACCTCTGTCATCCTTTGTGTCAGTGTGACAAGTGCAGCAAGTGGCAGAAGGTATGCCACGTGATGGAGATTTTGACACTTCCGTTATTTTTTCTGAACATTGCTTTTCACAAGAAGGTTCAGAATTCAGCACTAAATGTATAAGGACGCAAAAGAAATACTGAGGAATTAGTCACATACTTATGGTATGGGAAAAAAATTACCAACTCAGATTTACAAATGTCTGTAAATATGAACAATTTCTGACCTTCATCTCTTTGATAACCTTTGTTGTGTTGATTTGAAATTTCCAGCGCGTCTCATTATGCCAGATCTCGACGAAGGGTTTCGAATGTTACGATGTAGTGTAAAACGTGCCCTAAGCATCTGCATTAAGTCCATAGCCTTTTAAGAAAACGGGAAAAGTTAGAGCTGAGCGAGAGTCACCGAGGGCATGTGGCGAAAGAGAGAAAAAAAAATTTTTTTTTGGCTCCCTTTTGCTGTAATCTTTTGTGTGTCTTCCGCTGAGCTTAAATAGAGAGGAAAAGTCTGCCTCATAGGCCTCTAAATCCTTGTTGGGTCTCAAAACTCAGGCTTTGCCTTAGAAAAGTTGTACCTCAGCCAGCATGCTCTCATGCCGTGGAGGTTGTATTCGTAAGTTATGTTCTTTGTGAATTCTGTGGCAGAGATCACAACAAGCCGCAGAGAGGATCATTCATCCAAATGTTAAGAATGGCGAAGGAAACACGCCTCTTCACGTTGCAGCTATCAGGGGATACGAAGAAATGACCAACTTGTTATTGAGCCGAGGAGCTCAGGCTGATGCTAAGAATTACACTCAGATGCGAGCGCCTTTACATTTCGCCTGTCAGTACAATCACCCGAGGGTATGTCTGTAATCGATATTGTGATGTTTACTTAGCACTGTTGACCCTTTGAGCTGGCAGGATAGACTCGTCGACTCGTCCTAAGAATGGTGTCCGAAATAGAAAAAAGAATCCTTACTAGAATACAAACGACCTGAGTAGTAACTACTTCAAGTCTGAAGTTAACGCAATTTATATTCTTGGTGACATGACGATCTTGGAGGTTCTTTTATTTCACGGACTTTTGACTGCGTATAAACTATCCGAGGTGTCCTTTTCGAAAAATTTTCTGGAGTTGCGAGTGTATTTATCACAGTGTTTGATCTAATGGCAACAGCTATAGCTCTTCCACCTCGTCTTTTATGCCCTTAATATGTCTTATTGTTTATTTTTATTTATTTGTTTTTTATTTCAATCATTATTAGGTGGCCGGTCTTCTTTTGAGTTACAAAGCTAAAGTTAACATCAAAGATTACAAAGGCAATACTCCCCTGCATCTGTGCTGCTTCACTGGAAATTTGGATCCTGCTAGCGTCCTCATAGGGGTACGTCAGAATGTTATCTACAGTCCTTGTTAATCTTGTTCATCCTCAGACATTCACAGTCCTTTCTGGTTTATTCTGACTTATTTGGTGTTTGTTTATCCCTGCAAACTATTATTCTGAGGTTTTTTTCAATTACCGAGCTTTTTTAAACATTGTTCAGCGAGTGACTCGAAATATCCCTTTAAAGCTCATTTAACTGTCTGCCACAAAACGAACGACGTCTGTCTTTTTCCAGTTGGCGAGAATAGATAAAATTATATGATTTTATTGACATAATACCGAATTCTCTAAACTAAGTACATGTAGTAAGAAAACTTACCGGAGCTGCAAGGGAGCATTATTAATCAGAACTTGGGAGACAGAGGCTTAATCTAACTTCCCTGATCTGTTCATATTGTGATGCAGCACGACGCCAACGTGGATCTCTTAAATGACCAGGGAAATACACCACTGCACGTAGCAGCCAGGTATGGTATTGTCTTCCAAACTCGCTCCTGAATTTAGTGATTACTGAGAAAAAATGCACGTATTATTGTTATCTTGGGGCTGCTTTTCGCTAGAGGTTGAGGGAAAGTAGAAATGCCCATTTTCAGCCTCGTCCTCGTGTGTCATATGTTGACGATGTCGTAGCTCCGGTCATTCCAGGGCATTACACTGTCATAGAGACGAGGATATTTTTTGTTTTTAATCGATTCAGCGGTGGGTCGAGTTAATCCAGGGGTCTTAATTTTTGTGGAAACTGGAACAATATCCAAGAAAAGTAACTGGTATTACAACGATCCTTCATTCTGTCATAGAACAGAATGTGGCGGAACTGGGCGACAAGATGGGTCAATTTAATCCTAAACAATTAAAAACAGTCTATCACTATAGTTGATGCAATCAAGGAATAAATAGATCTGGCTCACGCATTCCTGGATCTCAGATGAATTTTCTCTATTAATACACAGTAAGAGCAAACTTAGCACGGCTGCTCTGCTGAGCGATATTTTCTATCTAACTTTTCTTTACTTTTCCAGGTTTACTTTTGTCAAACTTGTGAATTTGTTGCTCGAGAACGAAGCGTCGGTGACGATAAGGAACAAGAAACAGCTGACGCCTCTACAATATGCTCAAGTACGTATTTGGAGGTCTTGCATCTGTCATGGGTGCAGGCAAACTGTCAGAGAACTTTGATAAAATGTAGGGAGGGAGGAGAAGGGGGGGGGGGGGGGGGGACGGAGAGAATCCTGCATCCAGAGGGCAGAGATACCTCTAGTTGCATCATGTAACAAAAACGGGATAGGATCCCTCAGGGTGGATTACGTGGTGTTTACCTACGATGAGACCGTTGAAAAAGTTCTTCTTCTTGAGAACCTTCCGCCCTGAACTTTTCTCAACGTTACATGCAAACTTTGATAAACTGGTTAAATTTGTTACTTTCCTCTCCATCTGCCAGCGCGATGACGTCATACGTGCTCTGGACCAAGCGAGGGGTATCGGTTTCAATGCTCGGACGAAGAGACTCAGTTACAGCGGCCACAACTCGCCATACACACAGGGTAGGGAGATACATAACTCTTGCTAACTGAGTACGAAGTCCTTATTGTTAGTTACGGACCCAGTCTTTCCGCGGATCGTGGGGACGAGCTCAGTGAGATGTTTTGAATGTCTCTCTTTGAAACGATTTCTAGTCAAGGAAAACAGCTTGGAGAGCAAAACGGGTCAAGTCGAAACCGCATTTGAGTCGTTAGCTCGTCGGAACAGAATTAGTAGAAACAAGATGGAAACAGGTGTTTTCCTGGGAAAGTTAAGAGTTTGGCCAAGAATGAGGGGAAATTTTGGCTTCAAAAGCAACATACGCTGTAGAGTACGACCGGACTAGGCACGCTTACCTAGTAACTAAGACATAATTTCACAATAACTCAAAGAGAGTTTCAGTTCTTTTTTTTTTCTCTCTCTTTTTTTTTTGTGCCTTAATTCAGGTAATAAAGAGTCAAAATCCGCCCAACTCAAGACCCGATCCAACTCGATTCCAGCCCACATCGGAGAGACCGTTACCAAACAGCCATTGCCTGTTACCAGTGCTACTGGTCCCACGTCGACCGCGCTGCCTACTAGTGAGCCTGGAGACATATCTCTTCCTTCGCACGATAGACTCAACAAACTGTTTGAGAGACTGGAAAGAGGTGATGTTGAACGACTTCAAGACATTGGAAAGGCTGTCAAGTCTTTTGATAGGTGAGATATGCGTTAGTCTGTTTTCCGTACTATTTCGGTTTTTTCACTGCCTCTTCGTGTACGTTTGCCTTGTGCGCCTCCGCCCTTACGCGACCGTCCTCACGTTTTGAAACTGGTTGTGACTAGCCTAACATGCAGTAAGCGATTGTCTTTGTGATCTCCTCCTCCGCCCCTCCTCTCTGTCTGAGAGTTCATGTCTCCCAGCGAACGAAATGGTAGGGGGAAAATGGTAAATATAACTAAAGGACTTCTAACATATACCATTTTATCGAATTCTAGACAGACTTCACTGAGGAAGACTGCAACGATTGACAAAAGTTCGCCACTGATTGATCAGTACCTTAAACACCAGGTGAAAGCTTGATTGTTTTGAAAAATGTGATGTCCTTTTGTGGTGTGCAATTTACCCGAAAATTTAACCCGAAAAACTGTTGTGCTTCTTTTTGTAGCTGTCCATTCAGCATTTCAATCGGTCGGCGCTCCGGAAAGTGCTTACACGTGATCATAGCCAACCAATGATTGAGCAAGATAAGAATTACGAAAGAGACGTCAGTAGTGAAGACGAAAAAGATGATGCCAGCAAGTGATAGTCATGTGTTTACCGCGTGGAGATCACACACGACGCAAATTTCACGAGGGACATATTTACAGTAAACAATCAGTCACCCCGAAGTGGAGTTAGATATCCACCACGACACGGGTTGTTTAATTCTTTTAGTATATACCGCACAAGAACCAGTAAAGAAAAATGATTAGAGGTTAAACTCTTGACGTGCAAGTTTGTCTCTTTGGCTGCTCGTAGGTGAATAGTACGTGCTAATCACTTTCCAGCTAGCCAATCAGCACGCGCGAAAAGAGCTATTCGCGTACGTGGTATATACTAAAAAAGATAACGAGAAATGGAACCAGCATAGAAATTGGATTTGTATTTTAGGCTGGTTCTTTGGTAAATGGTACCTTGTTAATGATTCTTTGAAAGTAAGTGCGTAAAGTTTTTCTCTTTGGGCGAAGCCAAATGAAGATTCTCCTTAAGAGAATCATAGTTGATTATGTTGCTAGCGCTTTAGGATAAAGCGACGTTGAATTTGTTGTAATGCCTTCAAAGAAGAACTCGTATAATATACGATTTATGGGACATAAGAGAGAAAAAAATCGATGAGAACCGAAAGAGAGTTTTCAACATATGTTCTGATTTCCTTAACTTCGAAGAGCTTTGTACTTTTGTACTGGAACAACTTTATGTTAAAATAATAAATCAACCTTTTTTGCCTGCGGAGTGTAGACGTCTGAAAACATTGTCACTCATTGATTACTTCTCAGAACCTTTTTACCATTTCAGATTTTAGCATTTTAATGCACTATCTTCGCCAAGATGGTGAATTCCCCAGTCAAGTATTTTACTTTGTCTCGACGAAACACATTCATTATGAGTTCACTTGTAATCCTTGCAATCTGATTGGCTCTCACCGGTGCAATTTATTTACAAATCGTACAATTTTATGCTCTAAATCTTTTTCCTAACCATTGAGACAGCTTTACTAAAAAACAACAACCAATCAAATTTCAAGGCTTGATTAAAGAACTCAACCAAATTTCAAGGAAATCAGAGACAACTTTTGAACCAGCTTAATATGCTGAATCAATAAAATATTTGTACAGACTTAAAAAATGGTATTTAGCGACATAATTTTGCGATTTTGAAATAGATGTTTTAAAGTGGTAATTTAACTTCATGTTGGGCAATTTTAGACTAAAATCAAAAGTTTTCAGACCAAACTCCACTCCACTCCATTATCAAAACAATCACATAACACATGTCCCTTTCAAGTTTGGAGATTACAACTAACTCTCGTTTTAACAGACCTTATTTTCACTCGTCAAAAACATCTGAAAATATAACTCTAGGATCGGCCACTTGTATTTGGAGCCGAAATAAATCAATGAAAAAAAATAATTCAAACAACTCTCGATGGCGTGGGGCAAGAAATTTTTTCTTATTCAAGCTGAGTTTAGACGGCGCCCCCTAAGTTAGTAAGTATAATCAAAACCGCTTTGTTGCTAGTTTTGAGACACCGCACCAGAACTGGGTTTCGATAAATGTTATGGTCGCGATTAACTAATTTTTTTTAAGATGTCAAACCCTTAGACGGTGAGCTGGAATCGAGCGCGGCCCAACGAGTACGAGGTAAATCTAGGTTTCAGTACTTTTGTAAACATGGCGGCTCGCTTGCAATAAAAAGTAGGTAAGTGTTTGTTGTATACAGTCTTCATTTTTCTTGAGGTTAGATACTAGCATAGAATTTTCAAATTATCTGCTCCTTGCAATGCTTGCTCGTGGTGAGTGAAGACCTTGTGCTCAATTGTCCATTGGGTCAAGTGAATAGTTTACCACTCGCTCAAGGTGACTAGCTAATCGAAGATCAAGAGTGTTCACGAAAACTCTGAAATTCCGAGAATATTTATTCAAAATTTCTGTTCGAACTTGCTGATATTATTCAATTTTTCTACCGATACAAAGCGGTTCAAAACATTGCTGTGATTTTGTGGTTGACGATTTCCCCGCATTTTAGCTTTCTTCGAAAACGTTATGTTGTTTACGTTTAGAAACTTGCGGTTGTCTGAGTCACTGAAGCAGTTTTACTAAAACCTGGATATCCTTCATTCTCCACTTCCTACCAGATTTAAAAAGTCCCCATTCGATCGAGATGAAGATATTTGATGTTTTAATACAGGTGCCAATGTTTGCATTTCGAAGTATTGAAGTAACCTCGTGGTCACTCATGGGAGTTAAGGGGTTAAGTATGATTGCATTGCTGACTGATTAAAAAAACATTCCATCTTTCATATTAATCATCAGACTTGAAGGATTTTCTCATCTTCACGTCCATAAAAGCCTGTTCTGTAGCTTGACATGATGCTTTGAGAGTGTCCAAGTCATGCAGCCAGAGCACAGTAAGCAAGGTATTGAGCTGGTATCCATTAAAACCTTGAAAAAGCAGGAAATCCCACAAGAACACTGTTATGGACAATGTAGACCAGTCACAGAGTTTGAAAAACTCAATCGAATCGGAGAAGGAACTTATGGTGTGGTTTATCGTGCTCGTGACACTGTTTCAAACAAAATAGTTGCACTGAAAAAAGTAAGAATGGAAAGAGAAAAAGATGGCATACCTCTCAGTGGATTGAGGGAAATAAGTCTTCTGTTAAATCTGGAACACAAGAATATTGTGAAGCTCATGGAGGTAGTTGTGGGAAAACACTTGGACAGTATTTTTCTTGTCATGGAATACTGTGAGCAAGATTTGGCAAGCTTACTAGATAACATGACATCTCCTTTCCAAGAATCACAGATCAAGTGTTTGATGTTACAGCTATTCCATGGAGTACAGTACCTTCATGAGAAGTTTATTGTGCATAGAGATTTGAAAGTATCAAATCTATTGCTGACTGGGAAAGGAACCCTTAAGATTGGTAAATAAAGACATAGTTTTAAGTCTTAATTCAATTAGCTCATAAAATGTTTGAACTCTTGTGTGCATTATCAACTTGGAATGCAGACAAGGAGGTTAGATTGCCCAAAAGAAGTGACATGTGGCCTTTCAAATTTGTCAGTTAGTTGTCAGCAAAGTAAATTATTATTCCTGATTTAATTAGCAGTATCTGCTAAAGTTTGCATCCTTTTTTGAAAATGTTTACCTTTCAGCTGATAACCTTAACCCTTTTATTAGTATTCATATTCTCCACACTGATCTCTTTACATTTCATATGGTACTGACAAGGAGAATTTATCAAATGATCATGAGCTTCTTACATTGGTGCTTACCACCTTTATTCTTATGACCATTAAATTTGATTTAATTAAGGCAGATTCTGCAAGGAGAAATCAGAAGCCAGTCACTCTAAGGGGTAAAAGGCTTGAAATAGAAATACAAAGCAATATAATTTATTAAATTTGGCTAAATAATTATAGCTGCCCCAGGAGAATTAGATGCTTATCTCTCTTATGTAGTGTTGTTAAGTTGCCTTTGGGCAGCTGGCCTGCCCATTTGGTTGCCCATGCAAGGCTATGACACTGATTTTTGTGACCCAGTGGTATACAGTCCTCTAATTAATTAGCAATATTTTAGAGAAAGATGTTTTGCATCTTGTCACAAACATAGGCCAAAGAAAAAAATTTGAGTCCCCGTGAGGAAACAAGGCTCAGACCTTTGGATTCCAGGCTCCGATGCTCTACCACTGAGCCACAGAGACACTATGGTGAGCAAGGCCATCAAAAAGTTCATATATGACAAGCAGCATGCATATTGCAAGGATCAGTCAGCAATGTTGATAGCATCATGTTCCCCATGGGGTCTCAGAATGTTTTCATTTTTTTCTTTGTCCGACACTTGTGACCAGACATCGTTCTCTGTTTCTTTACTGAGCTCAAAATTTACCATCTTCCTTATTCTTTTTATCATTTTTATGTTATGTTGTTTAGCCGACTTTGGTCTGGCCCGCACATTTGGTTACCCATACAAGGCCATGACCCCGATTGTGGTGACCCTGTGGTATCGTGCACCAGAGCTCCTTCTTGGCTCCAAAGTACAAACCACAGCTGTGGATATGTGGGCTGTGGGCTGTATTTTTGGTGAGCTCCTTGACAATAAGCCCCTTATGACTGGAAGATCAGAGATCAACCAGTTTCAGCTCATTGTGGATCTACTTGGAACACCAAGCGACCAGATTTGGCCAGGATTCACGAGCCTCCCTGGAGCCAAGTCCATAAACTTCAAACGCCAGCCTTATAATAATCTGAAACACAAGTTCTCGTGGTTGAGTCCCGCGGGACTGACTCTAATAAATCATTTATTGATGTACGACCCGTGTAAAAGAGCCTCGGCGGCCGACTGTTTGCAGAACTCGTATTTTGTCGAAAAACCACTCCCGGTGCAACCGGATATGATGCCAACTTTTCCTGAGCACCGGAACCGGAACTACAACAAGAGGCCGTCTGATCATCGTGTTGGAGAGAAGCGGCCTGTTCCACACGAGACAGAGTATGAGTTCCGAAGAGGGTTCGCTGATTTTGGGCCTCACTTGCCTCAAAAAAAGAAAAAGAAATGAAACTGCTGAGAATTTTTTGGTTGCTCATTAAATATCAACTTTGCATTTGCCTCACGGTGTTCTATGAAAAGCAAAGTGGCTTGCTCATTCAGCTTGGCGTCAACGATACTTGATCGGTATGTCAAGCAGCCGCGTATATTTATGCTATCTACCTATGACCTAAAAATAACAACATGGAAGCTACAACAACTTGTCGCAAAAACTGACTTTAATGGCTCTGAGAAATTATAAGAATGACTAAGACTTAGAAAGGCAATATTAAAATTGTTGGTTTTGTTAAAGCAAAGGCTGAGGTTTTGTCCCGTAAAACAGTTTTGCATATTGATGTGTTTATTTCAATTAATTCTCAAGAAATTTTGGTAAATTCTCAAGAAAAAAAAAGCGGCAGAAAAAACGACACAAACTAGCACCAGAGTCTTCAGAGCATATCAGTAACTAAAATACTCTGAAATACAATACTGTGATCTGAGAGTGAATATTTAGACAAGATTATTCTCAGGCTTAAGTCCTCAGAAAAATAATATTATTTAGGGTGGGCATCAAAAATATGCACTCTATCATAGCATGAAAGTGGACGAAAGTGTATCTTGAAGTTAAAAACAAAATATGTGTTGGTTCCTTAAAGGAAACTAGTTAGACGATTTCAAAAACATTTTTCAACAGCTTCATGTGGACCTAGCAACTTTGCTATGGCAATGACAGAATCATTTAAGCATCTACCACGGAGTTGACTGAGTGGGTGTTTGATCTAAAAGAGCATTTTTGTGTCAATATTGATAATATGATTTCAGGCTTCACTGCGTTACGTATTCTTGGAATATCACAATATTGAGAGGTCGTCGTCACTTTTTAAACGCTGGCACAAGAATACTCTTCTTGAACTAAGTCTTGTTTCGATAGATTTCAAAAAATGTTTAAGGCATCTGTATGGGAACTCGCATTATTTCAGTAGAAGCATCACATGATCATTAAGTGGACTAGCTATGGTCGTATCAAAACTTATGAACGAAGTAGCCTCGGCAATATTTAATCGCAATTTACAGTCTTGTAAATTTTTGTTTTTTTTTTGTTTTTGTAACAGTCTTGTAATTTTTTTTCACAAAAATGATGTCCTTGCAGCAAGCAAACGACATCTTCGCTTGAGCTGAAACTTTTAAGATTACATAACAAGGATAGGAAATCTCGATTAAATGATAACATTACATCGTCAAAATAACGAAATTTGCAACTGGCTGAAGTCCCAAAAAGTGTTCCTTTGGACGTTTATGACAGCAAGATTTTTAAACGTTAATGTAGTTTAGACATTTCGAAACAACGGTAGTCAAAAGTTTTTTTCTTAACTACTTCAGTCACATGACCAATATTTCTGTGCTATTTTAAGATTTTCATTTATGATAACTTAGTTTTATGATGCGAGATTCTAGTGCATTGTCACGTTCTCTTTCTCTCTTGTTTTGTTGTATGGTTTTCAAGTTTTGAAGTAATAGTGGTCAAGTTTTCCACCTCTATACATCTGTTCAATCAGGCAAAAAGATATTTTGCGCGATTTCAGAACCTGATTTGAACTGTGATAAAACTTTGTGGTGTTATCCAAGTCATGAGTTTCGAATAACAATCTCTTCTCTTTTCCTCGAACATGGTCTCTTTAATAATCCAAAAGCTCGATTGTTCTTCAAAAATTTCAATTGATAGCTGTAGCGGAACAGATAGAGGTCTTTACGGTTAGGTTTTTTCCGCTACGATGCCGAATGGCTTCATGGGTTATGCTTGTGTACCCTGTTTTCAAGTCAAGAGTCAAATGCTTCTCGTTGTTGTGGTTTGCTTTCGCCAGTGAAAAAGGAGAATCCAGCAATGTGCATATCCATTCTAGCTCCCTAGTATCATCACTTCCAGGCAAAGATACTTCCACCAAACAATTATTTCTCATCGAACGGTTTGGAGTGTCGCTTATACCCTTTTGTGCCCTTGTGGGGACAACCCCTTTTAGAAATAGCTGTACATGCAAACGAATTAACCTATGATAAGTGCCATAGATATTGACAGGGAATTTTCTCTGACGCTATGAACTCAAAAATATCGGCTCAGATAAAACAGTGATCACAGGCATGATATAAATTTTGAGGAGACCACGGATCTTTTAGTCTCCCTCATTCATTTAGTTGTCATTTAGACATTTGGGGTATGCTCGATGGAGAACATGGTGTTAAACATCTTTATTTTGTTTCTTGCGATCCATGCCGTAACAGCTGCAGTGACATTCGTAAGACATCGGAGAGAAGCTTGTAAGTTTTAACTAATTTATTTATAAACTAGGCGTTACAATCCTCACACCAACAGAACGCAAGCTATACTCCCACGAGAACACTGATTTATTGAAAATGTAGTCAACAGTAACAGACTTAAAGCTGAAAGCTGATTTCAGTTTTTTATTCCACAATACATTTCAAAAACTACACTCGAAAATGCATGTAAGTTTAAGGTATATTTTCAAAACAAAGCTTACGTGTAGATTACGTACGTAAATCTCGAGGAATTGCGTAAGACAATGGAGTTAATTCGTTTTAAAATAGCTCAGAATTCTTAGAACAACTAGACCAGCAAGAATGCTTACTCCCACAAAGCAATTAAGGATATTTCAGTTTATTTATTTAAGTTAATTTAGGCGTGATGTTTTCACTGGTGGACCAACCTTCCAACGTGTACGCATGAATGACTCCGTAAGAAATGAGATTAAATTATTTTTAATTAGTACAAATTGAAAACTCGACTCGCAAAACAGATTACTCTCACCAAAGAAATTGCTGTAACTTGCAACTTTTCTTTGTTTCAAAGGATCATGCTAGCAATAAAAAGACCATTTCAGATTGAATCTTTTATAATCACTAAATCTTACCATGAGATTAAAAAATTAAAAAGAAAATCACATCACTCAGAGGCAGGTACGAGTCAGATCTTCTAGAGTTCAAGCAATTTTTTTGCGTAAAAGTTCATTTTTTCTTGAACAGAATGAAAACCAAAACGAGTGGAGAAATTGTCATGGAATCAAATATCTCTTGTTTTCAACCTGAGATAAGTTATAAACGTGAATTCACCACTTTGTACCTCCGATTCTTAAATCCTCTCCTACGAAGACTCAAAATGATGTTCTTACCATTGACGTAAGCTGTTATCTTATTTGACAGATAAAAAATAGCGTAGTGAAGCCTTTAAAATCCTAATGGTTAATTTATTCTCCAGTAAATTTGACAACTGTGCACACCAGGCATGACGACATCGCCCACTTCACGTGCACATCACGTGACCAGACAGCCAGCATCACTTGGAAAAGGGAAAGAAAAGACTTATCAAACAGCGATCTTGGTGTAGCTGTGCTCGAAACGAAAAATGGCGGGAATATGGAAAGCCATCTATTTGTCGCTGTGACAGATGATGATTTACGAGGAAAATACGTTTGTATATCAAGCGATAAACCTGATGAGGTGCTACGTACATTTGTTATTGAAAGTAAGTAAACACTCTGCTTAGTATTTAATTATGCAAACATAGTACTAATGCGTCGATCAATTCGAGGCTTCAACATCCCCCTAGGAAATCTCCCCCCCCCCAACCCCCCCGCAAAAATTGAGTTTAAATGGCCCACCCAAATTTTTTAGCAAAAGACATAATCAGCAACTGTGACTTTGTACACATTGACCAAGCTTTAAAACCTAGACGTTGGAGCCCTTTTATTCTGAGCCATTCCCTCATGAAAGTGAACTGTTTGCCTTTAAACACTTCCTTATATAACACTGTAACACTTGACTTTCGCTGGAAAGATTAAGCACTTCCTAATCTATTGTTGGACTCTGGGAAAAACGTCGCTACAGTTATTTGTGCAGGGTGTGTAACTCCCTACGGGTTGAGGGGTATGAATTCTAGCCTATCATCAACATTATAGAAGCTGGTTTCCAGTAGGGGCGTGAACTAAGTATAAAAGTTTAAAACTACTTAAAAAATTTTAAAACATACATTAGAAAAAAAACAAAAATTATATGTATACATATATTTATATATGTATACACTAATATCCATGACTTAAACTATTAATGCAATAAATATAGCCCTAAGAAATAAATTAATGTATCACATTTGGTTTATAGGTTGCAATGAGCACTCATACTCTAATTCTTCCCTTTCCAAACTCTTCAGAAAAAAGTATGACTTGTTTTACCCTGCACCCTGCTCTCTCAAGGGGTTTATTTACAGAGAACTAGACTTAATAACAAAAACAGTGTGCGAATCTAGCTTATGCGAACGTGTGAACTGAAATTTATAGATCTTAAAATGTCAACTTCAACTTAAAATAACCTGGAAAAGATACTGTAATAGCTTTCTGTCAAAGAAGATGAAGAAAAAAAATATGTTTACGCGAAAAATTAATGGATCAATGTCAGTATCTCAGCAGTTGCGCACCTACCCCTCCCCTAACCCAACAACAGTCAACTGATAACAAGGTAGGATTAATGTTGAGTTTGCCCGGGAGGGATAGGTGTGCAGTTTCTCAAATACTGAGAATAGTTCAACATATTATGGCGAAAATAATTCAGTTCTCGCAGTTTGCTGCTCACGCCAACTGTCTATCACCTGTCAACTGTCTATCACCTGCAGACTGTCTATCCCTGCCAACTGTCTATCACTTGCTAACTGTCTATCATCTGCCAACTGTCTATCACATGCCAACGTCTATCAATTGCCTACTGTCTATCATCTGCCAACTGTCTATCACCAGCCAAAAGAGTAGCGCAGTTGGTGTCGAATGGTGTCGTTCCAGTATCAAATCTAAAAACCTGTCAACTGTCTATCACCTGCAGACTGTCTATCCCTGCCAACTGTCTATCACTTGCTAACTGTCTATCATCTGCCAACTGTCTATCACATGCCAACGTCTATCACCTGCAGACTGTCTATCCCTGCCAACTGTCTATCACTTGCTAACTGTCTATCATCTGCCAACTGTCTATCACATGCCAACGTCTATCAATTGCCTACTGTCTATCATCTGCCAACTGTCTATCACCAGCCAAAAGAGTAGCGCAGTTGGTGTCGAATGGTGTCGTTCCAGTATCAAATCTAAAAACACACTTCTAGTCACTACTTTTCCTCAGCACCTTAAGTTCTTTTTACTTTACAGACGACCCTGCTCGCAAGGGAACACTTAGCCCTGAGCAATTTTGGGCAATCATTTTGTCCATTACAATTGCTTTCCTTCTCCTGGTGTTCATAGTATTTTTCTTGTGGCGCGGAAACAGGAGAATTAAGAGAGCTCAGAAAGAAGGCAAAGCACAAAGATTCAGGAACAACCATGGAGGTGCAGAGGTATGAACATCATATGAAAAATTTGAAATGTTTTTTTAGTTCCAGTCAATAAATGTAGAGGTGCATATGTTCTGTAAAGACAGATTTATTGATTCACCGTTGAGAGCAGTTTTTCCACTGAGATTTAAACGACTCAAATTATTCCTGGAAAATTAATAAAGGGGGTAACTTTTTAAAGAAACTATGGTGCTGCGTCGGTGAGACAGTATGGTTTGGATGCGTACTTGTCATTTCTTCAACGTCGCGAAGGTGTTCTCGGAATGGATCACCTAGTCGTCCTCCTGTTTCACCAATGTATAACTTTTTGTATACTTCGACTACGGAAGTATACAAAAAGTTACAAACTTTATAAACGACTACGAACATCACTAGTAACGCCCCACACCCCCTCCCCGAATGGGATGACAGTTGATAGCCAATTAGGTATCACACTACCACACTCTAATTCTGGCTGCAAACTTAACTTTCTTCAGACTTTCCTTTCTCGTCAAATTTTGGCTTGTTTTTTGTTACATGTTACATGATAACGGGAGCCAATAGCGAAGGAAAAATTGCTTACACAATTATAAGAAAACACTCGTGAAAAATAAATTGCGAGAAAGATGAGCCTCTTGTTGATCTGGTTTTCAGAACTTTAGATAATACTACCAAAGTAGCAAAAAATTCTGCAATACTATAGGTTTGTGTTTTCATTGCTCACAGTTTATTCTCTGTCTTTGTCTGTTATAGGAAAACCTGGCCGTAGAAGGGGAGCTTGTCGAGTTTAGAGGATACAGAGTCGAGGCTGAAGCCGAGAGAAATGAGCAAATGACACCTGACACTGGAAATGGAAATGCCAGAAATAACTGTGAAGAAGACAAACGCGAGGAAAACACGACTCAGGCTGTGATTGAGTCTTCGGGGAGAAGCGGAAGAGAAGGCTGTACACAGTTCTGAAAGAGCATTTGGTGAAATTTCCACGCAGCCCCATACTACATTATGCATTCAGTTCTTGGATAGAGAAAACAATGACAAAAACAAAACATCGCCATTGGGAAAACAGATTTGTTTTACAATAGTATGGGGCTGTGCGGAAATTTTACCAAGCATTTATTTGCTAAAGCAAATAAACTGTGGAAGGTTTTGATCTATGTATATTTTTGAAAATATGTTTAAAAATTCAACCTTTGAATAATTAACAATAACATCTTAGAAGGTATTTAGGTATTTCAAAGAATCCAATGAGAATGAAAATATATAGAAAATACGTGCCTTAGTAAATAAAAGATAACTGTCAGCTTAGAAAGAAATACAAATTCTTTCGTGAACCAGTAAATTGAAAGTGAATCCAAACGCTAAAAGAACACAGAAGAAGTAAGAAGTGTTTTTAATTTTATTTGGTAATTATGAAATGACAGATGAACCACGAGGTCACGGATTTGTTGAAAAGCGATGGTGTTTGTAAACCCGAAGGAATTATTAGAAAGCAAAAAACCGCAGTTTACAATGGTTTGCGAACGTAATAATCCTCTCGTTATTTACGTGTGTTAAGGCTTTATTTGCAAGGCAGGGAAAAGATTTGTTCGCTTGAAACTTCGCGCCCGACCATATTCCCCGTTCTATTTTTCCACCATAGTCTGCCACTTTCCTATTCAAACCAGCTACGAGAGAAAACACTACTTGACTTCTACTACGCTTTAATTACGTGATATTCAGCAACCGTCATGTATTCTTACGAGTCATGTTTAATTCAGTTAAGTGAACTACGCTTCGTTGCTTTTGATTCAGCCATTGTTTATCAGCTGCGTCATATGTGGTCCAACAGTTCAGATCTTCTTCATTTTTTACCATGTTGATTGATTGATTTATCATTGGTTATCATTCTCATTTTCATTGTTATTCAATAGTTTCGCATCAAGATCTCATAGTTTCCCTCACTTTGAAGAAAATTTTTCTTGCTTTTTGATCACTAATCAACCATGGACTACTGACCATGGACTACTGACCACTCAAGGAACCTCTGTGATTAACAGACCTCTTCTTTGTTTCAGAATGGAAATAAAGATATGATTAGCATAGCACTGAATGTGACTTAATCAGCGGAAGAAAAGTTACAAAGAAAAATGTAAACTTAGGTTATGCATTTACAAAATTATTTTTCTCGTTTAAGTTTCTTCCTTTGACGAAGTGCTGACCGTGCTTTAAACCCTAATTTTATGCTTGTTTTGTTTTTTTTTCCTGAGGTCTTGAAGTCGTCCACCCCCTTCGTTCAAATACAGATAACGTTACTATTGATCGTCTCTCTCGTACACACCTTTTGAAATCTCCTTTCTTCTCTCCTTTTGTTTGTGCTGACACAGCCGAAAAACCCCCGCATCGTTCGATTACCGAAGCATAACTTGCTAGAATTCTCGCGCGACCATGACGCGAGTTTTGCGCTGCCAAACAAATGGTGATTGGCTAATTGGAAATGGTACCATTACGTTGTCAGAAAGTTGAAAAAGAAAAAATTTCAAACGAAGGACTGTATAAGCAGTCATTCGTAGATTTACGAGATTGAAAGACAGAGACTTAAGAATTATTGCGCTTCAGATCGCAGGTTTTAATCATCTGCAACCGAATTAACATAAATTTGTCACAGTTTTTTAACTTTTGTGGCCTGGACAAATCAAAGCCACAGGGAGTTAATGATATCTTTTTTTAGATCAGTTTGGATGTGGGGTGACTCTGTCTCGGCCAATCACAAAAAGGCTGCGACTCAGCAAATTGTAAAAAAGCACAAGAACATTTTATTTTCCTTAGACAGCTGTACGTGCAACCTATGTTTATCAAATCGAACTCCTTTCAATTTTTGACGTTGCTGAGGTTTTTCTTGCTCTTGAAATGTTTGTTCAGAGACAAAATAAAAGACATGGAAAAGTTGAATTGTTTTTACCCGGAGAATATTTTTTTATAAAATTTAAGGAGATAGTGAAGGTTTGAAATTACAAAAAGGAACAAAGTGAAGGAATCTATGAATCTGTCACTTCTTTGTTAAGCCATTAAAAATATACAATATTACGCACTCGTGTGTCACTAATCGTGAGCAAATTCCGCCTTCATTTAAATAAAGTGGTCTTTGCGTCAGTTCTTAACGTTTAGGTCCAACAGTTCACAGCTTAAGACAACAAACGTTTTTGCAGAGATGAATCAACAAAGCGCTCTAATCGTCGCTATCTGTGTGTTTCTCGAGCTCATTCCTCAAGTATCTTGCGGTAAGTAATATGATTAAACATCAGATAATTTTTTCTACGCGGAGATTTAGTTTAGTTGGGGTTTAAATTACTTTTTCAAATCTTCGACTCTGAATTTGATCATGTCGATGTTTTTTATTTTACCGATGATGACTTTTGCGATGTAATTGGTATTGAGATCAATCGAAGTAGCGCGATTGGCCACTCGATTCAATATCATTACTTTTTAGAGGTGTATTTGCCGAAAGACCCACTATTGCCTCGAAGACAACATCGTTTAATTTCGCTCGTGAGGATTTCGCGGATTCCATGAACTAAGCAGCGTGTAGCTTTGAACGCTTAAGTATCTCAATGATGCGGTGTTTTGTTAACTGTTGCTTAAAACAGTGTCGATATTCCGGCAAGGCGTTTTGATTCTTCGAATGTGATAACTTTTGAATCTTGTTGTCTCTCTTAATGCCAAATCCTTCTGGCTTTCTTTTGTTTTCGTGAAACACCCCCAAAATTCCCAAGACGGCGCAGAAATTTTTTTTTTATTGGACTTCACTTCGAGTCAAGAACGAAGCGGTAACTTTCTATCAACGGCTGACATTTTTTCGTGCTAGGCGAAACGCGTTTTACCCTATAAGATCAAACAACTAGACCAAATTTCACACAAAATCTATTGTTTGCACTTCTGTAATTTTCATTTGTAATAAATCACTTAAAAATTACATTAGTTTCCTTACACTGCTTAAGTCTAGGTAAACTAATGTAATATGGAGTATTACATGTAGTTTCCTTAGACTGCTTAAGTCCTTCTCACGTTTTAACTTCAAACACCATATCACATCAGAAATTCATGTAACAAGTCTTTATTGTATATTAAAGTTCACACGGCAACCAGGTGGACAATCAGACATAGTTAGATGCTACACTGGTTTGCAGATTTAATGAATGTAACCGAACTGAGTTACAATTCATAGACCCAACGTGTGTCGGAGTGTCGAAACGTTGGGTCTATGAATTGTAACTTCTTCGGTTACATTCATTAAATCTGCAAACCAGTGTAGCATCTAACTAAGTCTTTATTGGGTTAAACTGCCGGCATTACACGTTTGACGTGTATGATAAATATACGTCAAAAGAGACGGTTGATATTGGCAATCAGGTTACACTTCGTTCTGTGCAGTTCCGGGTTTTATATCGACAGATGGAAGTACAAATGCCTTTGAAGTCATCACATGTTTATGGTTTGCAACATCGATTTAAAATGTCATTATCAGCTCGAAAGGAACTGATGACAAGAACAACATAACCATAAACAAACAAGATATCTCGAAAATGCCCGTTTATCCTGCAGTTCATCCGAATGAATTCTCACGCAAACAGCAAGCACGTCCCTCGAGTTACAGTACTTATTTTTTATTTCATTTTTTCAGCAAAGGAATTAAGCGATGTTGACATCATTGCTATAGCAGTTTCATTGGGACTAACTGCATTTTTGGTGGTTTTCGTGGGCTGCTTTGTGTGGCGAGCAAGAAACAACCCCCCAATCAACAAAAACAACAACATAGCAGGACATGTGAGTACCTAATCTAGTTCTTTCCTGCAATGGTATCTTTTTATATTTTTACAACATTTATAAAAGCTCAAAAGAACCGTCTAACGCATGAAAAAGAAAATTTATACCACGTGACTACGTCTTGCTCCTTCCACTGGCAGGATGATTCTGTTGGCACCCAACTGATTTGTCCTGATTATTTCATATTTTTGATTTGTAATGTAAGAGCTCTAAATCTGTAGCTTACCATCCCTGCTTTTTAATATCTTCATGGTATCCTCTTCATTTTTTTTTCATTTTTTTTGTTTATCTACTGAATCTACATCTTGAAATTGCTAAAAATCCCTTTAATTTGCGAAACATGCGAAGGTTTATTTAAAAGGTTTCTCTTCTTTTGTTTTCACCTTCCGTTATTTTCACCTCAATAAGCAACGTATAACTGTAAGAATTCCCTCGAATGATGTCGGCCTCTTATTGAAGAGATGTCTTTTATTCTTTTCAAGTGATCGCTGTCAAACATTACAGAGCTAAAAGCCTTCTTTCTGGCTGTGTTGATAGCCCGTATAAAAAAGCTACTTCTCGAAGCGATTTGCACAAGAATGCAAGTCGATTCAAGTTTTGTCAACAATGAGGAATTTTCGAAATTCTGACCTGAATTCCCTTTAATTGAGCGATGAAATATTTACTATTTTATTTTCATTTCTAGAATAATCCCGTCGCTGTCACCGAGGATGCGCTCGGACCTGGTGAAGTTCGTGTAATTAGCATGAATTCACTTCAGTATATTAGCAGCTCCTAAAAAGATCTGCTCCTGCAAGATCGACAGAAATATTATGGAAGGCCTTCAACCGTGTAATGCCATTTACTTATAGCGGTTGTTTTGTTATTCAAGTGGTTCTGCACTAAATTCATTGCCAAGAATTTTTATACGCACTTACAGCATGGATACCGAAAGTAGATTTAATAACAAAATAGTTCAGAAAGCAATTTAGACATAAAAAGACTGTGGTTTTGAGTCAGACACCTTGTATCAATGCTCTTTATAATTGGCTGTTTAAAGGTATGCTTTTCGAAAAATAATTTGAAAAATTTGTATTAGAACAATTACGTTATTATCTTATAAAAAAGGTTTGAACTTGCAATGTTGAGCGTCCGTAACAAAGCAATAATTGTAGATAAGTGTCTACTCGAAGAATTAGACAACAACGTCTTATTGTGTTCTGTCCAGATAGGATGAGTATTAAAGTACGATAGGAAAAAATTAAGCTGGAGAGAGTCTTAACTTTTTGTCAAGGTTGTATTGCGTTCAAGATTGTTTCCTGAAACACTTTATGGAACAATCGGAGAGGCGGAATTTAATTTAAAGTGCAAAACATAAACAGAAACGTTTCGGAAACGAAAGTTTTCGGAAAGTTTTTCACTATTACGTGTAAAAAGTCAAGAAAAATTTTGAAGACCAAGGATAATCCTTAAGGGCTTGTGCGAGTTTTTCGCATCAAAGTATCTCCGAACAAATTGAGAGGAATTGAAAGAATTTGTTTAGATGCAGATCTTTTCGTCTTGCGTAAGGACTATGGAGTAACTGGTCGGCCGACGGGCAGTTCAAAACAGATACCACAACATCGTTTTCTAATGACATCGAAAATTCACTTTGTCTGAGCTTGTCAGCTTTACAGTAATCTATTCAATGACGAAGATAGCAACTTCTAAATTTTGACTTATTGTTTTTTTTTTTTTAGCAATACAAAAAGTACAGACTACTGCGATAAACTATTTTTTTTTTCTTTCAGTCTGCACTGGTAAGTTTATTTACTTCTCCAATCCTATTATTAGAAAGGATATCCACAGTCGAAATGACATCCTTCTCTCTAGCACTATTGAACGTGAATTTGAAGACTCAGAGCGGATTTATAAATCATTACAGTTAAAAACAAAGTTTATTTTTTCTTACATGACGCTCTGTGACAGCCTGTGTTGCCTGTATTTATTTTGACCTAGTACAGCGATAACCTTTCACAGATTAGGTCCTCTCTTTAGGGTACGGCATCTGATGATTCGTTTATATTTAACGCCTTACGAACCTGTCAGACAAGTGATCTTATTTTTCTGCAATGTGACGACTGCGCTGTTTCTTTATCGAGACTCGTTCAAATTTTTTTTTTACTCTTGTTGATTAAAAAAGAGGCTTTTATTTTTGACTCTTGTTTTAAACTCAACTCATTTAAATGCAACGCCAAGCTTACTTATGCGTGATATTTAGCTTGAGTCGTTGAGGATAGGAATAAATTAGTTTTTGCGATTGTTTTCCCTCGTGATCGCGTGTCGACGCACGGTTAGGTTGCTGTCAGCATGAAATGGGTGATTTCTAAGAAGGAAAAACTGTAATCTATCAGTTGGAAACATCGCATCGAGGGAACGCTCAAGGATAGACGATGTTTTGTGGGGTTATAATCCATCGACTTTCATTGGCTTTGTGTTGTTTGGCGCTGTTTCAAGTTACAGTATTTGCTTCAAACGGTAGGCTATGTAGTAGATAAATTCAATTTAACTGATAATACAATTCTCCCATTTGCGCGTGCAAATTTATAATAATCCAACCTTAAAGATTCATAACAACTAAACCGCCAGGGGTGGCGAAATTATGGAATAACATTTTCGAGTCATCAGTCACGAAATCGACGCTTGCTAATATTGAAATACTGTTCCTTTTTACACTGAAATTCCACCGAAGATTATTGTTTGGAATTCTTTTCTAAGACGTTTCCTACGATTTGAGTTAGTTTGTCTAGATTAAAGATGCGATTTGAAGCCCGCCGGCCCCATCAATGATTAAAATACAATTCTCATATAATAAGGGACCAACCGAAGCTTTGTGGAACAATTAACACAAATTATAAACAACTCTTATACGCCTCATTATCTTATATTCTAGCTAAATTGTGATTGTTAGTGAATTATTTCCTATGGTGAATCTTCGAAGCTACTCAGTCCGTTTCCCAATCCGTAACTCTTGGATACATTTTACAGCTTTATCAATACCGATTTGAACAAACAGTTTTCATCGTTTGATCAGTTAGTAGTTCAGAAGTTGTTATTGCGATATTCCATAGCTAAATAGTGCAAGGGACCAAACAGTGATAGGATTGTTACAAAGGAGCTGGCTCTGCGTGAGAGCTATGCGAAAAGTTTAGTTCAATTCTTTAACACCGAACCAAATGGAACGATTCAATGAGAAGCCGGCTGAGCTTGTGCCGCCACGAGATTATCATGGGGAACGACTGAAGCCGCAACAGAATATTTTGCAAGCTCGTACTCGTAGAATTGTTTTTTGGAACATCTTGTTTTCACTTCTTTCAAAATTAAACAGATAGTGATTATTTAAATGCACGAAAGCGAAAGAATTGGAGAAGGACGCGCTTGAAAGAGCTTCCAGGCGAAGATTGTTATGTCACTGAGGTTAATTTATGCTTCATATGCTAAAGGCCACGAGAGGTCTCCCTTGGGAGTCACGCAAAATATTTTGGTAACTGCTGACCAAAGCATGGTCAGTACAAACATTGTTTCGAGGACATGAAGTAGGAGACATGATAGCTTGCAGTGTAGGCGTCTTATTAGGGCGATTTAACGTTACAAGCTCGCGATAGTTTATTCTACTAGCCATGTTTGATTCAGAGCTAGAGTGGACGGGGAAGGCCGCACCCCCTTCCCTCTGTTTCCTATTGACCGTCTCCCACCCTCTTGGCACAAATTTCTTTCTCTCCCCAGCCTTCTGCTGTTATTAAAATCAAAGATGGCAGCTACGGTTTTCACCGAGAAAGTACTTCGCACTCGCTCGTCAAATTAGGTTTGCTCTGCACGCAAGAGACACTGATATGCACTTCACTTGCTCACTCACTTACGTCAACTCTTTGCCCATCAGGATTTTTAACGCAACTTTGGAGTTTTTCATTTTATAGAAAGTTTGTGAGAAGATGATTCGAACAAAAGACACATTGATCACTGCAACTGAAAGTAACCTGTGATGATCTCCCATGCAGATGGTTTTTCTGTTGGTTTCTTAAAGCAACATACACCCTCCATCAGAAAGCGTTTTATAACGAGACTAAACAACGTCTGCGATGGAGACTTCTTGAAAAGGCCATTAATTTTTTTGTTGATTTCTTTTTTACTAGTGTTTTGTTTGTTTGTTTTGTTCGCTTATTTGTCTTTGTCTGCGCACTGTCATAACAACTTATCTTACCAATGTTTAGCAATTGTTTTTCAAAAAAAATTCTACCACTCTTTTGACCAATCAGATTCAAAATTAGAACGAACGGCGACTTTGTCTTTCGTATGTGACCGGATATATGGTCAGGTTACTGAATTGGTTTCGAAATGACGAAGCTCATTTCGAATTTAAAGTACATTTGAAGCTAAGGGTAAGTTGCTCTTCGGAATCTCAAAGCGCACTCAGTGGTGAAATTCTATAAGTACTTCTAAACGGCACAGAAACATTTATGTCAGGTATACGAAGCAAACACCTCCTTCAAATACATTTAGAGAGAATTTCCTTTGGCCGGCCTTTTTGCAATTGCTTTACTGGACGATGAATAATCGTTAGGTGAAACTGGACATGTTACGAACTAAGAGCCATCTTATTTTTCTTCAGAGCCAGAGGACAAGACATTTGAACCGGGAGAAAATATCACCCTTGTTTGTGGTAACGGAAGCCTGTCCTCCTCCACTTTTTTAAAATGGACCAAGGACGAAAACATTTTATTTAACACTACCTCTCACAATATAAGTTTAGTCCTTTCTAACCTCACAAAAGAAGATGCTGGATTGTACATTTGCACAGCAAATAATTCAAAGGTATTGAAGAAAATTCAACTCGTCTCCCCATCAGATGGTGAGTACAAACTGTGTAACTGTGGCACACTTCTGAGAGGTTACGATTGCATCCAAATCTACTCACTAGGGTTGTTCAAAGATCTTCTGCTACTGTACCCACTCTGTGGATGTAGTTTTTATATTGGTGCTTACCACATAGACGATCGGTACTTTTCGTTAACGTGCTGATTGGCAAGCTCGGAAGTGAAAAGTAAGCATTATTCATCTCTGAACAGCCAGAGAGACAGAATCTAGCGTTGAGACTGTTTAATACCCGATATTTATTGGTATTTTGCACTGGAATAAACTTATTTTTGGGTTCTTCACTGTTACATTCTAAAAAAATTGGATTGGATGCACCTCACTGTCGGTGAAACTGGGAAATATTTACCGAATTCGCTCGGTAAATGTCCACCAGCAAGACTTCACCTCCACTTCGGTGGACAGTTGTTAGATACATTACAATGACCAAAGCAATACAAGAAGGGCTTTCTGGGACGTGGAGGCGCTTTTACAGTTTGATGCTCTACGTTAACATCCTATTGGAATCTGGAAGCATGCATGCCAATTTTTTTCAATTTGATCGCCAAAAATAAGGGATAAAGTCAAATTATGACTTAGAACTCTTCTTTAACCATGTTTCTGGAAAGCCGCACCCACACTGGTTTTTATAAAATTAACATGCATGTAAAGACCGTAGTTGAAATAACCACTGATAAGAGGGCCAGATCTGGAAATTTGACCAATTACATGTAGAAGCCCGGACTTAAAAAGTAATACTTACAGTCATGATGCACCGAATGAAGTAGTTAGAATCGGCCGTCTGATCGGTAAACTTTTCAAATCCGGCTCTCTCACTCGTTATTTTCTAACCTTGGCTCTTTGAAATGCCACCACTAAGACCACTTTTGCTGATTTGACTCCTCTTCAGTTCAAGAAGAAACAGAACAGCCGCCAGAGGAACAAGACGATGGACTCAGTAATGTTGACTACATCGCCATCGCTCTCGCACTTGGCTTGACAGTTTTTATCATTGTTTTTATGGCGGTATTCCTTTACCGGGCAAAAAGACGCCGAAAGAATGAATACAATAAAAGACGATGGAGAGTTAATGTCAACGGAAATGTAAGTACTCAACAGTCAAACACTCGCTTTGGAATTTGGACTAGCACCTTAAATAAGTTATTCTATTCTCTGTCTGATTCTCACGATCATTAAATCATAATAAATGAATGCCTAAAGCCACGAATTTGGAATCTTTTCTCTCTTCTCCGAGTTCCTTCGGGCTTCGGCCTCAAATGTTTTGTTCGATCGATCCAAGGGCCGGAAGATCTCTCCCGCTCGATCGAAACTAAAGCGGACCAGTGTAAAGGTCTTGAAAACATTCTTCAGTCGGCGAGATGCAACTGTTTGTGACTCATGCAGCATAATCGGCCCCTCTAATTTTAACACGACTTTTAACCTTTTTTTTACGGTTAAAGGAAATTGAAACTACCTTATCTATGTTGAATGTGTTTTGTTTTGGGCGAGACGATTCATTACTGTGCATCAAGGGAATATCAGTTAATATTCTTTTGTCTGTACTCATAAGATTAGAAGAGAGAGATTTACAATAGACTTAGAAAATAGCCACCCAAAGTTTCTGCAATTCCCAGCCTTTCCCCCACTTCTACACTTTTTCATTGTTGGGTGTAAGGGAAGATCCCTTTGAGACAAGAAAACGCTCTTAATATGACAAACGGAACTACTTGAGCCCGCTTTACAGACCTTAGTAAATTTTGAGTTCAAACATGAATGCGATTAAACCATTTTCAATATTTCCAATAGCAAAACGTGGCTGTTGAAGAGGAAAATTTGAGAATACCCGGTTATCCAATAAATGATTTCCAGGTGAGAATGGCTCCCAAAGGACCCCGTAAATCTTCACGGCAGAACAACAGACCAACGGAATATCACTGGCTGGAGACTTTAGGAAGGGACGAACAGCCTGATGGGAACGCTAACGCACCTGGGCGACCTATGTACCAGTACACTGCATACGTGTAATATGATTGGACATTTTTGACTTGTTAAAACATATTTTTTAAATTAAAAGAAATCTGTCGAAATAGTTCGTAATAAGGAGCCCATTAATGTGCTCCTGTCGTGAGTCATCAGTTCAAAGGCTATCCTTTGCAGATTGTTTCTGATCAGCTTTTAAAAATTTTCCCTGTTTTGAATATGCCTTCATAGGGCTCTGCTTGAGCTGGTGACACTTTTAGATCTGCGGAATTATTTTTAGGGGAAAGTTGCAATTAAAAGTGATGCATTGTTGAAACAAACTCTCTTCCTTTTATCATTAGAGTTTTCTAGATCACACTTTAACGACTGTGACGATTTTGGGACGTACTGTTACAAACAATCTAGACACTCTGTCTCCCCCTGAAACACTCCAGCCCATCAGCCAAGCTACTGTGAGAGCGTTTTTAGCAGGAAGGAATGGGGGGGGGAATATTTCTTCCCTAGTTATCGGAGTTTTGTCAACCGGGTCGGCCTGTCCTCTCCCCGGATTCTGAACTAGGCGTGATCCTGGAAATGATGTCAGCTAGTTTCACCGGACAAGGACGCCATAAAACGAACACATATTTTGTGGATTATTAATTCACTACATAGCTATCGCCTTTTGCAAATTCTTGTAAGAGGAACGGAAGATATTAATTCCAATCAGAAAAAAATTTTTCTAGTACTTCAGATCTGGAGAAGGAAACGTTAATATTGCAAACTGGTCGAAGAGCTTAGCCTAATTTTTCGTTTTCGCGTTGTTAGCCACGAGAATTTTTTAGTTGTTCAGCGTAGCGAGGGTGCGATGAATCGAGACCACAACAAATCGTGTCAGTCATAAAAAGACTAAAAACAGGACCATACGAATTCACGCTTCTTATTTTAGGTTTTCATAAGAAATTCTTACCCCAATTAAACTAGATGTTAAAGCTTTACAACTATTATTTACTTATTTACTCTGGTTGCCTTAAACAACTTGATTCCACTGGTTAACTAGATTCAGCTAAGCCAATTTCAAAAGGCGTGATTTCTCCGTGAAACGAATCCACTAACTAAAATAAGACCGGATGTATAAATATTGCGTAGATTTGCAATGTTAAATGCCAACCAATGTTTTTAGTCCTTGAACTAAATTAATAAAGGGATTTTTCATCATCACCAGATTTCAGTGTTCTTTTAATTATCAGCCAAGGCATAACAATCAATAAAACATTTCTTTGATCTACAATGATTTCATGAATAATCTCACCCCTCTAGCGAAGGGCTAACCCTCGAAACGTTAGTTTAGAAACTCTTTACGGTGGCTAATTTCCATTATCAACTAAAATGGCTGTGAATGTATGGAAATCATATATGCGAACTCGCAGTTCATATCTACGATTTTCATATATCCACCGTCATTTATTCATCCCTTCACGGGTTTACTACGAAGCAACATAATGATCAGCTCCCAGTTGGCTTGTTAGCTCAGTTGCTAGAGTACTGCACCGGTATCGCAGAAGTCATGGGTTCAAATCTCATACAAGCCTGAATTTTTTTTTTCGACCTTATTTTCAACAGGCTAGTCAAGTAGTTTTTATTGCTACGAAGATCACTTTCATATTCAATATCAACTCAATTGATGAAACCAAATTATCTTGTTGTATTGCCCCACCGAATTAACACCTCAGTTTCTTTAGACACTTTCCCCTTTATTCACCGATCAGTATTTAATTTCAAATAATTTTGTCTCAGTTTTGATTATGGTGACAATAACGTTGTGTTATCCAATCAGGCTGTCTGATCATACTCGTGATTGACAAATCGTCGCGATCGTCATTTTGTTAATCACTCATACGATTACAAACCCTGTTGGACCAGTTTAGCTAATCGGTCTTATCACTATTAGACAGAGCCATGATTAAATTATTTAGTTACACTGGTAAATTGTTAGACGACAGTAGAGGCGATGAAGAATCTTGAACGCAGTGCAAGTTGATTCAAGTCAGTATCTTTCAAGTTCTTACCTGTTTTCCATGTACGTGCACGCAACTTCCTAAAGATTACTAAACCGCAGATTAAGGCCTTACGAAGATATTTTGAACGCTTTAAGACGAAATTTGTATCGACGCGCAGCTATCCTCTATACTGTCCGGCATATTCAACTTACTGAGCCGTGTACTCGAACCATGAAGTTAACGAGTCATATAAAAGAATCAGATGTCAGGCGCGATGGATGTAATGCGAAAAATGCTATATTAGTGATCTTTGTGCTGGGTGACGTTAGGGGGTCTTGGCTGACAACTCATCATTTTTACATATTTCTCTTACGAAACGTGACTTTCCGCTGCAAAACTTGATCTTTAATCCCCTACGGAGTTGTTTTGATCAGTTCATGATATCGTTGTGATGGATTTTTAGATCTCTCTGCCGTTCTGAAAGTTACAGCTTCATTTCCAAGTTAGAGGTAACGATTTCCTTTTCAGTAATATTGAAGAAAACTGGATTTTGACGATTCTTGGAAGGTAGACACTTTGTTTGTTACGGCCCTCACGCGGTTTCTATTATGGTTGCATTATCAAACAACAAAGGGGTTGTTGCCACTGTAAATGTAAACATACTTCATTGTAAACACTAATGGTCAAAACAACAGTTAAATGAGTTGTAATTGTGTCTAGACATGATATTTTCGTACAAAAACGCTTTTTTCTGTGATTTATTTTGAGTGGCAGAGACTGATCGACCTTTGATCGGCTAGCACAAATCACTAGTCTATCACACAGGGAACGATACAGAGACAAAACAAAAAACAAACTATAAATTATAAAACAAACAGAAAAATTAAAAAACAAACAAGCGGCACCGCGATCCTTTCAGCTAATATTGGTATCAATTATAAATTTGCATTGTTTGATGTCACGTTGTTCAAGAATCTACTGTCTGAAATCAAGCCACGTCTATGTTACACATTTGCATTCAAGATTTTATATTCTGCATCGACTAAAATCGAAAATATATGACCTATCTAGTATTCGAAAGAAAGTATTCGAAAGGCTGAAAACTTGGGCTGCGCGCATCAACTGACGACAAAACTCTTTGAAAACAAGAAAAAACAATCTTTTATGATATCGGATGCTCAAATCTGTTGCACTCGAGAAATACTATTAAGAAGATACAACTTAAAGGATTAGTAAGACTCTTGAACATGTTTAATTGTTAAAAAACGGGTTTAACAGGTCCTTTAGAAGGAGGGGTCATTAGCAACGGTTTTGAAAGGGTTAAGTCGGCTTTAACTCCCAAGATCTGAATGTTAATTCTCCACTCTAGCTACTGCACATTTCCTTGTAAATAAGTCACGAGAATTTGGCGTTAGATCAAGATAACAACTTTTACCTGATACATTTGAGTATTCTCATTACCTGTTTGCTGGATAGTCCATGGATATTGTTGGGAGAAGATACTTGTTAATCACTTCTGGGAGTTAACGGTGAGAGCTAATCCAAGTGTCCATAACATAACGCAACCAGGAACATTATTACTTCTCCTAGATGGGCTACTAGGTTTTCGCAGTGTAACTACTCCCCCCGGCCCCCCCTCCCCTTCCCTAACAGTTTAATCACATTTGTCCCGTTTCCGGTAACCAATTAGTAGACTCCGAGGTAGAGAAAGGATCTGTGGGGTCAAGTGTCGAAGTTATGGGAACTCAACAAGATAAGCCAGCCGTAGCTAGAAACAAAACCTATAGATCCGGAATCTTATGTGTTAGATGTTACGCCTCTGTCTCGGAGCTTCGCCCACAATGCTTGTGTTTATATGTACTTTCAATTGCGAAAAAATAATTTTTGAATTTACTCTACCAAGAAATAAGAGAAAAACCTCATCATTAGTCGTATTAGACGATAAAAGTCAACAAAGTCTTAAGTGACAATTAACAAGCGTACACAGTCGGTAAGTCGAAACCATTTATGACAAGAGAAAAATTTTGAAAAATTTCTTATATTTAGGGTATCATATGAACCGTGAATCAGGAGAGCGTAACCTTACCTAATCCTAAGAGTAGATTTATTGTTCATTACGTTCGCGTGCCTACAACTTAGCATCAAACCGGGTGAGTTCGTTTTTTTGTTTTTGTTTTGAGCTGTTCAGTCGTCAGTAGGTTTACGCATAAACGCTGGCAATTAACTGTTTTCTGTCTCCGTTCAAAATATAGAGTTGTTTTCGTTTTTGATCACCAAGAAGTAATTATTACTGCGTCATGTCGATAATATGATTAAATCACGCAGGGTGCTGTATCAAAGACACCTCTAAAACTCTTTTTTTGTCATTTTTTTGCCCTTGGAACAAATTTCCATATGCTTCCAGAGCTTCTTGATATTTTCAACCAAACAGACTCGTAAAGTCTAATCAAGTGGTAAAATTTTGTTATAGAGTAGCTTTTAGTAAAATGGTCGGTGGGTCGGTTGCGTTTGCGTGCTAATGTCGTGGCTTCTTCCGCCCATAACTGATTGAAGAAACAAGTTAAGTCTGAAAATTAAACAGCCAAACCTAAACTTAGACAGTCTTATAAGAAAAATGAAACTTAAGAACAAGAAAACAAAAAAAACAACGAACAACTAATAATTTTTTTGAATGAATGTGCAATTTCCAGCATTTGTATCCGAACTTACCTCTGTGATATGCATTCAGCTTCTCCGAGGAACATTGCGTGCCACCCCAGTTTCGAGACAAAGCCCATAAAGACGATTCATATCAAACGTTTTTAATTTTAGATCAAAGGAAGTTGCTTCAGATTAAACAAATTTCTTATAAGATCAAAAGATCTTCGTTATGAATCTGATGGGATCAGTCGTTTTGGTTTACAGGCCCTCCACGGAGATCCGGAGGTTTTGAAAACTGTGATTCTCCGCCTTAGAATAAAAAAGTTCATTCGAGAGAAATATACAACTTGCAATTTTAAGCACATCGTTTTGCGGGAGGAAAACTAGTATGGAAAAGGCGGTTGCACCACAAGCTCCCCTCAGGGCTGATAACTGATGGGTGTAATTGTTTATAGACTAGACCCTTGTCCAAACGCCAACCCGCACTTTTAAGACAACGCACAAGTTCGCAATTTATTCTCAATGGGAGGGAGGAAGTGGTAAAGGAGGATTAGTTTTGTCCCACTCTGCTCCTAGCGAGATAAAGAATTTCCTCTATTCACGGCAAAAAGCTGAGGAGCGGGAAAAAGATAGGCAGCTCCTTACAGCGCATGGCGCTTACATCTTGTCAACTTTGTTGATAAATTGTTTACGAGGAGGCGGCAATTAAGGGACTTTTAGTTTCAGTCCATCTTTGTCTAGACGCCTTAAAACTTAATTATTTCATGATATCCTTACCGCGATATGTAGAGATCATGTTATGCCATTGACAAGTGAAACCAACAATGTCGTCATGGTTACTGAGCAAGTCACGCCATTTCCTTAAAGGGAATTGATTCTTAGGGAGAGAACTTGCCTTCTTTTTGCGACGCGGTAAAAACTCATTAATTCAACCATCCAGAAAGTGATATACAAAACGCAACATGTCCTATTGTGGATAGGATTTTATCTTCTCCTATCGAGGTTATCTCACACTCGTTCGCTTTGAGAACTTTAGGGAGACATTAGTAACGGTCCAAGAGTAAGATTTGTATCCTCTTTGGGCCTTAAGATCTGAAGCGAAAGGCTACTCTTGTTTAGAGAGCGTTTAAATAGAGAGCTTGCACAACATTCAATTGATTTAAGCGAACGCTGTGATTTAGTCCGGCGCAAGCAAGCGGTAGTCGCGAAGTCAAGCAGAGAAGCCACGCGGCTAAAGAGAATGATATTCAAAGGCACGCAGGAAATTTCAGTGATGAAAAGCTGGAATAACCTCTACGTACGATTTTGACTGCATTTGCACTAACCTGTTTGGAAGGTTTCCACTTGAGGGCAAAGATCGCCTGCCTTTCAACCAGACCAGCTGTGGGAGGAGAAGATATATACTACCCAGTCGTAGCCCAGAGATTATTCCAAGATGGTTTCTATACAGCTGCGAGTTTAAAGCCTTGATAGGGTGGGGGACGGTAGGCTTTTGCTGACTGTGTTGCATGTTTTAGTGGCTTGGCGTATTTACCCCCCAATCTGAAAGGGGTGTCTAGTATCAAAAATACGGGGGGAAGTGTGGTTCAAATTGACACCGGACTTTTAAATGAGTTTGTTTGTGCGAGTGGGTATGTTGTTCTTTTTCGATGATTATTTTAAGTACAATTTTTTTTTTCATCCGGTCAGAATAAGGTCAAAATCCAGCTTAGCACTTAAAAGTAAACCTATCTCTCGGAATTTATGTATGATGTGAACAACAAAACTGACGCTTTGCCAAGATATGAGACCAAATCAAGCTCTCCTCGTCAAAAACCAGGAATTGATGTTTGAACCGTTTAATAAATATCGCATGTCAGTGTCGCGTGACTATTCATGTTGCCAGGGAAGTTCGGTTGTCTTTTATTCCTTGCCAATTGTTCTAGAAAAGCGGCACCTCTTTCAGATTCGCAACTTTGTAAACTCCATTGTGGTTAATTCACTCGTGTTTCCCCCGGTGTTTATCCAGTAATTTTCGTTAGTTCCTCAACCTCTGAATTTTCGAGTTTGTGAAAATAAAGCCTCACTTTCTGCTGATCGGTCGTTGAATTAAGGGTTACTTTATTTCATTAACACCGACCCGCGCATAATTTCATATCATTTTGCGTCTGACATTATCACATTGTTCTTGAATAACGAAATCTCCTGGGTGCCCATAAAAGTTCGACCACATAAATTCGAAAGTGATCGACATACATATTATTTACCAAATAGATGGAACGAATAAGTTATGAAGAATGTTCTATTCTTTCTTAGAGACTCTGGCAAAGGTAGAAATTTTATATGTAATAAAACCGAAACGAAAGTATCGACAAAGACACGCGAGAAATCCGAACAAAGATCCTATAACAATAAACAATGAGTAGTTTAAGATAAACCCGCTGAAAAGGCTTCAAGAGAAAGGAAGTTCACGTCAAACGCGAGATAGCCAAAACTGTCAGGGTTGTTTAAAAAGCGCTAATGTTTACAGATGTAAATTCGAATGACCTTGGGTACCGGAACTCGTATAAGCTAAGTATTCTTTAAGGCTTTTGAAAATAAATCAGCTTAAATTCTACAATCGTTGAAACAAGATAATTTTGACCGCAACGAAGGGCAATGCCTCGTGAAAAAACATTACAGGTACCCTTTAATTTAACAGAGTGGAAAAAGTTAAAAAAAAATTAACGAACAACTCAGTGAAAGATTATGTAAAAGGTTGCCTTGGTTTCAGAGTATTCTCAATAATTATTTTTTTTTGGAAAGCAAATATTATTCCATCTATCAAGTTTGTTACTGATGGGTAAAATGAACTTTAGACGATGTCAAATTGGTGGTTACAAGTATTACCTTTGCCGATTATTACCAATGTGATTTCTCTAGAATAGTTTCCGTCTCTTTAAGTAAAAGTGCACTAGTCTAGTTTTTTTTTCGTTCTAACAATGCTTCTTTAATAAAGATACAGTGACTTCATTTAAAGAACTCTTTCATCGTACCATTTCTTTTTCCTTTTCCTTTCCCACCTGCCTGTTTTACACAATCAGAGGCAAATAGAACAGTTTTTAACTAACAAATGTATATTTACATATTTTAACTCATTCTCATGCAAATATATTCCGAATTTTTTGTTACGCACAGGATGAAACTTTTACGGCTCTCGTGCTCGCACCACAAAGATTAGGAGTTATTACATGACCTAACGTCTAAATTTTTGTTTTGCAAGACTCAGTGGTGCCAAAGTCCATCCAGTGTCCAGAAAAGCTGACGTCAAATCAATTCTTGAAGCTTGGCACGTGGATTCAACGAAAACGCCGGTCGACAAGACTTCACGTTTACAACGTTTAATTCCACCGCGTGGCTCATTCAAACAAATGTAAATTGGTGGTGGGAGATTAAGCAACTTAGCTCTCAGACACTCTGAACTTTGACAGAGAAATGTTTGTGTTATTGAGCCTCTTGGTGGGGACTGTTTTGTTGCAGTCTGTTTGTGTCGTCTCTGCAGGTAAGTGGAGGATACGTATAGTAATAGTAACGTATAGTTTAACTTTGGTACTTTCCGCGTTGGAGAGAGTCATCAAGGAAACTATAAATTGAATTATCATTATTTAATTCTTGGGAAGTGGCGAGAAACCCGAATAATGTCGAAATCGGACTTGTCAGAATAAACCTTACTTAATTCGGAGTAAAATATCACCATTATTTCTCGAATGTTGGCAACAAAACAAGTACATTTGCGTAAAACCTGATCGAAACGCGACGTCTAGTTCTCTAGTCATCTGATTTATTTTGATCATTGCTTTATTAAGATGCTTCTTTTGGAAGCATACATCGCCCCCTTTTGGAGGTTTATTTCGAAAATTTATTACACAGAGCTTCTTGGGTGAATGATTGTTTATCTTAAGTGACCTCGTTTAAAGACTCCAACTATCGAACTGTAACGAGTGACGTAACATACTCGTAATATCTGGTGGGCTTGCAAACAGACTGCAGGCAAAATTCGAAACCATTGGCATAGTTCTAAGAAACAACGCGATTTTATGTTGCTCGAGACTGATTGATTGTTGTCTTCAAAAACGATCAAATGATAATCAATGTTTTCATTTTCCAAACTTATTTTGACCACTTTAAAAACGAATATAACATATTCATTACTGACTAATCTCAGCGATCTTGCAGCAAATGCAAATGCATATGTTATCAAATCAGAAAAACGATTGTGATGTTTTCCAGACAGAGATTACAATCAGCCGACTAGTTTGGCGTGAATTTAGAATCACGATAATTTCTTTTTTCGTTAGGCACCAGAAGGCGAGATTTTATGCTTAAGTGGACAGGTGAAACACTGTAAATTCATTCCACAAATCGATTGGTAATTTTCTTAAGACACATTGTTTTTTCCAAAATACGAAACACAATTTCGACTCTTTCCTAAATCCCCCAGGCTGATACAGCGCTGGTTTATGGCCAAGCAGTCCTTCTCAACTTATTTATATGCAAATTAAACTGAAAAATACTTATAACAACATCATTAATATTTAACTGAAAAGCTCGACCTTCTAAGTGAGCACGAGGGAGGATTTTAGATGCCACATCTTCACGAATTCGTTTCCACTTTCTGTAAAAGCTCGCCTTGACTTGTTTGTTTACAAACCTGTACAACGTCTTACTAACAAAAACTGATTAGTCAAATAATAAAAACTATCGAGGCGTTAAAAATATTCTTTTCTGTTAAGGGCTCATTGTTTCCCCGAGGTCAGATCAATTATTTGCCAAAGTTGTACGTAACGCGAATCCGTTAGGTCTGTTCCGATTGTGCTCGGCAACTTTTGATCAACTTTTAGCGTTAAGAGCAACTCTTTGTAGTTCTACCAACCTCGAGCAACTTTTGCTTTCTGAGCATTTTTTGAGCAAATATAGGTTTAGAGCACATAACAAGCACACAAATGTATACGATTTCATAAACAACTGCAGTTTATGCGAATTTCATGAACTTTTTATCAACCTTTTCAACACACAGCCTGTGACTTGACAACGCTTCGCAGGCCTATTGCGATTCATATCTAATGTTTTAACGGATAATCGGCTGAAATGACGTTCAGCAAGAATTGAACCATGCGTTTTGTTCCGTTAGACTGAAGTAACCATAAATATTGCCCATGTTTGCCAGTAACTCTAAGTTTCAACCTATTTTTCTAGACCTATTTCCGCAATTATTGTGAATAACGAAAAATAAAGCTTTTAATTAACTTTCATAGAAATAAATCAAGAGATTTAGGTAGTAAATTTTGAAATTTAGGTAGCCACTTTTTGGATTTTTGGCTGTTTTTTGGAAACTTTATGGCATTCCAGTGAGCAACTTTCCAGCATTGTAGGAGCAAAATCGGGACAGGTCTATAATCCAGACAAATGACAATAGCTCTTTGTATCGATCGACAAAAGTGTTGTGACATAAACGTCTGGGAGGAGCGATACACTGAGTGACAAACACACATGTTTCTACGCAGAAAAAAAATGATACAGCCCTCGAATTTGACATTTTTGTACAGATGGGTAAAAAATACCATGCAATGAGCGAATGATCATGAATTGTGTATAGGTTCATTCAGTAAGTGATGAGCTTTTTTTTTCCATCAATTTAAAAAAAGTTGATTGGACACCAATATACGATAAGCTGAATTATGCTCGCCTACTGATTGGCTCTTACCTATGATTGATTGGAGGACGGACACAGATAACGTCACCATCAGCAACATTTTGCTTTTCTATTTCCGTGGATCTGTACGGTAGAGACTTTTAGATCCACTTTTGATGTGTTCACCGCAAACGTCAAACCGCGGTCAGCAGTTTGTAGTTAGAAGTTAGAGGTTTCGAGACTTTCAGCTTTTAGATCGACGTCGGCTTTCACCTGAAAAAATCAACATATGCATTGCCTTCTTGAATTACGCAAAGGATGGAGATCCTTTGTTTCAAACACAAAACGCGGCTAAAAGATTGGTTTTCTAGCGTTCCAAATGGATTGGTTAAATTGAAAAGACTTCGCCTCACATATAATTAAAGGACATACGAAACAGGAAGAAAAAACGGCGTCAACGGAGTTCAACTACCTGAAACTGCCTTGCCCTAATTTCAAACGTGGACAGCAAAAGGCGAACGTGGTAGCTGGGGTCCGGTCACGTGACTCCCAACGGTTTGCGGTCACACAGATTCAGGAACAAGTGACACAGGCGCAGTTTATATCACACTTTGACGTTATCTGTGACCTACTATTACACAGGCGCATGGCAACACGGAAAATATTTGTTAAATATATAGCTTCCTATTTTTAATCAGCATAAGAAACACAGGCCCCTTTCTGACGAAAATGAATCTCTTTCTTAAACCAACAGGTAAGCCTGAAATTATAGGTAACGGAACGGCTGTTTCTACCAAGGAGGATGACATAGCACATTTCACGTGCAAGTCACGTGGGAGTCCCAGGCCTTTCCTTCGATGGAAGCGTCACGGAGTAACGATTAAAGATACAGATGAAGGGGTTGCTGTTTTGGAAAAGAGTAATTCCACTTTAGAAGAAAGTCATTTATTCGTTGCTGTAACTGACAATGAGAGACGGGGGATTTACATTTGTGTGGCAAGAAACAAAGAAGGAGAAACAACAATGTCTTTTAAAATTGGTGGTACGTATAAGTTAAACATTATTACGATATTTCGTACTGATGCATGGGGTGGAGTTCATCCTAGTTCTGCTTCCCCTGATGATACAAAAACTGGGCTCTATGGCTTTTGCTTATTCATTTTCCCACACACAGTTAAAGACAAATGAACAGTGTTGCATTTTTAGAGCTAAACAGAGAAATCTAAAGAGTCGCCGGCTGTTTACGGCGATAGCATCTTCCCCATACTGTTGTCTGCATATTTCTTGGGCTGCCCACAGAGAGTATTGGTTTGACAATCAAGATATTCTTAAGTTGGTGATCATTTCTTCTATTCTCTTAACCTTAATGTTTGATTCAGGGGTGACTTTGTGGGGAGAAATTAGATGAAATCACTCATCTAAGGTCAGAGAACGGTTTTGTGCAGTTTGCTGATGCAGCAGTTGGCTTGTTCCTCTGTCGACCCGAGTAGGTCAAATCAAGGATTGTTTACGAGTGTTGTCTTATAGAAGCGTATTTTTGTGATTGTTTTTTTATGTCAGAATACCCCCTGGAGGGACTAACTTCTACGGACAAAGCTGCCATTGGTATATCAGTTGGGTTAACGTTGTTCTTCGTGATATCCATTGCGATTTTAATGAAGCGCGGATCAAAACAGATCAAGAAATCTGTCCGGAGGCAAAGAGCAAGAACCTTGTCACAGTCTTCTTCTTCTCAGGTAAGCGAAGAGTAAGTTTGCCATCTACACCCCAACATCAGTCAGAATCTACATTCTCCATACTGTTCTCTATACATTTCTGAGGGTGTTGACAAGGAGAATTTGTTAAACAATCAAGAACTTCCTCAGCTGGGGATCATTTCCTCAATTCTCTTGACCTTCGTGTTTGATTCAGGGGTGACATTGTAAGGAGAAATTAAATGGTGGTCACTCTAAGAGGTAAACAGGTTAAAGGATGTGTAAATCTTACTAAAGGTTTTGGTGTTTAGTGTCGCTGAGAATTTCGAAAGTTATGCCGTATTTTTAAGAGCCCGCGGCGAGGGTTAAAATACAGACAATACTTCACACTAAAACTTTGAATCATTTATTCTCATCCAACCGCTGCATTTTATTCACGCAAGTGTAGTCAACTTGTCTAACAGCTTTTTTTCCAAATGCAAAATAACCAACAGTTCAACTTACCGCACAACGTCGCGGGTTATTTGTACTAAATTTGCGCATATTTATACTGTGCTGATTATTAGCATTAGCGACCAGTCATTATAGACTGAGAAAACCACGACGGCGACGGAAACAAGAACGTAGCAAAACACGTGCGTTTTAAAACTTAAAACATTTCTTAGCCGTCCCATACAGAACTAAAACGGAAATCGCCAACTTTTACGTCCTGTTAGCAAGGAGACCTCGACAGCGATTTAGTCACAGTTTTACTTTGAACTTAACACTTCGTTCACATATTATGACGAAGTAAAGATGTCGCACCGTCAGAAACGTTGAGAGCTACTGGCGAAAATCTTAAAGGAAAATAATTTGCGTTTTTTCGGCAACGTTTTACCACACACGTCGCCGCAGTGACATCTTAAACTCCCAATTATTTATCGCCAAGGGGATGGTTGAGGCTTTTGGTTGTATCACAATAAAATTTATCTGATCACCCCTTTAAACGCTATTGGAGACGACTGATTCCCACTCCGTTCCCCCTGAAAACCATGTGATCCTACGCAAAAACCTCCAACCCCCACCCCCCTCAGGTGATAAATAATGGCAGGTTCCTTGATCAAAATACATTAATCAAACATGAGATACTCCTACACCTCCGAACTCCCTGAAAACCATGTGATCCATCCCAAAAACCCCAACCCCCACCTCCCTCCGGCGAAAAATAATGACGGTATTTAGTCCAAATACATGAATCAAAGATGAGACTTGAAGTAAAAAGTTAACCCTGCGTTAGACAGAAGATTTAATCAGACCTCCGATCCTAGGCTAAGAGTAGTCTTTCTTACTGAATTCAACTGCTTGGAAACGCGTTGAATCTGGTCGTGGAAACATCATGGTTGCGTTTACCGCTCTGTCACTGTCAAGTGCGGAAGTCCTTTTTTATTTCTTTCCTTTAAACCCCTAACGTTCTGGTCTCTCTTACTTTTTCAGGGTGCGGAACACGTTGCCCTAGTGCACTCCACGCCAAATAAGGATAGCGATAAAGAAATTAGAAACGGTGCACCAGCTCATCATGATCCAGACGATGATGGAGCTACAAGTCTTAATTGCACATCGACGGTGTGAACCAAGAGACAAGTAAATGGGTTTTAAACAATTCACGTCACGACCAAGCTTTCACGAGGTTTTACTCAGACTAAACGTAATGGGAATCTCATTCGATGTAATCGTAGCAATATCCGCTTGGTGATTGGAACAAGCACTTTCGCCTGTCTCGTTGGTTTTGTAGTTACGTACACTAGATAGAGGTACTTGAGTAAACCTGAAGAGTGTATAATTGTGAAACTAAGAAAAGACCAAAAAAAGAAGAAGGCACTTTCTTTGCCTGTTTTCTCTTCTTGGTGTCGCCTAAATTCATTTGGCGCTCTGTCTCTGTGGCTATTTTTTTTTCTTTTTTTTTAATTTGAAAAGCGGTTTCTCGTGTGGTGGTTTCCATTTGCTACTTTTTTCTAAATCGATTTTGGAACAATTGTCAACTGATTGTAAAGAGGAATCCAGGATTGCTTTGTTTTTGCTTTCCTTGCTCTGTAATTGTTACAGAAAACTCATGTCACGCTCTGTAATTGTTACAGAAAACTCGTGTCACGCCCTCAATCAATCAGATGCAAAACTTAAACCAATCACGACTTAGTCGCACACGTTTTCCCGCGCTTCAAGAAGTTTAGTTGGTTTTATTTTGAGTTCTTATTGGCTCTTTAAGGTATTTCCTTTCTTCTGATTGGCCGTTGCTATAATTTTATTTAAGCTTTTGCAACACTGAATCAAAAAGCGCCCTAATGCGCATGATTTGTGACTTACTTTCGTCAGTGAACAATGATTTTTTTTTTACGCTTAGCTAACACAGAGCATTTCGATTGCATATGTAAGCCAGTTAAAAACGAAGTGATTCTTACAGCCTGTGCGAGCAGAGGCTAACATCTCAAGTAGCCGATGAGAATTCAGCGTGGATACAAGCACTAAGCGCAGGAAAATTTGAATGATGAAGTCTGGACTGATTTCGTATTGCATCCGCTTGGTCGGGAAGATGACGCAAGTTCTCATGCCCGAACACACACTTCAGTAAAGCAAATCCAAAGCACTCCCAGATTACTTCAGTCAAAAGTTTCCTCATGTAGGCTATTGCGTTTTAAATGACCTCCACTTTTTCTTCCCTGTACTTTCATGTTCTCCGCACTTTCCATACGTTGAAAACAAAAGAACCTCATAAAAACAGAGCTTTCGGTGGTTTGCACACCTGCAAGATTAGCCCAAGTTTAAATTACCATCCTTTTTTACCACAGCAATATCTTGGAAATGATTATCAATTTTTAATTTACCAGACATACAAAAAATCAACTGCAGTGATACATATAGGCCTATATTTTGAATTTATCTGTCGATCATCTAGTATTTATTTCTTGTGCACCGATTTTGTCAAAACACAAATAGCTTGATTTTTTAAATTTTTAATTCCCTCTATTCTATAATATATTACAAATGAGAGCTGGGGTACAACGCGAGGGTGTATCAAAGCGTAGGGTCTTACTCTAGATTAAAAATACAGAGAAGGATTTTTTTCACCTGATTGAGCGAAAAGTTGATAGATAAGGAGTTTTCGGTTAAGTTTCTTTTTGGAAAGTATCTTTTTCAATGCCCTGAGGGCGTTATATTTTTTGAGTTTCATTTGAAACTGGGAAATTTTTAAGAGGTTTGCATTGTAGGTTTTAAATTCCTTTTCCATTCATACGATCACGCTACTTTACTTCCAGAGGACAACTCATCCCTTCCCCACCCCCTCAGCAATCTAAGGGTAGCACCTGTTTAAATCTAAAAACCAAGGAGCGATTATTTAAACAAAAAGTTATTTAGTTGATCAGTGGACCTCAAAATGTCCATATAAGGTCATATAAGTGAGTTGTTTTTAAGCAAATAGAAATGTTCTTGCGTAAAATGCTTTTAATGAACATTTATTCTATAGTATTCACCGAACCCGGGAAGAATAATTGTTATAGTATAAAATAATTGCTCGGGTGATTATCAGAGCGAAAATAAATGCTTCTCGAGCAGGGTGATTAGAAAAAGGGATATGACGTGATTCTCGACTAATTAGGGCGCTTGCATTTTCATAATCACCTGAGCAACTATTTGATTACAAAAAGGGACTAAAGGCAGATGGTTATTAAATCTTTTTTTAAAGAGAGCTTCATGAAACTTTTATCCAATACAGGGCCGTGGGAATAAAAGAGTGGTATCAGTGTAAGCTTAAGTAGGAATATTTTTTAAGCTTTAGATGTATCAGTGTTTTATTTTTGTTACTCGATGCTGAGTTTCCTTGCAAAGAAGAAATATATGTATATACATATTTTGAAGAGGAGTGTGTTATTTTGTGGCAGGCAAAATTTACTGTAACACCTCATAGGACTCACGTGCATAGGAAGGCATGAAAATCAAATTGCGTTTGAGGAGACTATTAGACGTAGACAAAAGGGCCATTTCCGACATGTCCAAAGCCTTTGTTTTAAAACGAGGGCAAGTGCGAAGTCTTTTAAAAAAATGTAAATAATTCCTCCATTCTTACGCAATCAAAACACTTGCACACAAGAGAGGTTTTGCGCTCGGCCTCATTTTGAAAACGAAGGTGCTTCAAACTCGGAAACAACTAAGTCGTCCAGTCTCCCGCTTATGCTGAATTGTCTCACAATATTTCACAAAATAAGTCCAATTAGTCACGCTTAAGTCCAACTTATGAAAAAATTTAGCATACGAATAGTTCAAAATCGCATAAAATATTCAAATTTGAATAAAATAACTATGTTCCCAGACGCTTTCGATTACTAATCTAAAATTGTTTACATAAAACGCAGCTATTTGAAAAGATGATGCCTTGTTTCATAACTGCGCGAAACATACTCTAAACCCCTGTCTTAACTCTATTCGTAACGTTAGATTAGCGGGGAACATTTTCTGGAAAAGAGAGAAAGTCGTCGAGTGACAAGGAAATCTCTGGCACGGTCAAATTAGTTCTCACCCCGGCTAAACATAGGGCTATGTCATTGCAGTAGCCAACGTAGCACTTGAATGCTTTCTCTTTGTTCCGGTTTGGGTCGAAAACGCGAGACTACTGAAGCAGAGGATGTTGGGAGGTAGGGGAATTGCAATGGAGTCTTTCTACGCCTCGCTCCTCAGAGTGTTCTTTGGGCTGGCTCGATAACTAGCCACCATCGGGAAATGAGCCCATGCTCATCAAACGAAGACCATGCAACGCTTTCAACAGAGCGGTTAAACGTCTGCGCATGTGCAAACCTTATAATGACTAGAGAGAGGTCTAGATGGTGTGATTTCAGGCTATGAGAACCATGTTGTCTCACAAAAATCACAAGCAATCCGAAACAACTCAGTATAAAGTCTCGGTGTTTTAGAAGTGCATAATTTAATTGGCTTAACACAAAACATAATGATAAATGAACATGATACCCGTCTTAAGCTTCGTGTTTGAAAAGTCTCGAGTTTTCCTTTTCCATTCTATTGTTTCCTTTAAGAGATTTTTAAAAACGTCTCAATTTTCTTTCGCTTTTGTTGAGAGAAAACAGTTGTTTCTTATGATTTCCTTCGAATTTTTACGCGGGAAATTGGCGCGCGGGCGCCCAAAATTGATCTCCACGCGCATGCCCTACGTTTAACCGCTGCTCCGCTGCATGCATAATGAGCTTGAAATAGTAAATGAAAGCTAATACTAATTAACAGATTGATCGAGAATTCACAGACGGATTATAAAAATCCCAAGGAAATGCTGACTTTTGGGCGTCATAACTATTCATCGGAACTTTAGCCCTTGGCCCATTTTAAGTGGAAAGGACTTAATTTTATCTACTAATTATTCCATTTTTTTTTTCAACTTCATTTGAATGTGGTCATGGGGGAACCTGAGGCTTTAGTCCAGATCGTCTCTGCAATTCTAAAAGAAATTGTTTATCTTTCCGTTTTTACACGTGCACATCACAAGGACATCAGCGTCTGAGCTGCTAAAAGAAATCACGCCACATTCTAAAGGGACATCACGCCACTTTCTAAAAGTAAATCGTACCAACGACTCTTACTGACCTCTGACACCTGTTGATATTATCACTATGGAAGTTAAGATATTTTTAAGTAAAGCAAAATTCTGATCGCGAGCTATGAAGTATCTACAAGTTATGAACTATTCTTGTCAAAAGGCCTCTCATCATTTTCTCTGATGACTTGTCAAGAGCAAAGACCAACGGAAAATCATAGAATGTTTCCACAGACTTGAATTTCAATTCGCGAAAACCAGCATAACCACATTTCCATATTATTTTGAAAAAGTCGAAAATAGGAGTTAAGCACCTCTTTTTGATTGTCTTCATGGGGCCATCACGAGATGTCAAATTCCAATTACTGCCAGTACCAAATTTATAGGATCGCCCATCACCGGAAAGGATATATCAAATTTGCGGACTTGCAAGGAAATATGAGAGTCAGATAGGCGCGCGACTTCGCATACAACAGGTCTACAGCTTCTGCCCTCAGACAGTTGGATACGTTGAGCGGCATGGAAGCTAAGTTTTTCTCGGCGGTGATGATTTTGATTACTCTCTTGTTCGCTGATGGCGATGAAGGTAAGTGAGTCTTTCCTTCTAGGATAAAAAAAATCTGGTCTTAGACTAAATTGTAATGCTTTTCTTAGCTCTATTTTCGGGCAGCCATGCCTAATGGGCAAAGTTTCAAGCGATGTAACTTTGAACAGAAACAAAATACAACAAATGCTGATAAATGAGTTTGATCTATAGGATTAATTCCGCGACTCTTGACCCATTTAAGGTGATGATCCACCAATTCTCATCACGATTGCCTGAAGCGCGATGATGAAACGTTAGCTCCAGCTTTTCAACGAGCGTTTTAATTTTTTTTTTCTTTTTTTTCATAACGTTATCTTTCCTTTTCTTTTTGCGTTTGCGCCATTTGTTCCTCTATAGCTCGCCGTTGTTGTTTCGTTGGCACTCTAGAAGATTTGTACTGTGATCGTGTGCGAACTAAATACTAATAAAATATGTAACTCTCATGCACTGTTATGATACCAGAAAGGCTTGATCATTTGCCGTTCAATCTTCGACAAAATCGGGAGCGACCTCAGTTTAGCGACCTACACAAATCAGTACCTTTATCTTTCATTTTTCTTCAATTATCTATTTATTTATCATTGAATTCACCGCTGCACTGTAGTTTCCGTTTGAGCTGTATGTATGTCGCAGATTTTTGTTGATATAAATCTTCTATTCGTTTCGTAATTTTTTAAACTGAGAATTAAGAAAGGCCAAATACGGCCTGAAACACGTGTTCTCATCGTTTAAACTAACACTGCGGCCGTCAGCAATCGCGGTGAGCGGCAACAAATGCAACAAATCACGTGCGGTAATGTCAAATGTTGTTTCAGGTTACTTCATCAATGTTCATTTATCGGCTCCCTTGCAAAGATTGTTGCCGATAAAGCTCGACAAATTGATAATTATTTTTCTAGATAAGAGAAGTTTCCGTCCCTCTGTAGGGGTGAACTTATCTTACCGGTTTCCACCACTTCAAACCATCAGACCGCGTTGTTCCTGATCGTCAGTGTAACAATATGTGATCATTGTTTACCTTTTCGATATTATTTAAATATCCTCATCGTTTGTTTCGCGATACTGACTCACGGGAAATTGTTGCTTGCAAATTTTCAACGGCGATACACGGCTTTTCCCCACCAAGTGACTGATGGAGCTTCCGTAAACTTGTCGCTAAATGTCTGCAGACAGATGCTATAAGTACCTTTTGTTCTCTTCGTTATTCCGGCATGTTGTTGACCGGCTTTTGTAGGCATCCAGGCTCCGGGAGGTCATTTTTCTTTCTCCTTATTGATGTTAATGGACTAAGTCAGGAGATCATTGTTGAAAGGTTCTTCGACTCGTTTTACGGTATATCATTGGAGGCCATATCGATCTCCAGATGAACAATTGATTACTTTGGTGTCACTCATAGTCCTTGCAATCTGGTCAGCTACCAGCAGTTCTATTAAGTACAAGTCAGTGCTCCCTTTTCGTTTCTAACTCTGATAAATTTACTATTCAATGAGAAAGTGATAATTCAAATCGCAGGAAAACGGATGATAAAACAAAGGCATTTAAGGGCCAGTTTTTCCAAAAATTTTGCTGTTTTGCTTCTACATCTTTTTAGGTGTACTAATCGAAATCCTGTTATTTTGGGAAGCGGAATCAAAAGGAGTGCGTCGTGCAAGTTTGGTCTGGAAGTATACACATCAATTTTCATTCAAACGAGTTCGCGTGCGATTTATTTCAGACCATAGTTAGTAGAGGGGACTCCCTCCATTAACTATGTTCAGACCAAGTAACTGTCGCTCCACTCAATAACTTATTACTGTGTATCGTAAGACAAACGTCAGACATTCACCTACTCCAGCTAAACAATGTTCTTCAAAATGAGAGTGGTTTCGTTTTGTTTTACTGGCCATCATTTTTTTAGGTTCATCAGTTACTGCAAGAGCTCCAACCTCTCGGAAGACAGCTAACGGTGAAATCGCTCATTTTACCTGCACCTTAAAATACAATCTTTCTTCTGCCGAAATCACGTGGCAGAAACAAGGGCACAATCTGAGAGATGGTAGCTCTGGTGTAGTGATAATATCCTGGAACAACGGCACCATCTTGGAAAGTCATCTTCTTGTTGCAGTGACGGATGATGACGAAAGGAGAGGTACTTACACATGTGTTGGGACAGATGAAGATGGACAATCACGAAGATCATTTGTGATACAAGGTGAGCTTTCATTTAAGCAATACTTGATCAGAGACATTTTCAATTGAGTGTCGAAAATAATTCACGACTTCTTTTGCTTTGCTTTACGTCGAACCATTACGGTTCAGGCACTTCAGGCAGTTTCCAACCCACATATAAGTCGCACTTTCTACATTGTGTTACACTGGTAAACAAAACAGTTTTCATTTGGTGTCGAAAGTAATCCGCGATCATTGCTTTGGCTCTCCTTAGTCCCGAAAAGTCGCGCCCACCTTTCAACCAATCAAATGCAAAACAAACCCGACTTAGTCGCTCGCGTCCTCCCGCGCTTCAAGCGATTTGTTTGTTTTCCCTCTGAATGTCATTGGTTAATGATAATATAAACCTTTGTTCTGACTGGTCGTTGGGATTACTTTGGTCAAAAGTCGTAATCTGATAACTACATTTTCCGGTGCTTGTGAACTTTCTTGGGTAATTTTGGTAACGTAAACAAATCTTTCATGAGACAAAATAAATTCGTATGTTTCATTATTACTTATGCAATAATAGCCAATATCATTTCGATATATTTTCAGGCCAAGCAGCAAAGAAGCTGAGTGACGTTGATTACACTGCCATTGGCGTGGCGATTGGAATCTTTCTGTGTCTTTCTACGGTGATTCTTGTTTACTTGGTCCGGGGCCGAAAGCGTCTTCAAGAAGGAAAGTTAAGAACAATGACAACAATATCTCATTCAGTAACTGGGCATGTAAGTCGCCTTTAGATTCGTATATTTATTTTACTTACGCTTTCCTTTCCTTTCCTTCATCATGCTTAGTGAGAAAGTAAATTATTTTGCAGTATACCTGCCTCGAATTCTGTCAAGAAACAGATTTTCTCAGATCTAGCCATTGTTAAGAGTATTAGGTTATCAAGCTTTCGAAAGAGGCACCTGCCGAGAAAATTAGTCATACGCGTAAGAGAAATAAGAATTGGTGATTTTGTGAGAGTGGTTTTGGCGTGCTTGTGCGGGTCTCTCGTGTCACTTGCATGCGCCAGTTTATCGAGAGCCTACAATGTATTATAACATTTACAGATACTGCATACTAAGCTGTCAAATTCTATGCGTGCACCTGTTTAATACGATGGTTTCTTCGAGCTGAAGGCGATTTCCATGTATGGGACGAATAGAAATACGATATTCATATCAAATTAAAAATCAGTTACACTTATGACTACGACACGATATCTGTTTATTCGCACTCAGAATGTTGGTGACAAATTCTCTTTTTGTTTTCCTTTTTATATATATATGTAGGACAATGCTGCTGTCGAAGAAGGAGAGAACACAAGTGCTGGAATCACCCTTAATACTCTAACTGATCAGAGCCCTTCTAGTAAGGACTCTAAGCTGTAAAGCATGTGTCTTAGAAAGTCGCCCGTGTCACGAAGCCAGGAGACGATTCTTGTTTTCCTTTTTAAACACTTAATTATTTATCTTAAACTTCTGAAAACCTTACGATCTCGAACCTTATTTATAGTAGCCGATTACGTCATACTTATTTCTGAAACACTATTTTTAGTAGCAAGAACATTCTAGACGCTAATGATGACATATCCTTAAAATAACTCAATAGAATGTTCCGGAATATGGAGAAGTTTCTAGCTCAGCTTATGCAAAAGCGTTGAGGTAAATCAATGTTCTGTTAATTTCTGGAGACTACGTTACAGCTCGTCACCATCGTCCTCCTCGGCTTGCGTATTCCGGCTTGCTTCCTTACACTTGATACCAGACTATTTAAGTTTTTTTGTAAGACGCATGATGGATAATTCCACTTTAGGACCTCTTCAGCCTGACGAATACCCTGGTATGCAATGGTGGAGGGGTTTATATCCGAGCTGATAAAAACTTTGAAATTATTTGATGGAGAAGAGCACGTTAGAGTACCGAGGCCCGGTCGTTAGAGTACCGAGGCCCGGTCGTTAGAGTACCGAGGCCCAGTCGTTAGAGTACCGAGGCCCGGTCGTTAGAGTACCGAGGCCCAGTCGTTAGAGTACCGAGGCCCGGTCGTTAGAGTACCGAGGCCCGGTCGTTAGAGTACCGAGGCCCGGTCGTTAGAGTACCGAGGCCCAGTCGTTAGAGTACCGAGGCCCGGTCGTTAGAGTACCGAGGCCCGGTCGTTAGAGTACCGAGGCCCGGTCTTTTTATCCTCTCATCACTTGAACAAAAAATTGAGTGGAATCTGTGTATTGTTGTTTTATTTACAGTCAGAGATGTTCTTCTCGAATTTCAAAATTTTCTCAAAATGTGCGCGGGATGTGGGATTGGCTATAGGAGTCTATAAGGAATAACGCTTGATGCTGTTCATCATGGAATAAGTAGATAGCCTTAGGAATTAAAGAGACGCGCCCTTATCACGAAAAACCATGCATTGTATAAGGAAAAGATTTATAAAAAGGTTCAACTTTTTCTTCTTGCTCTTCCCTTGTGCAGTTTGATAGCTTGTAATGAAGTATGACAAAAAGACAACAACAATAACGACACGCTTTGTTTACATGGCTATAACAGGGTATTAAAGTGTTTCAGAACAATTAGAATTTAACTATTGTCAAAGGAAAGGAAAAAGAAATTTTAAGGGAATTATTTTTATTATTAAATATTTTTGCTGCAATTAGTTGGCCTCTTATTTCAAAGTAAGGTGAGATGAATGATTATCAGAGAGTACTTCGTTAAAAGTTGTCCTTCAATAAAATTTTGAGCTCTTCTTTAGAGAAGAATATCTGCTGTAGACGAATACCTAGGACAATCAAATGAGATGGGAGGTTCATCTTCAACTTTTTTGCAATTACAAGCACATTTGTCGTAAACGCTTATGCAAACGCCCAAATTTTATACTACAAACATTGAAAAGACTATCATGTGGGGTTACGATTTTGGTGAAACTTAATAAGTTTCACACGCGACCCCGAGCCACCCCCCCCCCCCACTTCGTACTCGAAGAAGCGCCCCCTCCCCCCTCCCCCGTCTCATCATGAATTTGCGCAAATATTTGAGGTTGAGAACGTCTTTATTTTACTCTCTTTTTTTCGGTGGTGAGAAGTATGAATTAAGGTAAAAGAAATGTATAACTGTGGTCTAACATAACAATCAACTCAGTTACTTAAGGACTTTTTTTAGCATTCTTATTACGGTTTTCTCATTGCGCGATTCACTGAGGAACAACTCAGTCTGTAGTCGAACTTAGTATGAACTGCTAAAACTTCTAAGAACTTCTAAAGAGTTCATGGAAGAAAGCTCATTACAAATCGCTGAACAGTCATTATTTAAAAGTTTCTTTTTCACCTCCGAGTGGACTGAAATAACATATTATGCCAGACAGCTTTAAGAACATGTTAAGAACGTTTGAGGCTTGAGTCGCAAAAAAGAAAAAATACAAGAACTTTCAGTCACTACCCCAAAATTAGATGTTCTTGTAAAAAACATAAATAAATAGATAAAAAGAGTGCGTACCGGCGTCTGCTCTGAGAAATCACTCATGGGGCTCCTGTCGTAAGTAAAGTTAACCCTTTTACTAGAAGTGATTAACATGTAACTTCTCCCTATAATTTCCATACATTATCCAGCAAACAGGTAATGAGAATAGACCCAAACTTATAAGGTAGAAGTTGTTGTCATGATCTAACACCAATTTCTCGTAACTAGCTTGCAAAGAAATGTGTAGTAGCTAGAGAGAAGAATTATAATCAGCCATTGGGAGTTGAAGAGTTGAAGAGTTAAGACTTGTTACACTCACAAGGAAGGAAGAATGTGTTTCCGTCTTTTTCTAGTTCAGTCCCTAAATCCAGTTCAGTTTGACGGGCTATAATGAAGAGGAATATTTTTATTTTTCAGCAAAGTTCCATCTTTTGCTTTGATGGCCTCTGTGCAACCTTACGGGAGCCCCTTACGTTTTCGTTCATCTCCCGTATAGAAATTATTGTTATCTCCAAATCGAGGCTACCGGGAAAACGCATGGCGAACTTAGTGCTTAGATAATCAATATGGCGGCCGAGATTTTCGGAGTCAGAGAAGACAGAAAGCGAGAGTCGAGGAAGGAGGAAGAAGACGATGAATCGTCAGAAAGGTATACCCAACGATAAAATGAATAATTTGCGAACTATTTTGAGTTCTTTTCAGTAATTTCTCTCTTTCTTACAACTTGTGCAGTGATTCAGAAGAAGGAACCCGTGTTGTGAAGGACGAAAAGACAACATCTGAGCGTAAGCATGATCACAAGAAAAAGAAGAAAAAGCATAAACACAAACACAAGAGTCATAAGCACAAGCATAAACACCACAAGAGAAGAGACAAGGATCACGCTCCTGAAAACGGCGAACCTGCCGAGAAAAAGTCTAAAATTGCAGACGAACTTTTGGAACTCGAGAAAAGGAAAGCGTTTTTACAGGAACAGCTGGCAGAAGCTTCTCGAATTAATGAGAAACAATCAGCAGGAAATCATAGAATTCCGGTGACTAAGACAGATGATGAAGGTAAAGACAAGCATAGAGATAGACAAAACCGGGAGGATCATGAACTTGACAGAAAGCATAAGGTGATTGAAGCGAGAGACTTTGATGGCCAAGAAAAACAAAAGGGAAGACGGAAAAGCCCAAGAAGAGAAAGTGATGGAAGAGAGGATGGCAAGGAAAATAGTAAGCCAAGCACTGATTTTGTCAGAGATGAAAAATTGAACAATCACTCACACAGTCACAGTTCTAGAAGACATAGTGGTTCTTATGATAGCAAAACGGAATCAAAAGCCAGGCATGATTCAATTGTAAAAAGTAATGATGCTGAAAAGGAAAAATCTGCTGCTCCAAGGAGAGATTCAACAAAAACTGATGCAAGCAGAAAAGACAGTGAAACAAAATCAGGATCACTCAGACATCATTCAAAATCTAGATCACCAAAAAGAAGTTCTGTGTCTGACAAGGAACAAAAATCAAGAGAGAGACCAAGAAAGTCAGGTAGTAGGTCCCCAAGGAGAACTTTATCCAAGGAAAGGAAAAGTAAACAGGATTTAAGCAGAAGAAGTAGCAGATCTCCTAGACGACAGAGAAGGTCATCCTCTAAATCACAAAGACACAGCAAGTCACCAAAGAGAAGAAGCAGATCTCCAAGACGTCGCAGTCGCTCACCAAGGAGGAGGAGTAAATCCCCTGGACGGCGCAGCAGGTCCCGGTCACCTCGGCGCAAAAGACGTGACAATGATAAATTCAAGGGAAGTTACTCTGAGGGGCAAGGTCATAAGGGGGATTCAGATCCAGAGTAAGTGTTATTTTCTTTTTGTTAGTCACAGGAATTAAAAAATTTTGAACCAGATTTTACATGAATGGCAAATGGCAAGAAGTAAACTTAAAGAGGCTCCATAAGGTTTTTTGACAGTGCAAGACCTGGGTGCAAACATAAAGCAAGCTTTAAAAGCGTCAACATGCAAAAAAAACTTGATATGATCTTATGATTGTTATCTGAAAAGGTGAGTTGTTATTTTTCATGACCTTATTGAAAACCAATAAGAAAACACAGTGGGAAAGATTATCAAAAGACAACAGATATGAAAGTTTACGCCTGCTCAGTTGTAGTTCATGGCAAAGTTTTAAAAGCACTAGGATTTGTCTTATTTCCATCTGCAGAATTCCTTTAGATTTGCTGGACCATTAAACATAATATTATTTGTGTCCTTCTTAGTGCTTGTTTATTAAAAAAATTTCTTAGACCAAATTTGAGATACAGGAAGAAAACACAAACTTGCAAGTAGTAAGGAAACTGCCTTTGTAACCCCTTCTTTTTTGGCCTTTAAATGAAGCTTTATGCTTTAAATCAGTCAAATTATCACAGTGTGTGCTTAATCACAAAAATTGTTTTGGTAATTTTTAATACAGCATATCATAGTCCAGTTTGCTGTCTTATACAAGAATAAGATAGCTTTTTTAGCGCTAGGCTTTACATTGAGCAAAAGCCTTAAAGAGCCTCCTTAAGCTTTATGCTTTTCAGCAGTGTGTTTGAATGTATATTCTGAATGTATATTCCAAATTTTTGTGATGGTTTTTCAAACACTAATAAGATTGAAAAGAAGTTCCCTCTGCACTTAAATTCAAATTTCCTATTATAAATTATAGTGTTGACCTCTACAACTTTGAGATGGATGACAAGGAAGAAGATGAAGATGCAATTATTGAGAAAAGAAGGCTGCAGAGATTAGCCATCTTGAAAAAGTACCAAGGCAGTGGCATTTCATCAAATGCTCCGTCCACTGCCAACTCAGTTGTGTCTCAGTCTCCACCTGGAGAGAGATCAGACAGTGAAGACAGTGATACTGTAGAAAAACAAGCCACTGAAGATTTAGAACAGGAAATAGCATTGGCAAGTAGCAAAACAGAGAAGGAGCTGAGAGATGTAAAGGACAACATGGAGACAAAAGAAGAAAGTGAAACAAAATCTGCTGTGGGGGACATGTTTGCTGATGATGATATGTTCTCTGATAATTACAGTGTAAGTTTACCTCAGGAAAAATCTAACCCTGTAACTCCAAACCAGAAGTGATTTGCATGAATTTTAACCACATTATCCCACAGACCAGTAAATAGAATAGACAAAACTATTACCTGCACAAGAAAGAAGTCCTGTAGTTTCAGCTTAAAATAAACATTATTAAGGAGTGATACCAACTCGTTTTTTATATCAAGAACACCATTGCAAGATTGGATTAAACATTATGTGTCAAAAATTAATTTTTTTTTCGACAATTTAAAGGTTAAACAATTGCAACAATAATCTCTTGATGCTTAAATTTGTCACTAGCACAACAGTTTGGTCAAATTTAAGTATGCAGTTAGTGATCTGATTCTTAACCAATTACACTGTGACTTTTGTTATAATTTCAGAGTCCTGCAAGGACTTTAAAGCTTGAGGCAGGAAAGGAAAATCCTAACCTCACAGACAACTGGGATGATGCTGAGGGATATTACAGTAAGATTACTTGTTGTTCTGATATCAGTTAGATGTGCAAAAAACCATTTGTGAATTGGTTACTCTTGTTTTCTGCTTGCTTGTTTGCTTGATTTTGCTTCAAGTTCATTTTTTTCCTTCTGATGGAGTCTAATGTGGTCAAATTTTAGATGATGCACAATGGGTATCTCTTAAATGCATAGTGCTATGCTATTACAGGGAAGACATGTTTATGTATACATCAAATCTTGATAGTGTTGATTTTTGCTCTTCAGGAATTCGTATCAGTGAAATTCTTGACAAGCGCTACTGTGTTTATGGTTACACTGGAGCAGGGGTGTTTGGAAATGTTGTACGTGCAAGAGATCAAGCAAGAGGAAACCAAGAAGTGGCAGTGAAAATAGCCAGGAATAATGAGATGATGTAAGTAATAAGATAGCTTTGCACTCAGTGATGCTCTCAAAGTGCATTACTGCACTGTATTATAGTGGGTGTTTACAGTGTATATGTACCTAACTTTTGCCAGGAGACTGATTTCCTGTTGCCACTCAAACATACATTGCTCACCTGTACCACCTCCAGTGATTATTGGCATTGCAAATCATCAGAACATGGACAATAACTGTCAGTGCTCAAAGCTTAATGTTTTTCAGTTTCACCTTTTGGCAACCTGAAATTATTAACTGGTTGCCAGAGATGAAATATTGGCTGCTACAGTGTGGGGAAAAAAACAAAATAAACAAAACAAAACAATTTACTGTGTACCTGTATTAAGAGTGAGCAGCATGGCTCCACCATTATTCTTATTACTATAATAAGAATAAGAAGTATTATCATAATATTTATTTCTATAATTATTAAATTATATATTATTCAAGAATTCTCTGGCCTGGGTGACTGGTTGAAATTTTGGTACAGGTAGATTAAGTGCCTTAAATCTAAAAGTCATTAACAGTTCATTCACACCAGCAAAATATGTTTAGTGAAATCAGGTTTAACTGAATGAAAACCAGAAACAGAGGACTGGAAAACTGAATTTTCTGTATGATTCAAGTAATCATTGGCATGTATTTTCAATGTTTACTTGAAGACAAAAAAAAAACATTGGTTTAAACAGTGTTAAAGTGTTAAACAAAATACCTGTAAAACTTGTTTAAGCTTTGGTGTGAATGGGTTATAAGACCCTATCACATTTACCTACTACTTGTAAGAGTACTGTGTACAGCCTGCTGACTTAATTTACATGTATCTCATCTCTATCTAAACCACAGGCACAAGACTGGCTTAAAGGAGCTTGAATTTCTGAAGAAGCTGAATGCAGCTGACCCAGATGACAAGTATCACTGTCTGCAATTATATCGACATTTCTTTCACAAGAATCATCTGTGTCTTGTATTTGAATCTCTGAGGTACATGTAGGTTTGTTTTTCGAGTTTACCATTAAACTCAGTAGTCAGCTCTTTGGTTGAGAGGTTTATGTTGGTTATACACAATAGCTTCCTTTTGGTAGGAAGATGAACTTGCAGATTTGTCAGGGGACATTAACTGTTGAAGAGCTGAACAGTTTTTTCAAATGTGAGGCCAAAGACAATGCACAAGGACAATTATATTAGCATATTTTTACACCAAATAGAGGTTGATTTGTTTAGTATCCTTCAAATAATTTTGCAGTGTTCAGAACAGACTATTTACAAACAACTTACTGTCAAAAACATGTAGTAAATAAATGTAGAGGTTGACTTTTCTGTTCTGTTGTTTTCATGTTAATTCCATTCAGTATGAACCTGAGAGAGGTTCTACGGAAATATGGTCAGAATGTGGGACTTCACTACAAAGCTGTCCGTTCATATAGTCAGCAATTATTCCTAGCCCTGAAGCTTTTAAAGAAGACAGGTATAATCCATGCAGACATTAAACCTGATAACATTCTGGTAAGTAACTGTTTTATAGCCAATGAACAGAACATAGAAAATGGCCACTCTGTGAGCTTTGGCTGAGAGGCAGGATATGAAAAGGAAGAGTAAAAAATTTTTCTCTCCTTTGAAACGTGCCTTCTTCCAATCACACTGATTTACACGTCTTGTGCTTTGATACGAAATAAGTGAATTATTTGCAAGCAAAATATCTTCATGCATTGTGTAAAATTTTGAATTTTGAGACATCCATGTACATGTACTTAAGGGAAGGCACTTATTTGGAACAAGGCACTTATAAGGGACAGGGTGCATATTTCTTTTCCTAGAAATGACAGAATGTAAGGGGGCGCCTATTAAAACAAGGGGGTGTAATCAAGTCACTGCAGTAACAATTATACAGTGAATATTCACCTAACAGTGGTCACAGGGAAGTTGAAAATCACGTATCAATATCAGTATCAGGGCAACTGCCCACCTACCCCTCCCCTAACCCAACATTAACCCTAACTTGTTATCAATTGACTGCTGTTGGGTTAGGGGAGGGGTTGGTGGGCAGTTGCCAGATACTGATATTGATCCAACATCACGTTTCATCACATGGAAATAAAAGTTGAGGGACTCGGGTGAAGAGCACATTTTTTTTTTGCAAGCAATTAAGGAAGATGACCACAATTGATCATAATGTGCTTGTACTCTTATAGGGTTCTAACAGTGCTGTCACCAGATCACTGAAACAGAATAGGGGTTCTTATTGGTACAGGGGATGCTCTTTGGTATGAGAGTGCTTACGCAGTAGGGGCACTTTACAACAAAAAGAAATTCAAGGGGGGCGCTTATTAGAACAAGGGGGCGTAATCAAGACACTGCAGTAAATTTTATTCGTTTTTCTCACAGGTGAATGAATCAAAACTGGTTGTAAAGCTCTGTGATTTTGGATCAGCTTCATTTTCCTCTGATTGTGATATAACTCCATACCTTGTTAGTCGTTTTTATCGAGCCCCAGAGATAAGTAAGTTTTAATGAAATGAAGGAGAAATGTTTTCACCCATTTCTCCCCTGATCTGATTGCTAATTTTCACTTCTAGTTACTGTGCATTTGCATTTAAACTTCTGAACCCAGGGCCCAGTTGTTTGAAGGCCAATTAGCATTAACACAGGGTTTCAATTTTCATCCAGGTTTCTTTATTTCATTGTTCAAAAGCCTTTTGGTGAAAATTTTCCTTGTTCCTTTTAGAAAATCCAATGATTAACTTGCATGCAGGAAGATTTGAACTAAATTTTCCTTATAAAGCTTTCAGAGCTGAACACTAACCCTGGGTTATATTAACCCAGCTTTGAACAACCTGAGCTAGGTGTTCAAGGCAGATAACACTATGCATTGGATAAATCGCTATCCAGCAGTTGAGTGTAATTAAAATGTAGCAGATAGTATTATACCCTTCAAACAAATGGGTCCTGGTGTTGTACCCATATATACAATTGGACAGGTTAGAGGGTGTACTCTTATCACTTGTTTGATTGATGAGGGTTTTTTTTTTCATATTTGTACTTTATGTTAAATAACATGCATGTATCTGATGGAAAGAACCTAGAGCAAGTTTGACATAAATAGAGAAAAAAAAGAAAAGTGTACAATGCTGCTCTTCCTACGTAGGGTGAAGTGTATTCATAATTCTTTGAGGATTACAATTTGCACATGCTAGACTCAATATTGTTAGTCCAACCTACTTTGTGTGAGTCTAATACATAGCTGCACTTTTCTCTTCCTCATACATGTAGGCAATCCTGCAATGTTATAGGAAACATTTTTGCAATGTACCTCTCAAAATTATGCTGTGTAGACAAAAACACATGCACTTGTCAACAACTATAAAATTATTATACACAGTTTTCATTATAAAATTATAATTTTTAAATTTCCTTTCGCTCTCAGTTATAGGTGCAAAGTATGACTACAGTATAGACATGTGGTCTGTAGCAACGACATTATTTGAGCTTTACACAGGAAAGATTATGTTCCCTGGGAAGACCAACAATGAAATGCTGAAGCTTATGATGGATTACAAAGGGAAAATGCCTAACAAGATGATTAGAAAAGGATCACTCAGAGATCAACACTTTGATGAAAACTGCAACTTCCTTTATCATGAGGTGGACAAGGTCACTCAAAGGGTAAGAGTAAAGTAGCTGGCTACAATTTGAAGACACCCACATGTACATGTCACATTTATTGTGACAAGACTGTGTCAACTTCTCCTCAACAATAATATTATTAACCAGCCAACTATTAACCAGCCACTTTATGGTGAGAACTAAAAGTACATACTTCTACTACAACATGAACTGCTTAAATTTTTAAGGGTCATATTATTTTATGGAATGTGATTCGATCAATTATGTCCTTGGTTTTAAATCTCATTTTTCTTTGTGTTGTAAAGTATTATTAAGAAAATATCATAGCACACCCTTAGCTACATGTATTGGATTATGGATCATTAGGAAAATAGCAACAGAAGATTATCATATACGTACATGCAATGATACATACAGTAATCATTTGACTGTTGACCATTGTAAACAACCATTTTTGATAATTGATTCTATGCAACTGTAACTTTTTTTCTGTTTGTCAAACACACTAGGAAAAGGTTACAGTGATGGGAGCCATCAACCCCAACAAAGAAGTGGTTGAGTCTCTACTGGGCTACAAAAAACTGAATGAGGAACATAAACGTAAAGTCATGCAGCTAAAGGATCTGCTCGACAAATGCCTCATGTTGGACCCAGTCAAAAGGATATCTCTCAATCAGGCTCTCACACATCCTTTCATCACCGAAAAGGTTTGAGCCGATGAACGCTGTACATAAGACTTCATCTCTCTTTTGTTCATGAATCCATCATGTACTCTTAACAATTTATGACACTTTTCAAGATGAGTTTCATTTGGTAGATATTAGGGCTTATTTAATGGCTGAGTTATTTTTCATGAGTCTTTTCTTTTATGTACATTGCTCGGACTGGATAATGATGAAAATATTGCAAGCTGTTAAACTTGTTTAAGCCATTTAGGGAATTTTAGTATATACATATTGTGACGTGGAAAAGTTCCTGCATCTTTCAGTGCTACGTGTAGTAATATCAGCTCCGATGCCTTCCTGGCTCAACGAGTTAGTGTGAATATGAGTAGAAAGAAAAGTTTACCTTCTTGACATTGAAGGTTCAACTTCTTCTTATTCTGAATGTTTTGGGGGTTACGAGGCATTTTAGCTATGAAAAAGAATAGATTTGTCTGTCTCTATCGTATTCCAAGGGGATTGTTGGTGTTCTTGATAAAAGTTGATTGCACTTTCTTATTGTTTGTTAATAAAACATTGTGATGTTTTAAGTTTGTTGTTACTAGAGTAATTTATTGACTTTGATAAACTGATTAAAATAAAGAAAAAAGAGTGCGGAACATTGGCAGATGTTATATTGTCATGTTTCTCACTATTTTGATTTGATTAATTCAAGAGTGGGATGTTTGTTAATGTCGTTAATTGTTCACTGAATTTTAAGTTACATCTATTTGAGGCTAAGACCTTGTAAAGTCTCTGTGATAGGATGTCAGGGAACGAGTTGAAAAGAAGTGAAATACATTTATACTTAGCGCAATGTTTTTCTCTTTCCCATTTTAGAAGGTGTTGCATGGTAATCGGTATACATGTAACCTCGATCGTAAAATTAATAATTTGTTTTTTTCTCACGTTGCTGACGATTTTTTTGACCTTATTTGTCGCTGCTAGGTTTTGAGCGCGGAAATAAGCTATAGGTTCATATCCTGCCTCCTTTCAGCCAATTAGAAGGCTGGGAATTCAATAACCGCGTTCCAATTTTTACTAGTAACTGAGAATAACATGCACATTCCATAAACATAAACATTCTGCACTCAATAGGATCTATCCTAAAAGTTCTAATGTGAATGTCAGTGTTTGATGGTGCCTATCAAGTTAACCTACTCAAAATTTGTTTCTTTAAATACATGGTGTGTATTTCATCAAAATTTATGCTGACTGTTTTATCATTTTATAGTTTTTCTTACAGGAGGTACCTTAGTGCGAGTCGGCAACCATTCCAAAGAGTAGAAATACATGTAAATTGTACTGTATTTCTCCATTACTTAGGGTAATGCAATTCTTGACAATGATTTGTGATGCTCGATCATTGAATTCTTCTATTCTGTAAACACTCTGATACTTATCAAAATACAAGTCCCAATCTTACCTCTGTCCACCAGTTAGACTAAAGCAGGATTTTTATAGACCCATTTCAGGTCTGTGCAAGTTAATACGAGTTAAAATAGGTGAACTGTGTGAAGCGCGGGAAAACGTGAGTGATTAAGTCGCGATTGGTTTTGAATTCGAATCTGACTGGTTGAGAAAAAGGCGCGAGTTTTCGGGACTAATCGTAGAGCGACTTAAAGAAAAACTAAAGCGAACCCGGATTACTTTGACACTCAATTGAACATTGCTGAAACCGGGTTTAACTCCGGCAGTTTTGAGACAGTTGGCTGGTAGACAGCCGATTTTGACTTCTCGGTATTTTTGCTAAATTGTAACATAAATGTGCGCTATGTTATTGTACTTTCATTGCTAACGATGTCTTCTCTTACATATTGCCTTTATGCTGGTTGTGCCAATGAATCCATCCTTCGCAGTTATTTGGTGAAATGGATGAAACAGATGTTACCATCTGAATCAGAGGTATTACTGACAGATAACGCAGACAAGATTGGCAGAAGAAAACTTGTGTCTAATCAAAATTTCACGGTTCTCTCGGGTTTGCAGTAGTTGCTTTTCAGTTCTGTGAAGGCCAAGAACAGGGCTTTTTTTTCTTCTTGGAGTGTTTTTCATTATTTTTCTTAATTAGACTGCGATCCATAGTCGTGACTGTGGTACAAATATCTTAAGATTAACGGAATCTAGCACAAATCTTAAAGTAGCAACATTTTATGAGAAACAATGATGAAAATTTTAGTGTCAGGAACTTGAATTCAACTTTCTCTCAAATTTCGTAGTCCGTAATGTTTTTACAGCTATTTATTTTTTGCAACTTGGTTTCCCATCAAATTTTTTTATTTTCCAATACAGGTGGTAGCGGTCAGTCTCTTGTAATCAAAGGTACTGTGGAAATTCTTTAATTGTTCACAATGATAAAATGTAGATTCGACTTTGATAACGGCGGAGATATTCGGGTACCGCCACAAGGTATCCATAGCAGCGAGACTCAGAATAGCTAGCCTCCGAACAGTCCCTGTTTTTCGGCGAAGTTTGCCGCCCGAATAGAAAAAAGTCGGTGAAAAAAAAATTGTTGTTAGCGCCTAAAGCGTAACAGACCTTACCGCCAAGGACTGCTCATAATCTACGGAATAGCGGAAGGTGATGAAATTGACCCATTGCTTAGTTTTAAAATGTAGAGGTATACTCCTTCAAGATAGCTGTAGTCTATTTTCACTCATTTTTCGAGGACGTTTACCTTGATTCATACATCAATATGAAATATAGGTCGAAGTAGCGGAAAATCGTTAACATTGTGGGACAACACAAAAAAGGTTTGTCCATTATCGAACTTCTCCGTCGTAAGGAGAGTAGAACGATGCAATTGGCAGTTTAGGTCGCAGTTTTTTTATCGGTACCTGCTTCCACACTTTTCTTTGTAGATTTGGCCGGGGATTTAGCTACTGTTCTTAGTAAAGTAGGTTCGTAACGGCTGGGTGTCCTTAAAATGTGTCTCGACATGGCACACGAGGAGGCCTGGTGTTATTGTGCTGGAGTCAACTGGACCGAGTGGTCTGGTATAGAGCCCTTAACAGGGTCACTGTATTTTGTTCTTGGCCAATCAACGTGTTACAGAAGCCGGGTTCTGCTCCGTGGGGTGTGCCTTTCTTTTTAGTTTTATGTCAATTGTTTTACTGTTCGTGTGTTAGTATCATCGATAATGACAACCGAAGAATATTACATATTTTCAGAAGAGTTTGCGAGTATTTTAGTCTCGAACCGGTTATTCTAGTCACTCACATGCGTTTTCTTTTCCTAGGTATGTTTTGACAGCTCTTCTTTAAACTGGCGTACAACCACTGTATTTGCTTTTTAGTTTTTGCAGAGACACTTACCCCCGATACCTTATTTGCGTTTCTTTCACGTTAGCAAAACAACGTTGAATTTTACAAACGGTCAAGTGCCGCACCCTTCCGTTAAACTCTTCAGCGCCGTATCAAATTTGCCGTAGTATGAAGCATTGTCCATGAGCCAGCTTTAGTGGTACCCTTAGTAACGTGATATGCACAGCTTTCAACGTAGGAACGACTTTCATCAGATTGGAATTTCTGTTTTCATTGACTTTTTGTTATCTGCATATGCTTCAATGGATTAAATCTACCGTGTTCATCAATATTTTTACCCAGCAGAGTGAAGAATTTTCCATGTGTTATTGATCGTACGATCGAATAGTCTTGGACATTGCGCGAGCTTTTAATCCTTTAACCCCTAAGAGTATCTAGCATCCAATTTCTTCCTACAGTATCAGCCTTGAATCAAACATTAAGGCCAGGAGAATAAGGGAAATGATCAACAACTGAAGTAGTTCTTGATTGTTAAACAACCTCTCTCCTTGTCACCACCTTTGAAAATGTACCGAGGCTAGTATAGAGAATATGCATACTGATGTTAGGGTGAAAAGGGTAGGAATACGCACCTAAAGAAAATCATACGACTTGAAAGGACATTTGACTTAACAGTGTCAGAGGAAGCTACTAAAGATAGCAGATCCACAATTAAAAAAATTAAGTTTCCACTTAAGGGATTTTTATTTAATTCAAAACTGCACAAAATTTAGCTGTCAAATTATGATAAAGCACTATGCACTTTTTTCACTTTTTTCCTAACTTACTTCTCAAAAAGATCAAAGTGATTACAATTGTTACTACTATTTCTACTTTAGACTAGATACTATTTGCTGCTGTGATTGGTTAAATAAATTGCAATACACAAAGTCTTGTCATGCACTGTTAAATGGTATTTTGAGAAAGTTTTCCATTGGGAAAGCCTTCCGTGCCTCCTTTTTTTCTGGAAAGATATCAATTTATGTATTCAGCTCAATTTTCAGTATAAAAGTGGATTACTTGGGTAAATGGGAATTACTTTCAGTGGAAACTGAGAATACATGTAGTTTTTAACCCCTTGGTTTGTATCGAAATCAGTACATACAAGAGAAAAGCACGGCAAGAAGAGTTGTTACCAGCCCAAGGCTGCACGATGCTAGTTTGTTAGGGGAGCTTGAGGGTACATCTTGGCACACCGGCTCTGGCTTCAAAGGAGTGTCGATTTTTGGCTTGTCCACTACTTTCCAACCGAGACCCTGTGAAAAGAATGTTTGGCAAAGTCATCGCTGTTCCATTTTGTCTTTGCAAAAGAACAGGGCTGTTCCTTTTCTGTCCCCACTAAAAGTTATCACAGTGTAAGTTTTGAATAAATGCTGGTTGGTTAGATGGGTGTGGGGATCTGTGTGCTCCATTCCCCCCCTCCCCTCCCCCCTGAATTATTCACAAGGCCATCAAATGATTAAGAAATTTAAGATATACCCACCGGCAGGTCCTTTCCGTCAGTACCACTGCAGTGAGCATTTATAGCGTTGGTGTCTCGATAACTGTCTCGCAGTCCGGGAGTCCACTTATCGTTCCACAGAGAGTTGTTTTTTGCGGGATGTTGCCTACATGGATTCATGAAAGATGAGAAACACTAACTCAGATGGGTACAGTAAATCGTTCTAACGTGGGACTTTAAGTCGATCATGTGCGATCGTCCGGATGAGGGGTATTCCCGAAAGGGACTTTGCTGTTCTGAGAGCAACTTTCGCCTGTTTCGTGTTTGGAGTGAGGGCCTATTTCCCAAACAGCGGTGGGAACACAGCGGTCAAACGAAAGCTATACATATGGGCACCGCCTATTTTTTGCCAGGCTCGCGTTAGTTTCCAGCGCAAAACTTTAAAGGAAATTATGAAAAGAGAACGCTCACACATAAAATCTATGAAGATAAATTGAACTATTAATGGATAAATATTAAAACAAGACTGAGGAAAGGAAAACTTCCCGAGCTCAAAGGGTAAGGATAAGGGTATCCTATTGATTAAATAATTAGTTTCGAACTTAAACAAACAAAAAGTCTACACGCTTTCAAAACACCGCGACTAACTAGTTTGTGAGGTTGTTTACCATGAAAGCGGTACGTCAGACCGCCTCCCTAGATTTAATGTGTTTCAATCTTCGCACACGCACAGACGTTTTACCACTTAACTGTTATCGAGCTAAGTAATCACATGACCAACTTCTTGTTTGTCGTTTGTAACAGGTCTCGTTCGTGAAAACTGATTGGTCAATTTTACCGTGAGGACGTTGGTTGTCAGACTCGACGGGAGCAACGAACCTCTGATAAGCACCATTACAATGGAACACTCGACACCAGTTTCTCATGATTCGATAGTATTAGCTCGGCGCTAATTACGATGTTTAAAAGACGATACTTACGAGTAGTGTGATTGATACCAATTTTCCACAGCTGGACACTGGCACGATAAGCAGTTAGACAAATTAATTTTAGGATAGTAGTAATGAAAGGATAGGCACATCTCTTCGGTCGTTCCCAGACCGCCCTGGAAAAAAACAAAACAAGCAAATATTAAAAAAGTGTTTGGCGCGAGAGAGGCACGACGTTTGAATAGCTGCCGAGCAAGAGCATTATTCAGTATGATGAAGAAAGTACGATGAAGCTCGGCACGGCAGAAGCACAACATCTGAACTGGATAAATTTCCTCGGTAAATTGCGCGCAAATAACTGTGGGAAAGCCATCCTTGATATAACCAACAGCGTAGACATTTTTTATTTGGGCGGTAAGGGAATATTGGAGATCAACGTGGATGCATTTTTTCATTTCTTCACGGACTTGAGTGTCTTATTTGACACCGTCCATTGGTAATTTTCCGGGAGCTTAGTGAGCGGACTGTGCTGACTGTTCACGGAGTGCACTCTACTCATGATTCACAGATCGGTTTTCAAGTGAATCGCGATTAACGAAAAACACAAATGGCGGAACAAGGGGTCACGGAAATAACCTTAACCCCTTCCTTCCCTATCTTTTACTTCTCCAGTGATAAGAAATCATTTCACTCGTGCGCTTAGGAATCACGGCTATCTGTCAAGAAACAAAAGCTTTGATCCTTCTCAATGAGACTTAGCTCTGGTAACAGATTGTTCGTTCTCAAACTGGAGCTTTCAAGTTATAAAGAAGTTAAAAAAAGAGACGTACGGATTTTGGATGGTCCTTTGTATGATATTTGCACCCAGTTATCAACGTGTCTCCCTGAAAAAAATAATAAAAATAAAAGAAAGAAAAGGAAACGTGAGTAATTTATAAGAGACAATAAGGAAGGAATGTAAGATCAGAACTGTAATTATCAGTCTTCTGAACATCAGCAGAAAGAACAATCGATCTCACGATCGTGGGCGAACAAATGACTAAAAGTTATCATCTTCATTTACATCATCAACAAACAAGAAAAGTGTACACTTCATCATAGCACACCACTGTAGGAACCTTTCCGAGGAAAATGTAAACACTCTGGTCATAAGTTGTGGGGACCTTCAGATTTCCACGTTAAAAGTGCGTTTTCCAGAAAATCCTAACCGGCTCTTGGAGGAGGCATCATTGTAAGGGCCCGAATACCGTAGATGTGGTCGCCAAAATGTCAGCGGATTCAGTAGTATCGGTGTGCAAGCGTTTAAAGGTCTCCACAGCAGGGTTTGGGTAAGAACACAGTTACACACACACAATATCAATTGGACGCACAATTGAAATATTAGCCACCCCTAGCACTGATCAAAATTCTTTCTTACCGGCATGACTGTGGTTTCCTCAGCTGGAATTTGGAACTCCTACAGTCATCAAGAGAAACAATTGGGAGAAACAAGGACATTAATGAAACACTGAATTGACAAGAAATTTATGTGAATGAAACGATTGTCGAATTGTCAAAGTCTAGTTGCGAGTTTTTTCCCCTAGTTAATCATAACAAACTCACTTGAAAGTTGAAGTCATAGTTATCGTCTCTGATAATCTCTGGAAGTTCGACACCATCCCTGACATGCTTAGTGTACGCTGCATGACCTGCAAGAGGGAAGCGGGAATGAGACGCTGAGGGTGTGATCTTCGTTTATTTATACCTGGCCTTGTTATGAATATGTACAGTGATTCAGTGCAATGTGAGGCAAACAGAGTCATTTCAGTTTCTAGTGACTATTTTTCAGCATTCAAGCAACATGATATCATATGGGAAAAAAGAATGTGCTGGCTTAGTAGCTGACACTTACCAGCCAAATGCGTGTGGAGAGCAGAGGCAAATATTTTGATTCCTCCGCCGGATAAAGAGGATCCTTTCATACCCTGAGAAATAATATTTTATCATCTCTTTATTACGTCTTCATACGCAACTCTAAGGCCTCACAGATTTGCGTAGATGGAAGGTTGAAGGGGGAGAGGGGAGGGTGGTGGCGGAAGTTAACAATAAAAAAAGAGTGGGGAAACCAATAAATGAAGCAAATCGTATTTTGTAGTACAAGGTAATTTGGTATTATCAACTGAGCTGATAACGTAAATTGGCCACCGCAAGGAGTTTCAAAGTTGACGTTTCGAGCGTTAGCCTTTCGCCGTTACCTCTGACGAAGGGCTAACACTCGAAACGTCAGCTTTGAAACTCTTTACGGTAGCCAATTTACGTTATCAATTCAGTCGATAATACCAAATTACCATGTTATACTCTCCACCGACGCTGCGCTACAGTTTCTTTACAAACTTACTCCCTTTATTCATATTTTGTAGTAGCAGGAATAGTAACCTGAAAAATTATGCTCTGTTCGTGGATTTCTCTTGCCAAACAGTCCAAGAAGTTCAAGAAAGGCCTGTCGTACCAGTGTCAGACTCGCTGCCTTTCTGGACACAGCTTCAGGGGCGCATGCAGCACTGAACAGTTTTTCTTCATTTTTACTAACCTCTTTTGTACAATCTTCAACACAATAGCCTTGTGTTTCCCAACTTTCTTGATGAGGCGGAATGATCATATTTTTAGACACAAGCCATCCAACGGTCAAAATACCAGCTTGGTAATCTCTAAGTTGACTTGTGTAATGAAAGCGCAAACCAGAACTGTCTAAAATGCCTGCAACGAAAAGGGAACGGCAGTGAGTTAAAGGCATTGAAAGGAAACAAACAGATACAAATGAAAAACTTTTTTTTTTCATTTCACAGATTACCTGTTTTTTGTAAAGGATTATCGTAATGCATTTCCATTACTACGATCTTTGGACTGTCATTTGTTCCAATGGAAAATCCCACGTGTTCAGGAAAATAAAAGGTCTGTGGATTCAGTTATCATCACATTTGTTAGTCACAGAGGAAGACATGTAACAAATGGTGCTTGCGATGATGGAGCCGTTTCATAACCCTTTAACCCCTAGGAGTGATTAGCAACTATTTTCTCCTATCAGTATCACCCCTAAAGCAAACATAGAGGTCATGAGAATAAAGGAAATGATCACCAACTAAAGAAGCTCTTGATTGTTGAACAAATTCTCTTTGTGAATACCATAGGAAATGCATAGAGAGCAGTGTGGAGAAAATGCATACTGATGTTAGGGTGTAAAGGATTAATTGAGCTATAGGGATTGTCTTAGTTTTAATATATTTTGCTCTCTGTTCGGTTTAAGAAAACAAACAAACAAACCACACCAAAACAAAAACAAAACAAAACAAAAACAAAAACGAAAAAAAAAAACGCAATGTATTCTAAACCAAGGTGGTGCAAAACCGCAACTTATCTCGATTTGGTCAGTCGCGTTTTCCCGCGCCCAAATAGTTTTCCGCGTTTTATACTAGATTCCCATTAGCGCCTTGAATAATTTCCCTTAACCGTTCAAATCCCGCTAGAGACCAAGACAAAACTTCTCTTTATATTATCAGTACAATATCAAGCAGACAAGTAATAAGAATAAAGAGAAATATCAATTGGAGGATTATTGGTTGATCCAATTCCAAATTCTCCAAACTCACATCATATGAATTGTATCGCAGACAGTAAGGAGAATTACTAATGAGATCTTGGGAGTTAAAGGTTAATTGTTCCGATTGGCCGCTGAGGTTACTTGTTTGAAATATACCCTCACGCAAGAAGTGATGAGAAAATTTTCCGGCAGCCCCACACCCCTAATAAGAAGAAATTCCTCGATTCAAAATTTTCGGACTTTCCTCGTACCTTTCTAACATCTTCTAACATGGGTTATTGAGCTGGAAACTCCATAGCTTAAATATTTTGTAAGGAGACACAAACCTCGCCTCCAATCGCCCAGGCGGCAATGGTGGAAGGTCCACTACAACTTTTCACAGCAGGAGGCATGTCAGGGGAATCACCCACTCCTTCATAGCTGAGATTGCTCGAAGGGAAATTGTTGTGATCACACTGGTAAAGTAATATATGGTGAACAACTCCTTCATTACCTTCTTGGATAACAGGTTCGATCTGAGAAGGAAATCGGAGAGAAACAACTTAAACTTCAAACTTGACCAGCCCCGTTTGATCAATGGCAATGAAGATTATTCGCTTTTCCTTCTGACAATGGTTCCAAAAGCAATTTGCATGCCCAGTAGAATTTATTTTGTTAAGTCTAAGTATTAATGAAAAGTGTTGGTGACCAACCCTCTCTGGAGCGTTAATCGTGGAACTTTCCACAAGCAATTTCTTCTCCAAGTCCCTCCTAAATTTGAAGGGAAAATCAAGATTCCTAAACCTAATTGGTTCCAATAACTCACATAGACCGTATTTTCATCGACATTGTTCATCGACATTGTTCATCGACATTGTTTATAAACATTGTTTCTAGACATTGTTCCCAGGTTCTGGGAACGAAGTCATGTTTTCCTTAGCTATTTCAAAGCCTTTTCAACAGTCTTAAAATATATGCGTAGAGACAATCAAACAGTACAACTGCTTAGGTTTACAACTACTTATCAAGTTGTAGACAAGTGATAACGACTTTGCAAAGTGAAAAAAGAAAAAAATAAAAGGTAAAGGAGAATAACTTTACCCTAATAATGTCCCGTCTCCCAGGTAGAGTTGGAAACTGGAACACGCGGTAATAGTACGTTGTACGTTTAGGTGGCACTTGTGTCTGTAAGATAATAAAATAAGGATGAATGATAGCAAATAAAGGGGGAAAAAAAAACGGTCACGACATTGTCATTCGCGTTTTCCCCCTCTGCAGGTAATTTGCTTGTTTTAACTTTGCGATATCTCGCTTGTTTTATGACAAGCCGTTTTGATTATTTTGGTTCGGTTTCACCAGGCTTTCAATAACTTCTCGACACTATGCCGGGTCACAATAACTGTTACCTTGTTCATAAGGAAGGCGAACGTCTTGGCATCAGCCGGAAACTTGGGCACGTCTTTAATAGCGTTGAGTAAAAACACACTTCTTGCTCCTCTTATGGTGTGTATTGGAATATTATCTTCAGATTCTGGATCTTCTGGGTGCATAGCGTAGATGACTTTAGTTGTGCCTTCCTGCAATAGAAAGCAAAGACTTTATCATCTGCTCCAAAGAATAAATAAACTGTTCTCTACATCTTTAGTCCAATTAGTCTAAAGATGGAGTCAAAATAAAGTACCTCAGTATCGAGTTTTCAAAATTACGGTTTGACTAAAAATTACAACTGGGTTACGTATATGCGGTGGGCTAAAATATTGCGTGGGGCCTTGCGTAGAATCGATGAAGGTAGCATCTCTTCTTTTCTATTGAAAAGTTTCCCTTAAAAAAGGTTTTTACTCGAGCGAGGAGACTTCCAATAAACAGCAGTAAGCAAAAAGCCTGTTTGTCCTTTCAGAGCATTTCTAAGCTGAAGTTTACCTGTCAGCCTAACTATCGTTTGCTTCGCCCAGTCTTCTTTCCTCGCGTCAAGATTGTTTGAGTAAGGACATATTTTCCTTTTTTTACAGGAGCAAATAGACAACGACCTCACGATCCAAACACATGCCCAAAATTTGAATGAACTGAAAATACTTTATCTGCCTTTATTCATTACATGGAAAGTTAAAAATTAACCTTGATTGAATTGTCATCCGGATCGCAAGTTTCAAACTTTCGTTTAAACTTCATAACGGTCTTGCCACTTTCCTCTTGTAGGGCGATCAGGACATAATCCTGCTGAGAGTCGATCTTTGGTGTGGAGTGTCCGGTTGCATGACGATCCTGAAAACGAGTGGATCTTGAAGTTATTTGTGGGAAAAACGATATCCGTTTAACTTTAATAACAGAGAGAGGTCACTCCCCTCCCCACCCTCCAGAGACAGAAATTTCACGCATGTGCAGGTCAACAGTAACAAACCAATCAAAGCAGAGAATCAAGTTTCAGAAGGTGCCAGTCGACCTCATCGCCTCAAGACCTGTAAGAAAACAACCTGAGAACTTTCACTACCCCCCCCCCCCCGATAGAGAAGATCACTGAGGCGTGCAGCATGAGTCAGCTAAAACACAGCTGATGTTGCAAAAAATTTGTCTACGTGTGTTCACTTGGCCATTCACGAGGCAAACAAAGCCATTGAAGCAAAGCGATGGGCAAAACCAAAGACAGCGCCAATTTATCAGTCGTCATATCTGCTGAAACAGTTTGTTAAAGCTTGACACTCCAAGACAGTTTAGTTCAAAAGACTTCGAGAGGGAGGTTAACGATTCCAAAGAGGGATTTTGATATACCTGTACATTGTTTGCCCTGCAGAGCTACTTAACATACTTAATCAGTATATTTGCGGCAAAATAGGCAAACAACACTTTCATAAAAAAGTTTAACACCATATTAGGTTTATTCCGTATTAAAGTCTGTTCTCTTCCTACTGATTTTCCTATTTCTACTTTGTGGACAGACCAATGTGTCGCCACCTCTTATACACGTAGTGCTAAAAGCCACGATTCAGAAGTTAATTTTGTGAGGACGAAAATTCGCGGAAGTCGGAGGTAAAAGTGAATGTCTACATGACACTGTTGAAAACGCCTTAATTTTGGGTATCAAAAAAATGTCGAATACACACTTTCAGTTGCACCAAGTACAAAATGACATCAATCGCTAAAAGGAGAGGATTAGTCGGTGATGCAGAAAATAAAAACCATGGAATTTTCAGCATACAGTTCAACCTGTATTAAGCAGCAACATATTAAGCGGTTAACCTGTATTAAGCGGTCAGTTGTCAAAGTCCCGAATTTGTTTCCCTTTAATCACTCTAACTTTTACCTCTATTAAGCGGTCACTTCTATTACGTAAGCGATTGCAGCCACCCTTTACTAAGTCCTAACGGCTTGTTTATATTGTTTACCACCCTGTGGGTGACTGCTTAATATTATAAAAAAAAAAAGGTAAAAAGCAATCTTGGAGAATATTGCCCTTAATGATGGATCATCTAAAAAAATGTGAAATCAATAAAGTGATAAACAAAATAAATTCCTAATGAGAAATTGATCAAAAAATCTTCAAAACGAGTTTGTTTGTTACTTAGTGTTTTTCTTTCTCTTTTTCGATTGGTTTACGCCTAGGCATGCAAACTACGCACAATTTTTGTTGTCACGGAATGTTTAGTTTTGAATACTAAATAGCGCCGTCGTTCAACCATTAAGTTAACCATGTTGCGTAATCAAGCTGAATGAAACAAGAGAAGTACTGTAAAATAACTCCTGTGAGCTACAGATTTCCGTTAGCTTGTGTCCCTCCCCCACAAAGCTTACCTTGAAGTATGTTTTGCCATCCTTCACCCAGCCGATAACAATATCAGCTCCTTGCATCTTGCCCTGACCTGTGGAAATTCCAAAGCCGACCCATCCAGTTGTTTGGGCTTCCACTGTAAAAGAAATCTCTTTCTTTGCAGTGTCGACATTCCAATACAGCTTCACTTTCTGGCTCTCATCCAAAGCAGCAAAGAAGGAATGTCCTGATGTAAGATCAATGATGGACGACTTCGCTAAACATACGAAGATCAGCAAACAGCAGGCCGATACCTTCGAGATCTTCTGCATCTGACAAAAAGCTGACATTGTGGCAAATTTCTGCAAATGTAGCTTCAACAAGTGCCCGCAAAATCAGACAACAAAAAATTGGTTTGAATGCTGGCCGAATATTGCTCACAGTAACACTTCCAGTGCTTAGTACCGAGAGGATTAAGAGCTCTCCGCTCTTTCTGACACTAATCTAGTGAACAAACATTAATTAAGTGAACAATGTGACGCGTTACGTCGAGGTTATAAATACTTTCACACAACAGACGCGTCAAACAACCTTCCTATGTGAATACTGAGAAGCGTCGAAGCTATCCAAGAGTTAAAAGTCAAAAGTCGATTAGTCAAAGGGATCAATTCATTTTTTTTTTTTTAAAGCACAGGATCTGCAAAGCATTGTCGTACACGAGTTACTGATTATTGATTACAATACCACAATTAATCATGTGACTTTAGGGCAAGATTTTCGCATAGCCTCATAGTAATTATAATAAAAGTTCTTAGATAAAGAAAACAATGGCTAGAACAGTTGCGTTTTAGACTCCAGCTTTGTTTTAGGATAGTAGGGAATTGTACGGAAATCTTTCCCAAAAGAGTATCAATAAAGGTGAGGCACGAAATCTGAATTACACGTCTAATAGTTCTTAAACGGAAAATTTGACTTTAGATGTGCGTTAAGATAGACAAACAACGAAAAACGTATCATCATTTACACCAAATATAATTTGATTATACGGCAACAAATTTATCAACGATTATGCAATGCAAACCAATTGGTAATGCATAAAAATAAAAAAGCGCTGTCATCCTGTGATATTAATTGGCTCGAAGAGTACTCTCACTTGCACGTAACAATAACGAGCTCGCACGTGTTTTAAGAACCAACCATTTTGGTGTGGATTTGCTTGAGCCTGTGTGTGCATGTGATGAACGAGCGAGAGAAATGACTCGCCCTTCGCAGATGCCTCGCTTTTACCTCCGCTTCCCTGAAAAACGCAAAATTTCAAAATTTACACATATTTTGTGGGCTACATTAATAATCATAGAGTCAAGCGTGGTATCATCTGCTATGATATTATCTAATGTTTCAGACTATGCTAAAATCGTTCAAGAATGTAAACAATTGGTCTGACTGGTTACATAAATAAAAGTTTTTTGTTCTGTGCCAACTGAATGATCTGACTGAACAGCTCAAGGTGTGATGGACCGGAAGATAAATGTAAGGCTTTTCTTAGACCTGGTGCCCTTTGCAGCCAATGTTTAATCTCGTTACGTAACGCATTTTCCGTCTCCTAGGTCACTAATCTCTCCGCTGATATAACTTTCTACTTTCATAGGCAATGCGTTTAAAAAGATACTTGAAGGTATAAAGTCATTAGTAGTGCATGAAAACACATGTGGATCGCGACGTTCAAGAATTTTGTTAATTTTCTGCCAGTGAATTCGCAAGATCAGCAAACTTTAGCGAGACGGTCGCACATGCCTCCCGGTGAGAGGCTGATCGAAACGTTAGCTTTTAAAAACTCTTTATGGTGGCGAATCTACGTTATCACCTCAGTTGATAATACTAAATTGCCCTAGTAATTGCTCACTCTGTTCTCTTAGGGGTCTAACAATCAGTGACTTCTGCGAAATTTAGTAAACCTGCATTCACCAGTCAACCCCCGTCAGATAAGCTCTCTCTCTAGCGAGGGGGTCCCGCAGGCTTCATAGTGCTATGATGATGAAGAAAGGGGGTTTGAGGGTAAAATTCAGAGTCTTTCAAACGATCGACCTAAATATTAGCTCCGACATGGAGAGAATCTCAACATATTTATTCGTTGTGGAAGAAAATTTCTAAAACGTTGTTCCTAGAAAGCGACAACAGGTTCTATGAATTATGTGGAAGCCCAAATAGTGCAAGTTTATAAAACAAAAGAAAGAGAACTTGCGACCAAAAAGAGGACAGAGTGCAATGGTGGATGTTGACCTGCTCGTGAATTCGATATAATCTCGGCACACTTCACAACCTCTCACTTCAAAGGCGAACTGATGACTGTCTTTTTCTGTAAAGTGTGCCTCAGACCTTGCAAAACAAAGTTATCAGTTGAAATAACCCAACGCCAAGATACCTGCCGTTTGTCTTATTCACACTAGGGAATCGAATTAACATCAGGCATCCCGGCGTTTCTTGAGGCCATCGTCCATAATACTCTGGTTGGTATACTAATATTTCAAAAAGCAAAGTTTTTGCCGAAAAAAGCTGAAGAATTCGCTTCATATTTTCATTCTTTGCTTATTCATTTGCTTGAAATTCGATCGGTTGCTTTAAGCCAGTCTTGCGTCCTGAAATTTTTCGGAGTTTTCCAGTTTCCCTGAGTGCATGAGAGAAGCAAGCAATCTAAGCCACGAACAAAAAAGCAAATCTGTGTGCGAGTGCGATTTGTGAATATGTTGCACTACTGAGAGCCAACCAGATTGTAGAGGTCACTTATGTGTAAAATGTTGGAAACTATGCAGCACCTCTGTGTGCGACGGCAGGTTCCGTATTGTTTTGTGCTTTTATCCCTCGCATCAGATGGCAATCTTAATATTATCATGAAATACTCACCGACAAAGGAATACTGTTATGGCCGCTACAGTAGACGTAAATGTCTTGAGTGTCTTGATAACTATCCCATAGTTCAGAAGCCAACTCTTCAGTCCAATCATTTGGATTTGGTGGAACTTGTCTAATAATTAGTAGAATGGTGAAATTGGAAGATTTGTATTCGCTATACGTTATCAACCAGCTAGGTAAGCAGCTAAATAAATAGGTCGGTAGATCCGCGGGCAGGTGGATAGGGAAGAAACGGAACCAGGAAGGCAAGAACTGAGTTGAGCTGAAAAGATGGAGGAGAGGATGCAAGAACAGATGGCGGACGGAATGAAACAAGCAATCAATCCTTCAAGAAGTTGTAGTGTGATATCTGGTGAGACTCCTTTCCCACTCAGTCGCTTCTCTCGTAGCCAGTTTTGATGGACTCTTGAAACCACAGGCGGCCCAAGCTCCAGTTGTGAGATGATCTTTCTTGCGAAATAAGAGTCATATCGAAATTATAAGAGTTTGTATGGGAATATTTACGACCGCCCTTAGGAATACAAAAATACAGTCAATTTCTCAAGAAAAGTACCTCACCTTACTTCCACAGTGTATCGCTTGTTGTCTGACAGCTTACTATGTTAAAAAGAACCCATTTTAGCGAGTTATCCATTTCTAAGTTTACTACATAAGAGAAGCCCAAGGCTGCACAATCAAAAAATCTAAGCTCAAAATAACCGGGCGGATCCAACACAGAATCCATCACATATACCGTAGTTTCATCTCAGTTCACTACAAACTCAATCTTCCCCTTGAAACCGACGCTAAGCCGCAGTTTGCTTCAAAAATTTCCAGTTGAGACGTTTCTCACAGTCCGCGTTCACAGTGAAAACTAGCTTGGTAACCCTGCCTCCTTTGCAAACTGTACCTCACCTGGAACCACACCGTCACTGGCATCAGTAAATTGTTTTAGAACCACGGGTGCTAAGTGACAGTGTGGTCCCCATCATACAAACTCTTATAATTTCGACATGACTGTTATTTCGCAAGATGATCATCTCACAGCTGGAGCTTGAAGGGGTATAAGGGAGAACCAAGGATGGATAAAATCCTTATACAGATGATGAGCAGTAATACCTCTTGATATTTGAGTCGTACCACAATTTGTTTCGGGTTTGCAGTATTTGCTTTTCAGTTCTGTTAAGGCCAAGAATAGGGCTTTTTTTCCTTCTTGGAGTGTTTTACATTAGTTTTTTTAATTGCGATCCATATTCGTGACTGTGGTACAAATATCTTAAGATTAACGGAATCTAGCACAAATCTTAAAGTAGCAACAATATTATGAGAAACAACGATGAAAATTTTAATGTCAGGAACTTGAATTCAACCTTCTCTCAATTTCGTAGTCCGTAGTGTTTTTACAGCTATTTGTTTTTTGCAACGTAGTCCGTAAGTACATATAATGTTTTTACAGCTATTCTTTGAAAAATGATTCTTTTGCTTGATGACAAGTATTGGCAATTATCTGTCACATCCCATCATACATTTTCTTTTTTGTATTTTCAGTACAGGCGATTTGCGTCCCCTCATGCAGGTGGTAGCGGTCAGTCTCTTGTAACCAAAGGTACTGTGGAAATTCTTTAATTGTTCACAATGATAAAATGTAGATTCGACTTTGATAACGGCGGAGATATTCGGGTACCGCCACAAGGTATCCATAGAAGCGAGACTCAGAATAGCTAGACTCCGAACAGTCCCTGTTTTTCGGCGAAGTTTGCCGCCCGAATAGAAAAAAGTCGGTGAAAAAAAAATTGTTGTTAGCGCCTAAAGCGTAACAGACCTTACCGCCAAGGACTGCTCATAATCTACGGAATAGCGGAAGGTGATGAAATTGACCCATTGCTTAGTTTTAAAATGTAGAGGTATACTCCTTCAAGATAGCTGTAGTCTATTTTCACTCATTTTTCGAGGACGTTTACCTTGATTCATACATCAATGTGAAATATAGGTCGAAGTAGCGGAAAATCGTTAACATTGTGGGACAACACAAAAAAGGTTTGTCCATTATCGAACTTCTCCGTCGTAAGGAGAGTAGAACGATGCAATTGGCAGTTTAGGTCGCAGTTTTTTTATCGGTACCTGCTTCCACACTTTTCTTTGTAGATTTGGCCGGGGATTTAGCTACTGTTCTTAGTTAAGTAGGTTCGTAACGGCTGGGTGTCCTAAAAATGTGTCTCGACATGGCACACGAGGAGGCCTGATGTTATTGTGCTGGAGTCAACTGGACCGAGTGGTCTGGTATAGAGCCCTTAACAGGGTCTCTGTATTTTGTTCTTGGCCAATCAACGTGTTACAGAAGCCGGGTTCTGCTCCGTGGGGTGTGCCTTTCTTTTTAGTTTTATGTCAATTGTTTTACTGTTCGTGTGTTAGTATCATCGATAATGACAACCGTAGAATATTACATATTTTCAGAAGAGTTTGTGAGTATTTTAGTCTCGAACCGGTTATTCTAGTCACTCACATGCGTTTTCTTTTCCTAGGTATGTTTTGACAGCTCTTCTTTAAACTGGCATACAACCCCTGTATTTGATTCTTAGTTTTTGCAGAGACACTTACCCCCGATACCTTATTTGCGTTTCTTTCACGTTAGCAAAACAACGTTAGAGATTTCGTCAGGGAATCCTATATAGAGCTTCGCTCTCCTAAGAAAAACCTTAAGAGAACCATGGCGAAACTCGTTGAATTACTGAATTTTACAAACGGTCAAGTGCCGCACCCTTTCGTTAAACTCTTCAGCGCCGTATCAAATTTGCCGTAGTATGAAGCATTGTCCATGAGCCAGCTTTAGTGGTACCCTTAGTAACGTGATATGCACAGCTTTCAACGTAGGAACGACTTTCATCAGATTGGAATTTCTGTTTTCATTGACTTTTTGTTATCTGCATATGCTTCAATGGATTAAATCTACCGTGTTCATCAATATTTTTACCCAGCAGAGTGAAGAATTTTCCATGTGTTATTGATCGTACGATCGAATAGTCTTGGACATTGCGCGAGCTTTTAATCCTTTAACCCCTAAGAGTATCTAGCATCCAATTTCTTCCTACAGTATCAGCCTTGAATCAAACATTAAGGCCAGGAGAATAAGGGAAATGATCAACAACTGAAGTAGTTCTTGATTGTTAAACAACCTCTCTCCTTGTCACCACCTTTGAAAATGTACCGAGGCTAGTATAGAGAATATGCATACTGATGTTAGGGTGAAAAGGGTTAGGAATACGCACCTAAAGAAAATCATACGACTTGAAAGGACATTTGACTTAACAGTGTCAGAGGAAGCTACTAAAGATAGCAGATCCACAATTAAAAAATTAAGTTTCCACTTAAGGGATTTTTATTTAATTCAAAACTGCACAAAACTTAGCTGTCAAATTATGATAAAGCACTATGCACTTTTTTCAGTTTGATATAAATAGGCTCAAGGAATCCTAACTTACTTCTCAAAAAGATCAAAGTGATTACAGTTGTTACTACTATTTCTATTTTAGACTAGATACTATTTGCTGCTGTGATTGGTTAAATAAATTGCAATACACAAAGTCTTGTCATGCACTGTTAAATGGTATTTTGAGAAAGTTTTCCATTGGGAAAGCCTTCCGTGCCTCCTTTTTTTCTGGAAAGATATCAATTTATGTATTCAGCTCAATTTTCAGTATAAAAGTGGATTACTTGGGTAAATGGGAATTACTTTCAGTGGAAACTGAGAATACATGTAGTTTTTAACCCCTTGGTTTGTATCGAAATCATCACATACAAGAGAAAAGCACGGCAAAAAGAATTGTTACCAGCCCAAGGCTGCACGATGCTAGTTTGTTAGGGGAGCTTGAGGGTACATCTTGGCACACCGGCTCAGGCTTCAAAGGAGTGTCGATTTTTGGCTTGTCCACTACTTTCCGACCGAGACCCTGTGAAAAGAATGTTTGGCAAAGTCATCGCTGTTTCATTTTGTCTTTGCAAAAGAACAGGGCTGTTCCTTTTCTGTCCCCACTAAAAGTTATCACAGTGTAAGTTTTGAATAAATGCTGGTTGGTTAGATGGGTGTGGGGACCTGTGTGCTCCATTCCCCCCCTCCCCTCCCCCCCCCCCCCCCGAATTATTCACAAGGCCATCAAATGATTAAGAAATTTAAGATATACCCACCGGCAGGTCCTTTCCGTCAGCACCACTGCAGTGAGCATTTATAGCGTTGGTGTCTCGATAACTGTCTCGCAGTCCGGGAGTCCACTTATCGTTCCACAGAGAGTTGTTTTTTGCGGGATGTTGCCTACATGGATTCATGAAAGATGAGAAACACTAACTTAGATGCGTACAGTAAATCGTTTTAACGTGGGACTTAAAGTCGATCATGTGCGATCGTCCGGATGAGGGGTATTCCCGAAAGGGACTTTGCTGTTCTGAGAGCGACTTTCGCCTGTTTCGTGTTTGGAGTGAGGGCCTATTTCCCAAACAGCGGTGGGAACACAGCGGTCAAACGAAAGCTATACATATGGGCACCGCCTATTTTTTGCCAGGCTCGCGTTAGTTTCCAGCGCAAAACTTTAAAGGAAATTATGAAAAGAGAACGCTGACACATAAAATCTATGAAGATAAATTGAACTATTAATGGATAAATATTAAAACAAGAGTGAGGAAAGGAAAACTTCCCGAGCTCAAAGGGTAAGGATAAGGGTATCCTATTGATTAAATAATTAGTTTCGAACTTAAACAAACAAAAAGTCTACACGCTTTCAAAACACCGCGACTAACTAGTTTGTGAGGTTGCTTACCATGAAAGCGGTACGTCAGACCGCCTCCCTAGATTTAATGTGTTTCAATCTTCGCACACGCGCAGACGTTTTACCACTTAACTGTTATCGAGCTAAGTAATCACATGACCAACTTCTTGTTTGTCGTTTGTAACAGGTCTCGTTCGTGAAAACTGATTGGTCAATTTTACCGTGAGGACGTTGGTTGTCAGACTCGACGGGAGCAACGAACCTCTGATAAGCACCATTACAATGGAACACTCGACACCAGTTTCTCATGATTCGATAGTATTAGCTCGGCGCTAATTACGATGTTGAAAAGACGATACTTACGAGTAGTGTGATTGATACCAATTTTGCACAGCTGGACATTGGCACGATAAGCAGTTAGACAAATTAATTTTAGGATAGTAGTAATGAAAGGATAGGCACATCTCTTCGCTCGTTCCCAGACCGCCCTGGAAAAAAACAAAACAAGCAAATATTAAAAAAGTGTTTGGCGCGAGAGAGGCACGACGTTTGAATAGCTGCCGAGCAAGATCATTATTCAGTATGATGAGGAAAGTACGATGAAGCTCGGCACGGCAGAAGCACAACATCTGAACTGGATAAATTTCCTCGGTAAATTGCGCGCAAATAACTGTGGGAAAGCCATCCTTGATATAACCAACAGCGTAGACATTTTTTATTTGGGCGGTAAGGGAATATTGGAGATCAACGTGGATGCATTTTTTCATTTCTTCACGGACTTGAGTGTCTTATTTGACACCGTCCATTGGTAATTTTCCGGGAGCTTAGTGAGCGGACTGTGCTGACTGTTCACGGAGTGCACTCTACTCATGATTCACAGATCGGTTTTCAAGTGAATCGCGATTAACGAAAAACACAAATGGCGGAACAAGGGGTCACGGAAATAACCTTAGCCCCTTCCTTCCCTATCTTTTACTTCTCCAGTGATAAGAAATTATTTCACTCGTGCGCTTAGGAATCACGGCTATCTGTCAAGAAACAAAAGCTTTGATCCTTCTCAATGAGACTTAGCTCTGGTAACAGATTGTTCGTTCTCAAACTGGAGCTTACAAGTTATAAAGAAGTTAAAATAAGAGACGCACGGATTTTGGATGGTCCTTTGTATGATATTTGCACCCAGTTATCAACGCGTCTCCCTGAAAAAAATAATAAAAATAAAAGAAAGAAAAGGAAACGTGAGTAATTTATAAGAGACGATAAGGAAGGAATGTAAGATCAGAACTGTAATTATCAGTCTTCTGAACATCAGCAGAAAGAACAATCGATCTCACGATCGTGGGCGAACAAATGACTAAAAGTTATCATCTTCATTTACATCATCAACAAACAAGAAAAGTGTACACTTCATCATAGCACACCACTGTAGGAACCTTTCCGAGGAAAATGTAAACACTCTGGTCATAAGTTGTGGGGACCTTCAGATTTCCACGTTAAAAGTGCGTTTTCCAGAAAATCCTAACCGGCTCTTGGAGGAGGCATCATTGTAAGGGCCCGAATACCGTAGATGTGGTCGCCAAAATGTCAGCGGATTCAGTAGTATCGGTGTGCAAGCGTTTAAAGGTCTCCACAGCAGGGTTTGGGTAAGAACACAGTTACACACACACAATATCGATTGCACTGATCAAAATTCTTTCTTACCGGCATGACTGTGGTTTCCTCAGCTGGAATTTGGAACTCCTACAGTCATCAAGAGAAACAATTGGGAGAAACAAGGACATTAATGAAACACTGAATTGACAAGAAATTTATGTGAATGAAACGATTGTCAAATTGTCAAAGTCTAGTTGCGATTTTTTTCCCCCAGTTAATCATAACAAACTCACTTGAAAGTTGAAGTCATAGTTATCGTCTCTGATGATCTCTGGAAGTTCGACACCATCCCTGACATGCTTAGTGTACGCTGCATGACCTGCAAGAGGGAAGCGGGAATGAGACGCTGAGGGTGTGATCTTCGTTTATTTATACCTGGCCTTGTTATGAATATGTACAGTGATTCAGTGCAATGTGAGGCAAACAGAGTCATTTCAGTTTCTAGTGACTATTTTTCAGCATTCAAGCAACATGATATCATATGGGAAAAAAGAATGTGCTGGCTTAGTAGCTGACACTTACCAGCCAAATGCGTGTGGAGAGCAGAGGCAAATATTTTGATTCCTCCGCCGGATAAAGAGGATCCTTTCATACCCTGAGAAATAATATTTTATCATCTCTTTATTACGTCTTCATACGCAACTCTAAGGCCTCACAGATTTGCGTAGATGGAAGGTTGAAGGGGGAGAGGGGAGGGTGGTGGCGGAAGTTAACAATAAAAAAAGAGTGGGGAAACCAATAAATGAAGCAAATCGTATTTTGTAGTACAAGGTAATTTGGTATTATCAACTGAGCTGATAACGTAAATTGGCCACCGCAAGGAGTTTCAAAGTTGACGTTTCGAGCGTTAGCCTTTCGCCGTTACCTCTGACGAAGGGCTAACACTCGAAACGTCAGCTTTGAAACTCTTTACGGTAGCCAATTTACGTTATCAATTCAGTCGATAATACCAAATTACCATGTTATACTCTCCTACCGACGCTGCGCCACAGTTTCTTTACAAACTTACTCCCTTTATTCATATTTTGTAGTAGCAGGAATAGTAACCTGAAAAATTATGCTCTGTTCGTGGATTTCTCTTGCCAAACAGTCCAAGAAGTTCAAGAAAGGCCTGTCGTACCAGTGTCAGACTCGCTGCCTTTCTGGACACAGCTTCAGGGGCGCATGCAGCACTGAACAGTTTTTCTTCATTTTTACTAACCTCTTTTGTACAATCTTCAACACAATAGCCTTGTGTTTCCCAACTTTCTTGATGAGGCGGAATGATCATATTTTTAGACACAAGCCATCCAACGGTCAAAATACCAGCTTGGTAATCTCTAAGTTGACTTGTGTAATGAAAGCGCAAACCAGAACTGTCTAAAATGCCTGCAACGAAAAGGGAACGGCAGTGAGTTAAAGGCATTGAAAGGAAACAAACAGATACAAATGAAAAACTTTTTTTTTTCATTTCACAGATTACCTGTTTTTTGTAAAGGATTATCGTAATGCATTTCCATTACTACGATCTTTGGACTGTCATTTGTTCCAATGGAAAGTCCCACGTGTTCAGGAAAATAAAAGGTCTGTGGATTCAGTTATCATCACATTTGTTAGTCACAGAGGAAGACATGTAACAAATGGTGCTTGCGATGATGGAGCCGTTTCATAACCCTTTAACCCCTAGGAGTGATAAGCAACTATTTTCTCCTATCAGTATCACCCCTAAAGCAAACATTGAGGTCATGAGAATAAAGGAAATGATCACCAACTAAAGAAGCTCTTGATTGTTAAACAAATTCTCTTTGTGAATACCATAGGAAATGCATAGGGAGCAGTGTGGAGAAAATGCATACTGATGTTAGGGTGTAAAGGATTAATTGAGCTATAGGGATTGTCTTAGTTTTAATATATTTTGCTCTGTGTTCGGTTTAAGAAAACAAACAAACAAACCACACCAAAACAAAAACAAAACAAAAACAAAAACGAAAAAAAAAACGCAATGTATTCTTAATCAAGGTGGTGCAAAACTGCAACTTATCCCGATTTGGTCAGTCGCGTTTTCCCGCGCCCAAATAGTTTTCCGCGTTTTATACTAGATTCCCGTTAGCTCCTTGAATAATTTCCCTTAACCCTTTAAATCCCGCTAAAGACCAAGACAAAACTTCTCTTTATATTATCAGTATAATATCAA